TTGTTGACCTTTTGAGTGATCAAATTATTCTAACTTCACTCATACAATATTTACAAATCTGTAAAATAAATAAATAAACAATTGAACTGGTTATACAATAAAAATTTCACTTTTACATGATGTTAAGTCAATAGTATGATTAATGCCAATTAATTAATTTTGTCAACTAACAACACAATGTCAAATCTGCATAATAAAATTTCAGATAAATCAAGGGTAAAAATACATATATACATAATCTTACTATAATTACAAACACATCAATATTTCCAGTCTTTTCTATCCCATCATTAAGACAATTGATTTACCAATAAATATTATGCAAAAGCTGAAAATTATTTTATGCTTGGAAGCCAGCTTTAATCTTTGGGTTATCTTCAAATAGATTGTCATTCAATGAACCATGAAATTATGCTCAAGACCAAGGCTTTCTAACTACTATCCTGGAATTGTCTTCAAATTCAATATACTCATGGGATTTAGCTGTATTTTAACTGCTCCAAATTCAAAATCACAAATTCTGAAGATAATAGGGAGGTCTCAATGCAAACAAATAAATAAATAAAAATACAAGATTATTTTCCTGTCAGATTTTAAGTAAATTTTATGATGTGTTTAATAGTATCTTTAGTAGTATCTGGATTCTCTCTGAATAAGGAGTTTTCATAGAACTTGCATCTGTTTTGGGACTCCATAAATTTTTATTTGTCTAATTCAAGGTCTGCCGTAATACTCACTAAATCCACCCCCGGGGCAAAAAATCTTCAGTTTCTCAGATTAAGCTTTGTCAAATGCCTTTACACCTCAAAGCATAAAAGGAAACTCCTGCCCAGAATATTAAGGACACCCAAGAACATTAAGGAAATACCAGAGTATTAAGGAAACCCAAGAGTATTATGGAAACCCAAGAGTATTATGGAAACCCAAGAGTATTATGGAAGCCCAAGAGTATTAACGATATAACAGAGTATGAACCTATGAAAGTATTAAGGAACTTCACCAAAGATACTTGAGCATTATGGTTATAACATAATAGGCTTGCATCAAGTCCCTGGGTTTCTCCTGTCTATTAACATGCTTAATTTTTGTTGTTGAGACAATACTCCATGTCTTTATCAACACTTTTAAGTAGCTGATAATAATTTCATATTTAAACTCCAATAAAAGCTATATATTAGAAAAATAAGGTCTTATTACAATTAAAATTATAAATCAACTGTTTTAGTCAGAGTGGGTATGGATAATGGGGACATTCAGGGTTAGTAAGGAGAACCAAGATACCTTATGCTTGACTGAGTTCATGGTTGATTTATAATATGTAGATGATTAAATTCACTTACCCCGGGCAAAGTTTTCTGTTCGTGAAGGGATTGTTGAGCTTTTATCGCACTGTCTCGATTACAGTAGGTTAAAAAGGCGCAGCCTGAAATGGTGAAAAACATAAAACATCGACATTACTACACTGTACTGTACATGGACCACAATCATCAAATCACTCTACTGACGGAATACAGAAATAAATTAATCAGACGATTTAACATGCACAAAGTCCTAAACACAATGTTGGCTGATTATTTATGGGAGGACTTCAGTTCCATCGGGAGTTCTCGAAGCAGGAAATGAAAATTCACCACCAATATGGAACAATTACTTCAGTCTCAAGTCGAAGTAAACTGTATATATATACACATAAAACCGTGCTAAAAATTTGAAATCCTTTCTCAAAAATCAGACTTCTAGGCATTTTTATACAATACTGTGAAATATTAATTTTATGACTTTTTATTTTATTTCTAGCTCATTCCAACTTTAGGTACTCTTAAACAATTTTTACGTTTTAAAACATATCCATCAAAGCTATGTATTGCAATGATTGAAAAGATGGTTGAATTTTACTAAAATGGAATTAAAACTGCTAACTCAACATTTTACATAAAAACAGTTTGTAAATTGAATATGAAATAAACCAATGAATAAATAAATTATAGTACAAAACTAGCATAAAATAATAGCATTATTATGTGAACAATACATGCAATAATTCTGCCAACCTTTATGCATTCCAGTAAACCTATCCTTAAGAACGGTCAACTCGTATATCTGGCCATACTCTTCAAAAAGAGGTCTTAAGTCCTTTTCTTCTAAATTCCTAGGGATTTGTCCAACAAAGAGTTTGATAGCATCTTGGTCTTTCATAGGGATAGTTTGTGAAAATCCATTGTGGTCCAAACCATTCTGTAGGGTTGCGATCATTTTTGAACAGGTTGCTTTTCTAAAAAATTCCTGCCTGTTCCCTTCTGTGCCGTATTACTACCCACAAGCCTTGTCACAAGAGTCAATGCAATCCCAGAATACACTGAGTACCAGAAAACTCATTTGACATCATTTGTAGCCATTGATTAGTAGAGCCAATATATGCCTACGTATATAATTAACACATTCAGAAGCTGGCATAAACAGATAGAAGGTGCCCTATTGATTTCTGGAGATTCCAAGACTCCAGAGGCAAATTAACTTTTTATTAGAAGCATGCAATAAAAGATGGGGTACTTGCATTGACAGTGTTCTTGCATGGTTTGTAAAATCTTGAACAGCTATGTAATACCTGAACGTTCTTTTCTTAAGATATGATGTCCAAATAAAGTTAATATATTTTTCTCAATGACAATGTACATTATTCAAAATAGGCTTGGACAGTCATAGTATGCAACTACGATGTTTTTCTAAATATGGCTCTCAGACTAATAAAATTGATAAATTAGTTTCTTCATTGCAAACACACATAATTATATTCTGTATTTTAAAATGATATGATTTGGTCACGTTTTATGCTTGACTACAGGATTTAATCAAACTTAACATTAATTAAAATAACAGTTTCTTAAAGGGTGACGCATATCGTTTAGCAAATCGAACGCTCGTTTCTGGTGTTGCTCACCGTTTAGTATAAAAGGCCCGATCCCGGAATAATACTCAAGGGTTCACAGGCTCGAGGTCGTTGTGTCAACACCTCTAACTGTTATATAGCATAAGTATATTATAGATCGTCACACATTTATAAAAGGGTGATTTTTATTTTGACAAATCAATTCCACATTTATGGGTGAAGTTTCAGGATCTTCTATTTGTGTATAATAAGGAAAAATTGGCATCTAAATTTCCCCATAACGTAATAGCACACAGCTTGGCATATGCAATATCCTACAAATGAAACAAAGCAAGGCAAACCGGTTTCTAATACAAGAATTTATATTGGCTGTTGTACATGTATTATTTGAACGCAATCACTCTTTGGATAACGTTTTCAAAATCATTATAAACGGATTACTTTATCTCAAAGACAATTTCAATAAACTGGATTTTACAGAACTCCCCTTATTTCTTAAAAATGGACTGATCCAGTTGATTCGCCTGGAGCCGCCATATTGTTTTTATACGGGATGCTAATCGGAACCCTTTAACATAATTTTAACGATATAGTTCAATTCTGCCATCTATATTAACAGTCAAGCACATATACAATTTTATTAGTTTCCACAGCCTTCAATAGATAATCCAACAAAAAATCAAATGTAAATCGAATCATTGGATTTCAATATCCTAGATGCGAGTAGAAATAATCTTGATTTACGTCATTACAAATTCACATTTCAGTTAATCTGATGTCATATTTGGAATCTACTTGTAAAATTACATCTAGAAATGTGGATTTGAAAAGAGTTTATCAACTTTGAAAATTTAATTTTCTTTGAAAATGTGACTTCTAGGTCGGGGAGATTCCCCATAGACCCCATGTTGTAAAACCACAAAAAGTGAAATATCTTTTCTTGTGTTGGGCAGATAATATTTTCTTTTACTGGACATGTTCTAATTTGTATAACTATCACATTCATACGGGTAATATAAAAAGTGAACCACTAAAACTGATGAATATTCAAGTTTAAGGGAATTTTGTAATACCCTGCAATGTTATTTCCCCCGAATCAGCCACCTGGTGGCGAAACTGGTAACTACCTACTCGCATCTGAGTAATTGAATGCCCATGAATTCACATTGTGGAACATCTCCCTCAGCACTTCATAAGAGACTTATTTTGTTCACATTGCAATACCTGCCCACTTCATTAATCGTTCGTAAGTCTATGCAGGAACCACATGTAGAATTTTATGACTAATATGCCATGACGTTATGTCAAAATGTACCATGGGGACCACAATTTTCTTGATTTTTGCTCCAGGAGAAGCTCCCACCCAGGCCAAAAATCTTTTCAAACTCATGCAGTGATGCACCATTCTCAGCACTCTTTGCATGTTTTTTAGACAAAACTGTCAAAATGCTCCCCTTGATTCTGGAAAAGTACACCACCCCCCCCCCCCCCCCTTTGGTAAAAGCTGTCTATGGGCGAGGCATTAGACTATTGGAAAGATAAAAAGTAGACTTATCAAAAGGATAGGGGACTATAATTATTGTAAGCGGTATTAAGTATTAAAACAAAAGGTGCTTCCAGACAAAAAGTACCTTGTCAGTATGTTTTCTTACCTATTACTTTCACAGCCATTTTTGTTGGTTCAGCAGCTACTCACTTTTAATTGGGAGAGGCTATTACTGTCATTCAGGTGATAAAGGATATTATTGACCCATAATAAATTTACAGAATTATTCAAAATATCAAGAATAGGGCAGTATATGATACTCACTACTGTAAATAAAAATATTTACAGATTAGGAATTTGTAATACGTTTGTTATGTCCTCAAAATGGATAAAATAATATATTAGTTTCCAGACATGTAACGTACCACCCCTCTAAAATAAACCTGCTCAAAGACGTCAATGTAACATGTGGAAAGAGTTGACAACAAGAAGAAGAGTGACAGTCCAAAACAAAACATTCTACATTTGACACTATTCTTATGCTAATATATATAACAAACAATCCAATTATCGTCTGCTTCATTATAAGGTAAGCCACTCCCATTCAAAAATTTATATTTGACCGCAAGTAGACGTTGACAGAAAGCAGCTAGAGACGGCAAGCTTTAGACAAGAAAAAAATTTCGAGCTAAAAACTTTTAAATTGAATTTGTCTTTCCTGCTTGAAACTGATACAATTTTCAACACATAGTTATTCCTATTCACCCTGAGTAATGCCTGGGGTAAGTAAACATGTTTGGCTATACTTCTTTCATGCTCAAAGTAGTAAATGTACTTTCATGCATGACTGATTTTGCATTCCATGTATCCCATTATTTATATTGATCAACATAACATCATTCATAACATAACATTATTGTATTTGATAATGATTGAATTGACTGTAGTATTTATCATTTATTGGGATCTGTTGCAATGGTGGATATGCACTGGCGGTTCTAGAAGCTAACGAGGGACCCACATTTCAAATTTGAAAAAACAATGTGTGGAAATTTTTTTTGGGCCCTTTATTCAAAAATTGGGCCCACGTTTTGAATATGTTAGGCCAATTTTTCGATTATTTGGCCTAAAAAGACCCAATAAGGCCAAGTAATGCCCAAAAAGGCCCACTAATTGAGGCCCTACAACATTTTTGCGCCTAACATTTATTTTGGGCTCAAAATTTTGTCTGGGCCCCATGCCCCCCCTCTCCCTAGATCAGCCAGTGATATGGGCTTCCAAAAAATTGATGCCAAAATTTGCCCCTTCCCACATAAACTGGGCAACAGAAGAACTAATACAAAGTGCTATTATTTTTATTTATTTTAGGTGCAGTGGTACTTACAGAAAATGACAAAACAGGAAGTGACAAAATATGTGGCATTTTTAGACATTTTTTTGAACAAAGATAACAGAGTTCTGTTTCAACCCCCAGTCAATTGAAGTAGTTCCACAGGGGCGGATCTGGGAACCAACAAGGGGGGGGGCCCAAACTTGTGGTCTGAGAAAAAAACGTCCGCGCTTGCACGGAAAAAAATTTTGGGCCCCAAAAACCCAAAAGTGGGCCCAAATTTTGAAATTTTGAGGCCCATTTTCTTCAAAATTTGGCCTAAAATTAAAAAACAAGGCCTTAGAAGGCCAATTTAAGACCTAAAAGGCCTACTTTTTGGGGCCTCAGAGCCTTTTTTGGCTCAAAATTTTTTTTGGGCACAATTTTTTTTTTCTGGGCCCACCCAAGGGGGGGGCCCGGGCCCCTGGGCCCCCCCCCCTAGATCCGCCAGTGTTCCACATATCATTTACAGGACCAGGATCGTATATTTCAGATAGTTATGTATAATGTGCAGTAAAGCTGTGACCTTTTGTAATTTAGGGAGTTTCAGCCATGTTAATTTTTCCGAAAATAACATGGCGGAGAAGCATCAAAATATAAGAGGGCACAGCTATGATAGCTAAACTACAAAACAAACCAAAATATACAAAAGTTAGGACATGTATAAATGTTTCTATTTTTACATATACTGCTTCAATATGGTCCTTTGATTGCTTATTTTTTAAATTCAAAGTAGTTACTAACAATTAAAATTTCACTGTAATATATTGCTCTAAATGATACAATCTTTGAAAATTTGATATAGCGATCTATTTTCCTTTTTATGATCGCCATTTTTGTTTCAGACAATTTTCTAAAATTTCAAAGATTATATTATTTAGAGCAATATATTGAGCACATTTTCTGAAAAATTCAAAAGATTCTGTTCAGGGACCTTTCCTATGCACCTACTTTTAGATATTTTTCAGTGACCTTTTCAGAAGGCTGAAAAAGTGATTTCATCATGTTTAGGGTCATTCTTTCTGACCATGGCCATTGCGATCCTGGTCATGTAAATGATATGTGGAACTAGTTTAAGGTGCCATGGAAGTTAACAGTGAATGACAAAAATAAAAAATGACAAAACCATGCTGGATTTTGAAATATTTTTGAACCAAGATAACAGAGTTCTGTTTGGACCTCCAGTCAGTTTAACCAAGGGAAAAACCAATACCCGGTGATTTCAGCGGGAAGTGGCGTTTCGTTCAGTGGATGAGCTGCGCGCGCACGCATAAATGTGATTATCCAATATTATTTAGGGGAGGGCTATTTGAACTAGTTTTTGGTCTCAGGCGCGACCCAGGGCTGTTGTCTTAAGGACATTTCATTGAAAATGAGCCATTCGGCTGATAATTGGTAAGAGTTTGCGATCTTATAATGTATAACTGATACTCAGACACATATTTTGACACGATTCTGTTGGAAATAAGCTTTGAACCGAGAGATATTCACGAATGATATGCACATTTTTGATTGTGCCATTGCTTTTCCATTGCACAATCCATGTATTGATAGAAGTAACATTAATAATGCAGATTGTTTTACCTTCAATACATGGCAGACACTACATATCGGTCTATTAAATACCAGTTTGTGCCTTAAATAGTTTCATATTTCCATCCACGGCCTGGAGCCTGGGTGTGGTTGTCTCTTATTTGTCAGGCTTATTTTTATGCTTGTGAATTTGTGGGGCTGGTAGGGCCACCAATCCCCTGGCCCCGTCCATACTTTATTCTACTTCCCACCTTTACTCGAGTCTCCATAGCCAATTACCGGAGTTCCAGAGGGCTTGGAAGAAGATAACTGTGCCACCAGGTACCTCTGGGGGTCAAGATTGGATTAGACATTTGAAGTAAGACTGATCTATGACTGTTGCACGAACCCCCAACCCCCGGGCCCCAACCTAGCATACTTCCGGGCATACCTCACTTACGAATCAGCAAGGGGGTAATATAAAGGTCGGGGGTAAAGTAAGTATCATCTGAGACTAACATAAAAGGGGGCGTTGCAGAATTTAACATGATGCAAACTCGACATTATAACTCATACTGTAACATTTTCACCTCGCTGAAAAACAATAGGAATTATTTTTCTTGCCAATCAATCATGAATCACAATCAAAATTTCAGAATGATCAATCAGGGCGGCAATGGTCCAAATCAAGTTATAACATTATACAGGATGTCCCAAAAAAAGGAAACCAGCAATAGATTGCTTATTTCTCAAATATGAATAATGATATGAAAATTTCACAGCTACCATCTGATAGATTATGATGTCCTCTTTCTTATGATACCAAAGTTGTCTATTTTCCTTCACGGATGACTGAGCTATAAGGGATTTAAGTGACCATGTCAGAAATGAGTTTGTACCACTTTCAGCCAAGTCAATTTCACCATCATAACAAAGTGATAAGTAACAACAAACATAAGGATATCACTCTTTTACTCATTTATTCCAATTAAAATTACACATATCATATTTAACACCCCTTTTAAATCCCAATGTCCATTTAAAGTTGTTTTAACCCCAGTGTCCTTCAACATGACCCCCATTCCTTTCAATGCAAATGTCTCCCCATGATCTCCTAGCATGTACTGCATCCCCGATGATGTCTCTCTGTCCCCTTAAATCCTTCACTGCTGCGACAATCCTGGCCCTTAGATCATCAACGTCTCTTGGTGGTGTTGTGAAGACTTTACCCTTAAGATAACCCCAAAGGAAGAAGTCGCAGGGTGTCAGGTCTGGGGATCTTGGTGGCCACTCAATCTCGTGGTTCAAGGCAATCACTCTTCTGTTGAACAGCGCCCTTAATCTGTCCCAAACAATAATCCGACGATGAGGAGGAGCACTACGAATACTCTTTGATCTTGGGTCAGCTGCATGAACTTGCTATGTTGAATGCTTGTTTAGAAATGTGTATTTCGAATAGGACATGGTCTTGCAAAGCCATTTTAATCCCTCATTGTTCAGCCATTCATGACAGAAAAAGTGGCACAAACCAATTTCTGACATGGTCACTTAAATCTCTTAGAACTCAGTCATCCGTGAAGAAAAATAAACACCTTTGGTATCATAAGAAAAAGGACATCATAACCTATCAGATGGTAGCTGTGAAATTTTCCTATTATTATTCATATTTGAGAAATAAGCAATCTATTGCTGGTTTCCTTTTTTTGGGACACACTCTATGATATTCAGCAAGAAGTCCGGTAAAACTATAGAATATTTAAACATCAAAGCTGAAAGTTAAAAGCTATTCTGTCTGCAAAAGAACGTTTACATTTGGCACAATAACACACTGCTGAGGCTTTGAAATCTAGGATTCCCCAGGAAAATATGACGTCATACTAATTAGCATAAGGAATTCCCTATTGGTCTGGGTCGAGCCTTGTTCGAAAACACAATCCATAAATACATGCTAATTTCTAAGGAGATAGGAAGTGTATAACGTGTTTATCGATTTTTTTTAAAGATTTAATCAATTATCAAATTGTTTAAGTGGATAAAGTGGTCACACTTGCTTCAATTCATAGCGTAATCAACGGATAGAAACTGACCGAATTCCCGATATCCTACCCCGTATTACTGTAGGCTATAAGCACAGTGACCTACAGAGGGCGCTATCACAAACAAGTACTGCACGAACTGATAAATTCCCCGGTATTGTAACGCCCTTGGTTTAACTAGTTCCACATATCATTTACATAACCAGGAACACAAAGGAAATGGTTAGAATGACCATAAACATGATGAAATAACCTTTTCAGCCCTCTGAAAATGTGACTGAAAAATAGCTAAGAGTAGGTGCTCAGGAAAGGTCACTGCACAGAATCTTTTGACTTTTTCAGAAAATGTGCTCAATATATTGCTCTAAATGATACAATTTAAAAAAATTGATAGCATTGTTAGAAAAAGAAAAAAAATGAAAAAAACTGAATTGAAAATTGATCTATTTTCCTTTTTACTACAGCCATTATTGTTTCAGACAATTTTTTAAAATTTCAAAGATTGTAAAAATTTTCAAAATCCAGCAGGGTTTTGTCATTTTTTGTTTTGTCATTTCCTGTTAACTTCCATGGCACCTTAACTGACTGGAGGTCAAAACAGAACTCTGATATCTTGGTTCAAAAAATGTTTGAAATCCAGCATGGCTTTGGCAATTCCTGTTTTGTTATTTCCTGTTTACTACCAAGGCACCTTAATTTTTGACCGAATTTTAAAGAAATAGAAGGGGAAATGAGCCTTAAATCAAAAAGACAAGCAGAGAAATTTCTATCTGATATTTAGGACCACTGGCCTGTGCATCCAGGGTTATGTACTTGGCTAGACCTAAAGTTGGACCCACTTGCTATGATCTCCTCAGCATCTTCTTTCGTTCTTCAAGTTCTCAGAAGTTCAAATCAAGATTTGAGATTTTATCTTCAATGACCTTATCAGGACTTGTTTCAAAATATTTTTTCAAATCATCTACAGAGTTCTCAGAAATTCAAATCTGACTTCAGTTTGAACTCGTAATATTGTGAGCAACTAGGTGGTGACATTTTGTCATGTTAATGCCTTGTTTAAACTTGGGGTAGGAATTTCCCCAAAAATTCCATTCCCTCCCTTTCTTTGCCCCTGATTTTACAATACATATACAGCAGTTCATTATTTTCACAGTTGAACCATCTTGGACGAGAGTTGCCAACAATCCAAGAAGAGAGTACCTTCATACAGCCACAGGTGCCGCAGCCTCAGTTTGACTATAACATTTTCCCTAGCAACCCGTACCAGCAACAGGGTCAGGTGATTAACCCAGCCTTTAATGCTAACTATGGCAACAATATTGAACTCCTGAAGAAGATAAATCAGATGCTTGATAATTCTCTGGACCTGAACAACTTGACAGGACTTGCTCTACCAACAGAACAACAGCTTAAAGGTGAGAAAATGTTGCACATGCCATTGATGTATGTAAAGTTTAAATCACACCTATTGGTTAGCCAATAAGAGTCAGGGAAGTGGTCTTTCATGAATTTTACTCAATGTGATTGTCAGTAGTGGTCAGATCTTGGTATAAGGAAGAAACACTTGAATTAGACATGTGTGCTACAATTTGACATTTATTATGAAGAAAATTCTCAGAAGGGAAATACCCATACAGATGTTATGACCCCAGATGTTCTCAAACATCTTAAACAAATGTTGATGTTATGTCAGATATACATTACCCTGCGTGCAGAGTCTAGTTAAACTACACTCTGCCTACCATCTACCATATTACAGTTTAGTAGCCCCGCCCCCACGACGGGTACCGGTAACAGTTTGGGTAATAAATCACTTCTGACCTACGCGCTGACCTTCTTCCACCAATCAGCGAGCTTGAAGAAACATACGCCAAATGCGTTCTAATTAAATATGCGCGTGTCATTGGTCAATTCCGGGCTCAACGATGACGTCAGAAGAATGACCATATATAGAACGTCGGTCAAATTTGGCCGACGAACACTGATTGGCGCGGTGAGTTCACAGGTTTATTTTAGTTTGAAAGAGTGAAGACGAAGCTCTCTATTAAGAAGTGAAGTCAAACGAATGCAAAGGGTAGATATACATGTAGTTAGTTATATAAACAGTTATAGGCAGATAACAATTAAAATGTGTTTTACCTGCCACTGAAATCTATAGATAAAAGTGAAACTAGTTTTTTTGTATATTATTAACATTGGTAACCACATACCCTGGGAGAGATGTATAATATCTAAACCCTCTGTATAACTTTCTTAAACCATTGTGTGCGATAGTATGATAGCAAACAAGAATGCAGGAATATATAATGTATGGAATACATCTGTTATAAACCATTGTGTACGATAGTATGATAGCAAACAAGAATGCAGGAATATATAATGTATGGAATACATCTGTTATAAACCATTGTGTACGATAGTATGATAGCAAACAAGAATGCAGGAATATATAATGTATGGAATACATCTGTTATAAACCATTGTGTGCGATAGTATGATAGCAAACAAGAATGCAGGAATATATAATGTATGGAATACATCTGTTATAAACCATTGTGTACGATAGTATGATAGCAAACAAGAATGCAGGAATATATAATGTATGGAATACATCTGTTATAAACCATTGTGTGCGATAGTATGATAGCAAACAAGAATGCAGGAATATATAATGTATGGAATACATCTGTTATAAACCATTGTGTACGATAGTATGATAGCAAACAAGAATGCAGGAATATATAATGTATGGAATACATCTGTTATAAACCATTGTGTACGATAGTATGATAGCAAACAAGAATGCAGGAATATATAATGTATGGAATACATCTGTTATAAACCATTGTGTACGATAGTATGATAGCAAACAAGAATGCAGGAATATATAATGTATGGAATACATCTGTTATAAACCATTGTGTGCGATAGTATGATAGCAAACAAGAATGCAGGAATATATAATGTATGGAATACATCTGTTATAAACCATTGTGTACGATAGTATGATAGCAAACAAGAATGCAGGAATATATAATGTATGGAATACATCTGTTATAAACCATTGTGTGCGATAGTATGATAGCAAACAAGAATGCAGGAATATATAATGTATGGAATACATCTGTTATAAACCATTGTGTACGATAGTATGATAGCAAACAAGAATGCAGGAATATATAATGTATGGAATACATCTGTTATAAACCATTGTGTGCGATAGTATGATAGCAAACAAGAATGCAGGAATATATAATGTATGGAATACATCTGTTATAAACCATTGTGTGCGATAGTATGATAGCAAACAAGAATGCAGGAATATATAATGTATGGAATGCATCTGTTATATACCATTGTTTTTGGATCCAGGGTTTATTCATCAGGAAATATGTGTATCTCCCTTGGGCCTCTTCTCACCTTCAATTGTAACTGATGCTTCCCTCCTCACCTCCAATAAGTTTAAAAAGACATAAGATTTCTGTAAATTTTCAAAATGTATTCTAGAAATTATCATTTACAGTTTATTATGAGCTTATTCAGAACATTAATGTATCATGATACTGCCTAAGTTGAAACATATAGCAAGGGCAGTCATATTTATAATGGTATGATTAAATTCAATCTTACGCTTATGAATCAAATTAAAATCAATAATTAACTTGTAGTGCTGTCCCCAGCTCCGATTTCGGTGATCGGCTAGTAAAAAAGGTTTGAGAGTATCATTTTGTTCCAGACACTCTCTAGAGTAAACTATCCTAACTTGAGTAAAAATGTGTGGTAAGTAAATTCGCTATGGGCAGTTAAAGAGGCGCCATCTATTCATTTTAAAACAGGGGGTAGGGGTATAAAATAATTTTTAACACATCTTAATAGTAAAATGACATTGAAATACTAATAAAATCTTATCAAAAACATTATTTACAATCAGTATGAATTTTTTTGTGTGAATTAGGGTGAAAATAAGGGCATATTTTGAAATTCACTACAGGGGCGCCACCTATTTTCATACTTCTACCACATGTAATAACTTATTTTAGATTCGTTAAGGTACGAAATGTACTGAAAAAATTCATTCTGAAGGACCTATATATGTTCATACCACATACTTAAAATTGGATCAATAGCTTATGTACTGGCGGAGAAAAATATTATTGAAATATAAAATTTTGGCATCATGCAGGATAGGGGTGACCATATCTCACATGATTAACTTCCAAAATATGGAGCATATGTATCTCAAATGTACTCAAAATGGTGTATGTACTCTTGCTTTGTCATAATATTACTAATAAGAAGTAGAAAAATGATTGTACATTTTAAAAAATATTAATTCTCATTTTGGCTTCTGACGTCCCAAGGGTGACCATATCTCACCTTAATAACTTCCAAAATATGGAGCATATGTATCTCAAATGTACTCAAAATGGTGTATGTACTCTTGCTTTGTCATAATATTACTAATAAGAAGTAGAAAAATGATTGTACATTTTAAAAAATATTGATTCTCATTTTGGCTTCTGACGTCCCAGGGGTGACCATATCTCACCTTAATAACTTCCAAAATATGGAGCTTATGTATCTCAAATGTACTCAAAATGGTGTATGTACTCTTGATTTGTCATAATATTACTAATAAGAAGTAGAAAAATGATTGTACATTTTAGAAAATATTGATTCTCATTTTGGCTTCTGACGTCCCAGGGGTGACCATATCTCACCTTAATAACTTCCAAAATATGGAGCATATGTATCTCAAATGTACTAAAAATGGTGAATGTACTCTTGCTTTGTCATAATATTACTAATAAGAAGTAAAAAAAAATAATTGAACATTTAGAATAATATTGATTCTCATTTTGGCTTCTGACGTCCCAGGGGTGACCATATCTCACCTTAATAACTTCCAAAATATGGAGCATATGTATCTCAAATGTACTCAAAAAGGTGTATGTACTCTTGCTTTTTTATCATAATATTACTAATAAGAAGTAGATAATGATTATACATTTCAAAAATTTTAATTTTAGCTTCTTACGTTCCTGGGTAATCATATCGCACCATATAATAATAATAACTAGACTTTGGAAATTGAACAAGTTCAATTTCAGACTCCAGATTTAGACTTTAAGCTGAGTCATCCACAATAAGCAGAGTCATCCAGAATAAGCCAAGTCATCCAGAATAAGCCGAGTCATCCAGCATAAGCTGAGTCATCCAGAATAAGCAGGTGGATGGCTGGACTGATGGATGAATGGATGGATTGATAGGAGGAAGGATAGGACAGAATAGGAAGGAAGGATAGGATATAATAGGAAGAAAGGATAGGATAGTATAGGGTATGAAGGATAGAATAGGATACGATAGAATCCGAAGAAAAATAAGATAGGACAGAATAGGAAGGATAGGATAGGATAGGAAGGATAGGAAAGAAGGATAGGATTGGATAGGATAGGTGGGATGGATATAGCCGAGTATTCCAGAATAAGCCAAGTCATCCAGAATAAGCTGAGTCATCCAGAATAAGCCGAGTCATCCATAATAAGCCGATGGATGGATGGATTGATGGATTAATGGATGAATGGATGGATTGATAGGATAGGAAGGATAGGACAGAATAGGGAGGAAGGATAGGATAGTATAGGATAGGATAGGAAGGATAGAATAGTATACGATAGAATCCGAAGAAAGAATAAGATAGGACAGAATAGGAAGGATGGGATAGGATAGGAAGGAAGGATAGGATAGGAAGGATAGGAAAGAAGGATAGAATTGGATAGGATAGGTGGGATGGATATTATAGTCGATTCATCCAAAATAGCCAAGTCATCCAGAATAGGCGGAGTCATCCACAATAAGCTGAGTCATCCAGAATAAGCCGATGGATGGATGGATTGATGGATGAATGGATGAATTCATAGGATAGGACAGAATAGGAAGAAAGGATATGATAGTATAGGATAGGATAGGATAGGAAGGATAGAATAGGATATGATAGAATCCGAAGAAAGAATAAGATAGGACAGAATAGGAAGGATGGGATAGGAAGGAAGGAAGGAAGGATAGGAAAGAAGGATAGGATTGAATAGGATAGGTGGGATGGATATAGCCGAGTCGTCCAGAATAAGCCAAGTCGTCCAGTCCTATCCCTCTTTCCTATCCTTCTTATCCTATCCTTCCTTCCTATCCTATCCTTCCTTCCAGAATAGGAAGGAAGGATAGGATAGAATAGGAAGAAACGATAGGATAGTATAGGATAGGAAGGAAGGATAGGATAGGAAGGATAGGAAAGAAGGATAGGATTGGATATACGATAGGATATAGGATATATATAGAATAGGAAGGAAGGATAGGATAGGAAGGAAAGGATAGGAAGGAAGGATATGATCAGACAGGATAGGAAGGAAGGATGGATGATTTTTTCTATATTTTCTTCGCTACTCTTGACTTTCTATAAGGATATAATCAGATCGATTTTTCTCGAAATTTCAAAACGCCATAACTTTTGAACCGGAAGTCGAATTGAAATTTGGTTTGCAGATTCGGATTCCTGAGTAAATTCTACCCTTAATTCATAACTCAGATGTTAAATTTGGATAACTTTTTATTTTGACCTATTTTCTGGACGCCATATTTCAAAATCTGTAAGCGTAATCAAAAATCTAATGTCATATCTTTGCTTTGGCTTTTTCTAAGCTACATGATGAAAAAAAGATTTAGGAGTTACGATAAACAACGACGAAGATAAATGACAGAATGTTGAAAATGTAAGATTTAACCTAGTTCTTGACCTTTGACCTAGATAAAAATTTGACCCAATTTCCGAGAAACTATATCTAGGACCTAAATGGACCATATATAAGACTTGACTCAATATCTTCTAGTTAACGAGAAAACTGGGAAAGAATAATAAACAAAGAATAATAATAAAGAATACTGACGAAAACAATAGACTCCAGATTTACATCTGGAGTCTAATAACTTCTAAGATACTGTATGTAACATATAATCCTCATCCTGTCTTTTTCATATTACTAATGAAATGTAGAAAAATGTAGCATTTTTTTTATAAATTTTAATTTTAGCCTCTGGTGTCCCAGGGGCTATCTCACCTTGATAACTCTCACGATATGCAACATATGCATCTCAAATGTGTGCTCAAAATGGTATAAATATAGTCTTGTTTTGTCATATTTATTGAGAATAATAAAATCAACAGTTCAGAATCAATGGATTTTGACTGTCTCCTCTACAGCTACATATAATTCAGGGCAAATAATATCTGCTTTCAAATATTTGCATCTGCTCCCCAAACACCCTTTACAAGTACAATGGATGAGATTATTCCCTTGCATACCTTGGATCCAACATCTTTTGTAATCCATACAGGAATCCTTTTAGCCTGTCAATAGTGGGAGTACTTTACTCCATTCATGAAGTAATGGCAACTGCTAATGTAAGGTGTTAATATGTTATACTGTGGCCTGCAATATATGCACCTTGGATTATACACTGAATTAAGGGATTTTGAGTATGTAAAATACGGGAAAAGGAGCTCTTTGTAATGATAAATCTTTCTAGCCACATTAACATTCACTAGTTTGCATGTTTGTCATACAACATACATTGATTGTAATGAAATATTAATCTATGATTGTGATGTCCCACACTTCTAGGGTCCCAAAGAAGAGCTTAGCTTTTGGAACAATTGCATTATTCTTGGCACGGTAGGCCATACAGTGAATACAACTGTTGAGATTGGGCAATAACAATATAGCACAACATGACATGCAAACTAGAGAATGTCAATCAGGATTAGAAGCGACTTATCGCCCTTGTAATTTAGCAGTGGGACAGTTTGGTGTATGTTTGGGCATAAATGCGCCTTTTAGGCCTAATTTTTCAGGATATTTTCAAAATTTGGGGTCAGATTTGGGGTTAAGGGGCCAATTTTGGTAAATGAAGCTAGGCTACTCACACTACTGATAGGCTACCAGTATACAAAAGATGTTGCATCCAAGGCATGCAAAAGACTTATCGTCCATTGTTCCTGTAATATAAGGAGTGTTTGGGGAGAAGATGCAAATATTTGAAAGTAGATCTTAATGTCTCTGGACTATATGTAGCTGAAGCCTGCAGGGGAGACAGTCCAATCCATAAATTCTGAACTTCTGATTTCATGAATCTCAATAAATATGACAAAACAAGACTATATTTATACCATTTTGGGCACGCATTTGAGATGCATATGTTGCATATCGTGAGAGTTATATCAAGGTGAGATATAGTTGCCCCTGGGATGTCAGATTCGGATGCTAAAATGAAAATTTCAATTCAAAAAAGGTCTAATAATTTTTTCTACATCTCATGAATAATATTATGACAAAGCAAGACCATATGCCCCATTTTTGGTATATTTGAGTTGTATATGTTACATAATTTTAGAAGTTATTGAGGGATGTCAGAAGCTAAAATTAAAATTTTTTGAATGTATAATCTTCTTATTAGTATAATATTATGACAAAGCAAGAGTACATACACCATTTTGAGTACATTTGAGATACATATGCTCCATATTTTGGAAGTTATTAAGGTGAGATATGGTCAGACCTGGGACGTCAGAAGCCAAATTGAGAATTAATATTTTTTAAAAATGTGCAATCATTTTCCTACATCTTATTAGTAATATTATGACAAGACACGACTATATACACCATTTTGAGTACATTTGAGATACATATGTTACATATTTTGGAAGTTATTAAGGTGAGATATGGTCAGTGGTCATCCCTGGAACGTCGGAAGCTAAAATGAAGATTAATATTTTTAAAATGTACAATTATTTCTCTACATCTTATAAGTAATATTATGACAAAGCAAGACTATATACACCATTTTGAGCACATTTGAGATACATATGCTCCATATTTTGAAAGTTATTAAGGTGAGATATGGTCACCCCTGGAACGTCAGAAGCCAAAATGAGAATTAATATTTTTTAAATTGTACAATCATTTTTCTACTTCTTATTAGTAATATTATGACAAAGCAAGAGTACATACACCATTTTGAGTATATTTGAGATACAAATGCTCAATATTTTGGAAGTTATTAAGGTGAGATATGGTCACCCCTGGAACGTCAGAAGCCAAAATGAGAATTAATATTTTTTAAAATGTACAATCATTTTTCTACTTCTTATTAGTAATATTATGACATAGCAAGAGTACATACACCATTTTGAGCACAATTGAGATACATATGCTCCATATTTTGGAAGTTATTAAGGTGAGATATGGTCACCCCTGGGACGTCAGAAGCCAAAATGAGAATTAATATTTTTTAAAATTGTACAATCATTTTTCTACTTCTTATTAGTAATATTATGACAAAGCAAGAGTACATGCACCATCTTGAGTACATTTGAGATACATATGCTCCATATTTTGGAAGTTAATCATGTGAGATATGGTCACCCCTATCCTGCATGATGCCACAATTTTAAATTTCAAGAATTTTTTTCTCCCCAGGTACGAAAGCTATTGATCCAATTTTAAGTATGTGGTATGAACATATATAGGTCCTTCAGAATGAATTTTTTCAGTACATTTCGTACCTTAACGAATCTAAAATAAGTTATTACACGTGGTAGAAGTATGAAAATAGGTGGCGCCCCTGTAGTGAATTTCAAAATATGCCCTTATTTTCACCCTAATTCACACAAAAAAATTCATACTGATTGTAAATAATGTTTTTGATAAGATTTTATTAGTATTTCAATGTCATTTTACTATTAAGATGTGTTAAAAATTATTTTATACCCCTACCCCCTGTTTTAAAATGAATAGATGGCGCCTCTTTAACTGCCCATAGCGAATTTACTTACCACACATTTTTACTCAAGTTAGGATAATTTACTCTAGAGAGTGTCTGGAACAAAATGATACCCTCAAACCTTTTTTACTAGCCGATCACCGAAATCGGAGCTGGGAACAGCACTATTGTGTGAGAACATTAATGACAATTAAGCATCAATTGTAGCTTGGCTAAAAACAGTTATTTACTTGTTTCACATTAAAGGTAGGTACCCTTTATTTACAATGTAGAACTCAGAACTGAGAAGACTCTGAGAAGAATCACTGCATGATAGAGGTTTTCTCTCTATTGGTGTTTACGAATCCAACGGAGATGTTTTCAAGGGTCAAAATGAAGAAAAAGAAGTTTTGTTCTGGAAACTAGTTCACTGTAAAAAGTGATGTTTACTAATATTTTAAAAGGGTTGATCACTTGAGAGAGGGATGTTCATTAGAGGAGATTGAAGTTTTCAAACTTCATTGTGTTCACTGGAGCACTTCAGTTTGAACAAATCCTCAAAAGAGAAATGAAATAAAATCTATCTCCTCTGAACACCTTGACTGGCCAAAAGGATTTGAATCAGCTGGTCTTCACATACAAGGTTTTCTCAACATGTAAGTCAATGGGAGATAATGAACTTTGGACCAAGAAAGTGTTCATATTGAGAGGTGTTCAGATTAGAAAGGTGTTTGGTTTTACTGTATTGAAACTTCAGGCAAATATGCATTAAAAAAAGGTTGTGTTTTGCAGAGGCGTAGCGTGGGTATTTTGTGAGAGTACGCCACGAGTGAGCGAAGTGAACGAGTTCGAGGGGGGTTTGGGGGGGGGTTCTCCCCCAAGAAAATTTTAAAATGAGATTGCATTTGAAGCGTCCTGGGTCGGTTTGAAATACGAAATTCCGACTTAATCTGGACCAATTCAAAATGTAAATTATTAGTCATTTTTATCCAATATTTTATGATTACATGAACCCGTTTTAAAATAATGGCAAGATCATTTTTCTCTCAAATTTGAGAGTACGCAATGGCGTTTTTTGCGTATATGACGCTACGCCATTGGTTTTGTGTTTGTAGATCTAGGAGTCATGCCTGCCCAGGCTGCTATGCCAATGTCCGCAGCTGAGATGATGTTCCAGAATGGACTGCAACAAGGGGGGATAGACAATTACTGTAACAGCTACGCAACACCTGGCTCTTCCAATAACTTTTCTAACCCAACCAACTTCAACACGACTCTTTATAACACAGGTAAGTTCTACTTGTGGAGTCAAAGGTAATAACGGTTATGGTGACATCTTTATTTAAAACCGCTACTTTGACATATTTGGGATTAAAGAGTCAATCATGGTATAAATTGGTCAAGGTCATTCAAAAGTGGCCACTTCAGAGATATGTAGTCAGAATATATTCTCCCGAAAACATTTGGGTATACATGTATGTCCCTGTGTATATGTCTAAATCAATGAGATTCATGATTGACCGCATTCATGATTGCTTACAACCATAAATACATTGTAAAAGTTTTCAGTGTAACATAGTCCCTTGGGAAATGCACCTATTTCCCTTGAGATAAACCATGGGCTTTCAACTAGATTGAAAGCCCATGGATAAAATGTGTATCCCAAACCTCCCAGTACATCCTAGAGAGTACATCACCCTTATAAGTTTTATAACACATCAAAAATGTAACACACAGACATCTGCATGGATTGTTAATCAAAAAATGAAAAATGGGTTTTGTTGTTTTTAGGTGCTGTGCAACCAGCTTTTTCAACATTGAATCCTGGGGCTGTGAACTTCACATCACAACAGAATATGCCCCACATGAACCCACCCCCTTTACCTCCCCTGCCTTCAGTCCAAAAACAACAGAACTTTATTCCTGGAGCAATATCTAATAGGGCCTTGGAGGAACTGTCCGCGGATTCCCCACAGAAATCTGGATACAGAGCCATACAAAAAGCTGAACAGAAAATTAGGTGAGCCTCTCCGGTTTTGTTGGAATTCCTGACAAATGGCAATAAAAGAATAAAAAAAACTAGAGAGCTATTTGAAATTGAAAATTTAAATACAGTAAAACCTGTGTAAAGTGAACACCTATGGAGCCACAAAAATGTGTTCACTGTAGGTAGGTATTCACGACAGAGCAGCAATTTTATACAGAAGTCAGTGGAGTATGTGTTAGGAGGTGTTCACTAGACACAGGTGTTTACGAAAGAGAGGTGTTCACTCAGTGTTTTCTAAAACAACGATTTAATTTAATTAATTTGTACATTTCGGGCCATACAGTCCGTTATGTCCCCTGACCGTGTTACCACAAGTGCTGCAACACCTTGGCTTAGCTCCTTGCGTTTCTATATCACTATTAGTATCCATTATACGGTTCTTCAAAAACTTCTTCAAAAAGCTTTACTCAACTATGACTACGTGTAAATCGAATGAACATAGGCATGCGCTAATAATCAGTTATAGTAAGATAATAAAGATGTCGCGATGCAATTAAAAACTATTTACTTTGTAAATAATCAATAGAATTTATAGAGTTATGTTGATTTTGATAAGGTAATTATCTTGATGAATATATCATTGTTATATGGTTTGAGCAAATGTTTTTCTGAACTTTCATAATTAACATTTGAATATTTTTTCTTATACATGTATTTTATTCTTCATTTCTAGTGAATTTGGAGGGCTCACATCAACTTATGGTGTCTATGACCACACAACGTACGATAGATCTCAGCTTGGCGATAAGCAGCTCAATGATTACAGTAGCTCCCTCTATACACATAATGCAGGCAATTGTAATACAGGTCGTTACATCACTCGCAGTCCCTCCCCACTTAGTGATTCTGATACAAGTGCTATTAGTATGGCCAGTGCAAGTACTGCCAGTGGGGGGATGCCCCATACAGAGAATGGGCCTGACTCAACTTTACAGCTAACTGATTTAATGGTAAGAATTTGCATACATTTGTGACTTATGTAAGTATATGCTACATCATCTGACATCCTTAATGTATTTAAAATATCAATACACTAAACATGTACTGCACAAACTTTTTATTAGACTCCAGATTGAAAATCTGGAGTCTATTGTTTTTGCCTGTTTTCTTTATTATTAGACTCCAGATGAAATCTGGAGTCTATTGTTTTCGTCAGTTTTCTTCTTATTATTATTATTCTTCTTCTTATTATTCTAACTCAGTTTTCTCAATAACCATAAGGTCTTCAGTAAAGTCAATCATTTGGTCAATTTAGGTTCAGTATCTAGTTCTCTGGAAATTGGGTCAAATTTTTATCTAGGTCAAAGGTCAAGAACTAGGTCAAATCCAGTACTTTGTCACTTTTTTCGATTTTCTCGGTCATCCTTCAATATTTTTGATCCGGGTTTTTTTCATTGTGTTCCTTATAAAAAAGTAGGAAACCTAGGGTCGATTTAGTTTTTTGATATCTCAAACCGATTTCGAGATATCAGTGTCCGAAAACGAGGTCCAAAAAAAAGTTCTCCGAATCAAATGTCCAGGATATTAGTCTTATAGGAAATTTTCTCAGAATTCGGAATCTGAAAACGAAATTTCGATCCGACTTCCAGTTCGGAAGTTATGGCGTTTTGAAAACTCAAAAATCGCTAAATTTGGTGCCCATGTTAAGTCAATGGGAAAGAATATTTTTTTGAAGTGAAAAATACGGAATAAAGACTGAGTTAAGCTTCATATAATCAAAGCCTTTAAAAGAAGGAGACCTCAAAAGCCATCTAGCTTCAAAATTTGGACACCGAAATGGCTAGGTCAAAATCTAGGTCAAATTCATATGTTTTCCTTATTTTTTCGATTCTGACACTACACTTTAATTATATTCTTCGAAATTGTGTATACTTGTAGCCAAGAATATGCTAATAGTGTTAGCCTTTTGCCGTCAGAAAGTATTTTGATCCATTTTTGAGATATGGTGTCCGAAAAGTAGGTCAAAATAAAAAGTTCTCCAAATTTAATATACGAGTTATGAATTATGGGTAGAATTCTGTCAGGAATCCGGATCTGCAAACCAAATTTCGATCCGACTTCCGGTTCGGAAGTTATGGCGTGTCCGAAAAGTAGGTCAAAATAAAAAATCTCCAAATTTAACGTATGAGTTATGAATTAGGGGCAGAATTTTGTCAGGAATCCGAATCTGCAAACCAAATTTCCGGTTCGGAAGTTATAGCGTTTTGAAATTTCGAGAAAAATCGATCTGATGGTATCCTGATAGAAAGTCAAGAGTAGAGAAGAAAATATTGAAAAATTCATCCATCCTTCCTATCTCATCCTATCCTATCCTTCCTTCATATTTTTTCCTTCCTATCCTTCCTATCCTATCCTTTCTTCCTATTCTATCCTATCCTTCTTTCTTATTCTATCCCATCGTTCTTTCCTATTCTATCCTATCCTACCTTCCTATTTTATTTATCCATCTCTTTCTAGATGACTCAGCTTATTCTGGATGACTCGGCTTATTCTGGATGACTCGGCTAAAAAAAGTCTAGATCTGGAGTCTGAAATTGAACTTCGTTCAATTTCCAAAATCTAGTTATTATTAGACTCCAGATTGAAAATCTGGAGTCTATTGCTTTTGCCAGTTTTCTTTATTATTATTATTATTATTATTATTTTTCTTTCTTTTTTCTTCCTCCTCACCAAATTTCTCGTCAACTATAACAGCTTACTTAATCCAACTTACATGGTTAACTAAAGACTGAAACCGGCTTTCTGGGAAATTAGGTCAAATTTTTATCTAGGTCAAAGGTCAAGAACTAGGTCAAATCTTACATTTTCAACATTCTTCATCATATCTTCGTCAATATTCTTCGTAACTCCTTCATCTTTTTTTCATCGTGTAGCTTAGAAAAAGGGGAATCAAAGATATGACATCAGAATTTTGATTACTCTTACCGATTTTGAGATACGGCGTCCGAAATGTAGGTCACGCCTAAACATGCTCCAAATCGAATGTGTGAGCTATGAAAAAGATGTAGAATTTTCTCAGGAATCCAAATCTGCAAACCAAATTTGGATCGGACTTCCGGTTCGGAAGTTATGGCGTTTTGAAAGCTCAAAAATCGCTAAATTTGGTGCCTATGTTAAGTCAATGGGAAAAAAGACTTTTTCGAAGTGTAAAATACAGGATATTGACTGAGTACAGCTTAACATAATGAATGCTTATAAAAGAAGGGGACCTCAAAAGCTACATAGCTTCAAAATTTGGACACCAAAATGCCTAGGTCAAAATCAAGGTCAAATTCATAGTTTTTCCTTATTTTTACGATTCTGACACTACACTTTAATAATTTACTTCAAAATTTTGTATACATGTAGCAAAGAGTGTGCTAATAGTGTTAGCCTCTTGCCGTCAGAAAGTATTTTGACCCACTTTTGAGATATGGTGTCCGAAAGTAGGTCAAAATAAAAAGTTCTCCAGATTCAACGTATGAGTTATGAATTAAGGGTAGAATCTTCTCAGGAATCCGAATCTGCAAACCAAATTTCGATCCGACTACCGGTTCGGAAGTTATGGCGTGTCCAAAAAGTAGGTCAAAATAAAAAAAATTCCAAATTTAACGTATGAGTTATGAATTAGGGGTAGAATTTTGTCAGGAATCCAAATCTGCAAACCAAATTACGATCCGACTTCCGGTTCGAAAGTTATGGGGTTTTGAAAGCTCAAAAATCGCTAAATTTGGTGCCCCATGTTATGTCAATGAGAAAAAGGATTTTTTTGAAGTGTAAAATACCAGATAAAGACTGAGTACAGCTTAATATTCTGAAAGCCTATAAAAGGAGGGGACCTCGAAGGCTATCTAGCTTTAAAATTTGGACGCAAAAATGCCTTGGTCAAAATATAGGTCAAATTCATAGTTTTTCCTTATTTTTGCGATTCTGACATTACACTTTAAGGATTTGCTTCAAAATTTTGTATACAGGTAGCAAAGAGTGTGCTTATAGTGTTAGCCTTCTGCCGTCAGAAAGTTTTTTGACCCACTTTTGAGATATGGTGTCCGAAATGTAGGTCAAAATAAAAAATTATCCAAATTTAACGTATGAGTTATGAATTAGGGGTAGAATTTTCTCAGGAATCAGAATCTTTAAACCAAATTTCGATCTAACTTCTGGTTAGATAGTTATAGCGGTTTGAAGTCTCGAAAAGTCGATATGATGATATCCCCATGTTAAGCTAATAGAGTCGAAGATAGCCTTCTTAAAAGTTGTCTAAATGTCTATATTCTAGCTGACTCAGCTTATTCTGAATGACTCAGCTTACAAGTTCTGGATGACTCAGCTTAAAAAAAATGTGAAATCTGGAGTCTTAAATTGAACTTGTTCAATTTACATGTCTAGTTATTATTATTTTTCTTCCTCCTCACCAAATTTCTCGTCAACTATAACAGCTTACTTAATCCAACTTACATGGTTAACTAAAGACTGAAACCGGCTTTCTGGGAAATTAGGTCAAATTTTTATCTAGGTCAAAGGTCAAGAACTAGGTCAAATCCAGTACTTTGTCACTTTTTCCCATTATCTCGGTCGTCCTTCAATATTTTTGATCCTGGTTTTTTTCATTGTGTTCCTCATAAAAAAGTAGAAAACCTAGGGTCGATTTAGTTTTTTGGTATCTCAAACCGATTTCGAGATATCAGTGTCCGAAAACAATGTCCAGGATATCAGTCTTATAGGAAATTTTATCAGGATTCTGAATCTGAAAACCAAATTTCGATCTGACTTCCGGTTCAGAAGTTATGGCGTTTTGAAAATTCAAAAATCGCTAAATTTGGTGCCCCATGTTAATTCAATGGGAAAAAATATTTTTTTGAAGTGTAAAATACGAGATATAGACTAAGCACAGCTAAACATAATGGAAGCCCATAAAAGAAAGGGACCACAAGACCTTCTTTTCATAAAAATTTGGGCACCAAAATGCCTAGGTCAAAATCTAGGTCAAATTCAAAGTTTTTCCTTATTTTTGCGATTCTGACACTACAGATTAATTATATTCTTCGAAATTTTGTATACATGTAGCCAAGAGTGTGCTAATAGTGTTAGCCTTTTGCCGTCAGAAAGTATTTTGACCCACTTTTGAGACATGGTGTCCGAAATGTAGGTCAAACTAAAAAGTTCTCCAAATTTAACGTATGAGTTATGAATTAAGGGTAGAATTTTCTCAGGAATCCAAATCTGCAAACCAAATATCAATCCGACTTTTGGTTTGGAATTTATGTCGTTTTGAAAGCTCAAAAATCGCTAAATTTGGTGCCCCATGTTATGGCAATGGGAAAAAATATTTTTTTGAAGTGTAAAATACGAGATAAAGACTGAGTACAGCTTCACATAATGAAAGCCTATAAAAGAAAGGGACCTCAAAAGCTAGCTAGCTTCACAATTTGGTCACCAAAATGCCTAGATCAAAATCTAGGTCAAATTTATAGTTTTAACTTATTTTTGCGATTCTGACACTACACTTAAATTATTTGCTTCAAAATTTTGTATACAGGTAGCAAAGAGTGTGCTAATAGTGTTAGCCTTTTTGCCGTCAGAAAGTATTTTGACCCACTTTTGAGATATAGTGTCCGAAAAGGAGGTCAACATGAAAGTTTCTCCAAATTTAACGTATGAGTTATGAATTAAGGGTAGAATTTTCTCAGGAATCCAAATCTGCAAATCAAATTTCAATGGCGTTTTGAAAAATTAAAAAATTGGTATTTTGATATCCCATGTTATGTCAATTATCTTTGTCACTATTCGTCGTTATTCCTTTATCTTTTTTTCATCATGTAGCTTAAAGACAGTCCTTTCATTATTGTAACTGTCTTTTTTGATTACTCTTACCGATTTTGACGAATGGCGTCCGGAAAGTAGGTCAACATAAAAAGTTTTCAAAATTTAATGTATGAGTTATGACACAAACGTAGAATTTTCTCAGAAATTCGAATCTGCAAACCAAATTTCGACCCAAATTCTGGTTAGATAGTTATAGCTGTTTGAAGTCTCGAAAAGTCGATATTATGATATCCCCATGTTAAGCCAATGTAGACGAAGATAAGCTACTTAGGAGTTGTCTAAATGTCTGTATTCTAGATGACTCAGCTTATTCTGAATGGCTCAGCTAACAGTATTTTGGATGACTCAGCTTAAAAAAAGTTTTAAATCTGGAGTCTTAAATTGAACTTGTTCAATTTACATGTCTAGTTATTATTTTTCTTTATAGGTCCATTAAAGAAATCGCAATCATCAAATTACAAAATTATTTATTTTGTTTTGAATTAAGTTCCTGTCCATTCCATATAGGAAAGTAATTTCAACCAGTTGATCTGAATCAACCACAAGTGGTGAAATATTGTTATAAGTCTCCAACTTTTTCGTGGATGGTATTTGGCATTTTGTGGTCTGCATCTGTAACAAATGGCAGGTGGTGACATTTTGCATGTTAATGTTTATGTTCTTTTGTAGAACTGCCTCAATATCAACCCAAACATGCTGTACCAACCAACAACAATATCCCCACTACCCTCCCCAGCTATGCCTCACAACCAACCATCTGCCCCACTACCCCAAGCCAACCAACAGTGCAACACCACAATGCAACATCACAACCAACAACCTCAACCAACCCAGAATGACCTGGTACGTGCTGTACAGATGCAGAGTGAGATACTACGCAGGTCTCATATGGTACGTGAGGAAGCTGCCCAGGCTAATGACAACACTGACAATAAAGCGAGTGGCATTAATTCCCTGTTCTGTACAAATTCCCAGGATCCCTATTCCATCGAACGAGCAGCCAAGCTTTATAGGAATGCTGCAGGTAGGTCATTTGTTAACAATTCTGACATTTTTGTAGTATTGAATCATTGTCATGCAACGAGCAATCTGATCCATTTTGTGACTCACTTTCTGCAACCTAGTTTCTGTTTTGTGAAATGACCTCTATTGTTGTTTTTCATTCATATTAAAACTCAATTGATCATGTATCATCAAAATCTGTTAAAAATGACATATTTAATGGTTTTACACCTTCACAAAAAAAACTGAAAACAAAAAGGTGTTTTTCTTCACAGGTAAATATAGATATAGAATGTAAAAATTGTTAGTACCTATTCTTGAATAATTGGTAATTATATAAACATAACAATATTCATCATGCAGATCAACCAGAAGTAATCCCAATCCTTTTTGTGTAAATGTATGTATATTTCTAGCTGTGTATGAAGCTACTTGTACATGGAGTGGCCAGTTACCCCCTAAGGCCTACAAGAACCCCACATACTCATGTAAAGTTTTCTTAGGGGGCGTTCCCTGGGACATCACTGAGAGTAAGTTCATCTTAGAGTCATTCTTTTACAGCTGGGGGGGACGGGGTCTTATTGTTAAAAAGACCCAGAAATGTAAGGTATAAGAGACACTATCATTTACTCCAAAGTTAAAAGTTTTGATTCTGGTTAAAGTTGTCTAACTTAAGTCTGTCTAAATGGACAAAAATGATTTCCTTTTCTAGCCATGAAATGCCTCTTGCAACCCCTTTACATATAATGTAATGTGTCTCCCAGATTCTGTTGATAATTGCACAATGCATTTAAAAATAGAGTTGTATTTTACAGCTGCACTGAGCAATATCTTCAAAGTGTTTGGACCAATGAGGATTGAGTGGCCAGAGAAGGACCATAAACATCCCAGGAACCCTCCTAAAGGTGAGCATAACATGTTTTTTTATTTGAAAAAGGGCCATATTATCATTGTCTTGTGCTGATGGGTGTGATGATGTGTGGGCAGGCACCACATGAATCAATTTTTGTCATCAAAATTCCAGGAAAACTCCTAACCTGTTCATTCAACTAGTTTATGTTTAGTTTTCTATTGGTGCCCCCTTTATGGAAGTCTGCATGCTGGATGTAATCTTATTAAACACTTGATTTTTATCACTCTTTGACACTTGCTCTTACTACTTATTAATTACAATTCAACTTAAAGCAGATATGAAATGGTATTTTTAACCTAAAGGAATCAATATAATTTTTTGATAAATGTATTTGGACATGTTTTCTCATCAGTAGTGCGAAAACTATTTCACTCTAACGATCGTTATAGCTGCTTTAATAAGCAATATTCGAATTGGTTGTGACGTTATTGGCCCCCACGTGATCTCTCACTGGTCCCCACGTGGCCCATAACGTCATAATGCCAAACTGTTTTGTTTTGGTTTACACTACAATCCTATGGTTGCCGTGACGTCGTGATTACTAAGGTACCAATAAACCAAAGCTATATTTTGTATATGACGTTACTTATCACGTGGGGGCCAATTTGATTGATCAGTTAGTTTTATTTCGTTATTTATGACCGTTAGCAGTTATCTAACATTTATTTCATAATGGCTATCGCAAGAACTCTGCGTTGGGCTTACAATGGAGAAAACCGCATTTTTGTAGCTGCAAGTTGAGAAAAGCTATTTCAGTTGTGCTTTAATATTGAATAAATGGTACAATGAGAAACAAAGCAAGTTTTTGAAATTCCACATATGGGACAATTGAATGAGTCGAATAGGATTGCAAATGAACCACCAGTGTGTTGACACACAGATTCAAACACAGACTGAGAGATGATTCCAATAGCCCTCCCTCCCAACCTCTCACATTACCAATAAACCATCTATGATTACTGTAATTTAATCCTCTATTGTAATTTAAACTACCTAGAATGCCTATTAGGCGATTGGTAGTAGATATTTTGTGTATTTTTTGATTATGAAGGAAATAAATAATATGCTAAAAAAAAAATAAAATAGCTACATCATGTGCTCCAATAACTAGTTAGAGTTGCATCGTGGATGTATGTATGAGACAACTACATAGTACTATTAACTCATATGTTCCAGGTTACGTGTACATTCTATTTGACTCTGAGAAGTCTGTGAAAGCTTTGCTCCAGGGCTGTACACATGACTTCAGTAATGGTGGGGAGTACTACTTCAAGATCTCAAGTAGACGCATGAGATGCAAGGAGGTTAGCAAGGAGTTACAATCCCTCATTAGTATTCAATGATTACTGACATATTTGCCACTTAAGTGTAAAGAATTTTAATGTGTGAAATTGATAATGAAATCCAAGGAGTGAATTCTTAGACATTAACTCCATAAGGAGTGACAAAGGATATAGGTACCTACTACCTATGTTGAGGGTAACTTTGCAAAATAGTTAGTTTTACCATCATATTTGCTTATCTATGCATTTCCTTCCCTCCTCTGCCCTTTTCCTACAAAATCCACAAGTTCTAACTTGTGTAATCAAGTTCTAAATCAAGTTCAAGGGTGGCTTTTTTTCATGATATAATTTGATTCCAGGTTCAAGTGATACCCTGGGTATTGACAGACAGTAACTTTGTGCGCCAGCCCTCCCAGAGACTTGACCCGAACAAGACTGTGTTTGTTGGAGCCTTACATGGAATGATGAATGCAGAGGGTTTGGCCCATTGTATGAACGATCTATTTGGCAATGTCGTCTATGCAGGGATTGACACAGACAAGCATAAGTATCCAATTGGTAAGCTAAAAACTATTCCAATATCTGCCGAGAGGCAAGATTTTAGAAAGGCTTAAATGAATTGGAAGGCTTAACTGCCACCCAAACTCCAAACTCTGTAGTTAAATTTTCTACCTCATTTCTGAAAATTTGAAATATGTGAGGTTCATTGAAATAATTATCATTTTTAATGAGCTATTGATGATGTGACTTTAACATTAAATGTGTATATAAATCTGTTGTCTTTGTGTTCAATAGCAGTGGAATGATAACTGAACTATCAAATCCCAGCCTGAAATGCTCACCAGCGTATTAATTTTCAAAATGCATTCATTAAGTCATTTTATAGTAAATGAAATAAGAAATGACAAAAACATTGACAGTGTTAATAATGTATTGTTGGAAAATATTAAAGTTTAAATCTGATAACTCTTCCTCATACCCTTTCTAATAGTAACATCCACTAGCCTTGAGTTTGAGAGTATTTCTTATCTGGCTTGTGCTAAAAGCATTTGATCATATACATATATTTCAGGTTCAGGACGCGTAACATTCAGCACACATAAAAGCTTCATGAAAGCTGTCACATCTGCCTTCATAGAGATAAAGTCGCCAAAGTTCACCAAAAAGGTAGGTTTGTTTTTGATCTGTGTTGTTATTTTTAAACATGACCACTCAACATTGATGAAATTCAGATATTTTTCATGTTTCTCTTTTGATAAAATTTTTTTTTCTGATTTTTTTTAACAATTGTATTTTAAAGGTATTTTAAACAACTCGAATATATACAAAAAAACTCAAATATGTCATGGAAATAAATTCCAGTTCCAAGTTAATTTGCCAACAAAATTTGAAATATTTTTTTAGAAGTACATGTATTTAACTTACAATTAAATGCTATATCAACTATTTTCGTTTACCTTGATTGTCTCCCACTTAAGCCATTCTCATATCAACTGTACATGTATGTTCCACTTCAGGTTCAGATTGATCCTTACCTGGAAGATTCCCTCTGCAACACATGCAACATGACACAGGTCCCTTTACAGTCATTCTCATATCAACTGTACACGTATGTTCCACTTCAGGTTCAGATTGATCCTTACCTGGAAGATTCCCTCTGCAACACATGCAACATGACACAGGTCCCTTAACAGTCATTCTCATATCAACTTTATGTTCCACTTCAGGTTCAGATTGATCCTTACCTGGAAGATTCCCTCTGCAACACATGCAACATGACACAGGTCCCTTAACAGTCATTCTCATATGAACTTTATGTTCCACTTCAGGTTCAGATTGATCCTTACCTGGAAGATTCCCTCTGCAACACATGCAACATGACACAGGTCCCTTTACAGTCATTCTCATATCAACTTTATGTTTCACTTCAGGTTCAGATTGATCCTTACCTGGAAGATTCCCTCTGCAACACATGCAACATGACGCAGGGCCCATTCTTCTGCCGAGATTCCAACTGTTTCCGCTACTTCTGCCGATCATGTTGGCAGTGGCAACACTCGCTAGACTCGCTACGTCATCACAAGCCTCTAATGCGAAACAGCAAGACGAACCCAAACCCTACCTCAACTGTTGGGCTTCTATAATTACAAGACAAGAGACTCTTCTAATGGGACTCTGTAACTATGGGACATATTTATCTATGGGATTTCAGTTACTATAGCTACTATAGGTCCGTTGAGAAAATGTGAGTTGTTATCGAGGCAAGTTCTGTCTTGACATATAAATATGATTTCTGATTTCAAGTGGAAAGATGGTTATGTTACTTTGCTAGCTGTCTCAAAATATTCTTGATTTTAAAAAGTTGTATGTAAAATGTTAGAAATGCAGGGAAATTATTTAAAATGGCTTTATTTGTCTGATTTCTATGTCATGTAGACATCAGTTGGTGTTTTCTATTCTACAGTTATCAAGTAATATGAGTTTTGAGAATTAACTCAAAATTTTGTGAAAAGAATATGATCTGTGACATAATGCTTATTTGTTGACATGAAAGCTTATTTGTTGACACCGTTGCTTCTTTATTGACATCAAAGCTTATTTGTTGACACCATAAATCATTTGTTGACATCAGTAGGTTGTTGACCATGAAACTTATGTTTATTTCATACTCATAGAAACCATTATAAGAAAGCTAAAAGTATTCATAAACCAAATATTAAAAAAAGAAACAAAAAAATGTATTTTTAGTTGTGAATAGCGCCACAAATTGTCGGACGCTTATATTATTTACGCAACAGAGCCCTGCTGGTTTATGACTTAATAGCAGACAAAATCTGTCTCTAAAGTATATTTTAATAAAAAAAATTCAGTGTACTGTATTTAATATGAATCTAAACTGATGGGGTGCTCAAAATATAGGCACTCTTGCTCAACTTTAAAATCTGAACATACACATGCATGGGTGTGTATATTTTGAACACCCTGTAGGTGAAATTGTTGATTATGAGTGATTTATAGTTTATATGCTACATTAAAATGTAGGCGATTTTAAACATGTATATTTCCATATGTGGAAAGTTTAGTTAACATATTTCTAACCCAGTTTTAACTAATATTCTTGTACACTGTGTGCTTAAAGTTAATTAATTCAATTAAATCCACGTCAGTGTTAAATATATGATCCGTCTCTGAAATATAACATTTTCATAAGACACTGGGTTTTTAAAAATATTTTCAAATTGACATTTTTACAAAGATCAAATCTCAAATTGAATGAAAATCCTGATCTTCAATCATGTTTTATAAGGAAAATAATTTTTATATGGGAATAAGGTTGAAGCTATGTAATACATAAATGACTTACTGAGGCACCCCCCCCCCCCTTCCTTTCATCCATATGTGTTTTGAAGGGGGTAGGGAGGGTACATGTCACTTCAGAAATTGCTTCAAAATGATCTATACAAGGTTCTGGTATAATCTGGTTAAGTAAAATGGATTGTATGGAAATCTATGCAAATTCATCGCTTATTCTAACTTTTAAAAACCTGAATAATTTTTTAAGTATATTATGGTACGTAACCTTTGTTTATACATGTACATTAATGGAAGAGATGGCAGATTGGTACTCTTTTAGTTATTTCTAAAAAACATTTGTTTCATTTTGGTCTCACCATTTTAAATCGGACTTGAAATAGTGCTACTTTTATCCTCTGATTTTTATTCTGTATTTGTGAGGCACCCATTGAGAAATACACACAAAGTTGAACTACAACTACCCCCATTGGGAGCCCCATAGAGATCAAGTCTCCTTGGTTGATGCTATAGTTTGGGGCAATGAGTACAAGGGTACTTTTATTTTACAGCATGATAAACTGAACATCATTTTAATAGAGAAAAGTAGAAAAGAATAATTTGAGCTTGAAGATGAAAAAGACAAAACAACAAAAAGACAAAACAACAATAGCGCTATCTAACATGTTTTCTCAGAATTATCGACACTTCAAAAATCATGTCAAAGATTTTTTATCATCGTTTCGTACCTCTAATCTTCTCGCTCATCATTTCTTACTGTGGTTTGGTTTTATACTCTGTGGCATGAATCAAGTTTTACTCTCAAGTTAACGATTATTTTAGACCTCCATGTTTCCCCAATAGGTGTCACTGTGCTATCTCTTCTCAAGGTCATTTTTTATTTGTTGATCATTTACGTTAATTCCTTTTTAACACCAAGTATATTATAACCTGTGGATATTTATACCTGATTTTGTATTATTATATTTATCTAATCTGTAACAGGTTACGCTAACTAATGGTTTTGTACTAGTGTGGTTTTAACCCTGGAACTCTATTTATAAACGACATTCCAAATGATTTTGATATTGTACAATTATTTGACATTCTACAATTATTTGATTGACAATTATATGACACATCTTGAAAAGAACAGTGTTCATTTATCATCATTTATATTTAACAGTGCTGTTCACAACAATGGGCAGATTAAATTTGATGTAATGAAAAAAATTTAAATGTATGTATTGTATTATTGCGGATGAGTACATTGAATATGTACATGCAGTTCAGAAACACTATTTGAGAATGGTACATTCATCTAAGAGTTTTGTACAGTAACCCCAGTCTTAGTGAATGCTGCTGCTGTCATTTCAAAAACTTTTTGTAGAAATAATAATGTAATGTTATCTTATAATGTATGGTGGTTATTCAGGGTTTCCATAATAACTTGTTACCATTTTGAGAAGGCTGCTTGTTATTATCAGAAAAACTCATATTGTTGAAAGAAACTGTTCACTGTGTTAATAAGGTACTTGTAGCAGCTGATTTCAAAGAAGAACAGCTGATTTCAAAGAAGAACAGCTGATTTCAAGGAGAAACAGCTGCTTCTATAAAGTATAAAAAGCTGATTTTGAGGGAGAACAGCTACCTCCATTTAGGCAGATGCTTCAACCATCCAAAACTGCACCTGATGACCTTTGACAACAACTATGCACGTCCATGGACTATGATTAACGGAAAAATTCTGTATTTAAGTTTTCATGCAATTTAACATGCCAACGAAGTAATTCATAATTTATGCATTTCTAACAAAATGTAAAAATGTTATTTTTGTTAAAACTATATTCCATTTTTGTAGTGTTGTAAATGTATCATTGAAACTTGCCTAAATATAGCACTAAAAGATTCTGTGATCTGAATCTTTCAGTTTGATACTTAGGGTTTGAGAAATGTGTTTTAACTGCTGGGTCTGCAATTAATGGAGAGCCTGGGCTGATTACGTAAGGTCTAAATGAATAGACAACTTTGAGCAAGGAGTGCAACTTCTAGATCTAGTACACATTTACCCTTAACAAACTTTTGGCAGGTCACATTATACAGAACGTATAGCTCAGACAAATTTCAAAGCTCCAGTGAATATGTCTGTGAGTGTGTACTATCATCTACAATAGACTATTTCTTTCTATCAGTTTAGGCTCACTCCAGGTTCAGTTCATATACAATTGACTGAATGTTGTATGACTCGCAAATTAAGTTCGGAATCTCAGGTAATTAACTATATATTGTTTTTTAAAATGATTGCATAATTTTGGGTTGATTTTTGATATATTTTCATATGTTAATTTCATGTTTCTAACTAATAAATCTTAATTATATAATGTTGGTAAATCTGAATTTTGTTATTACTAGTTGCATTATATATTCTGAATCATATCTTAAATGTGACCTTGACCTTAATGAACGGTAATATTGACCTTGTCCCATCAAGGCTTGTTATGTCACCACCAAAAAGTGTTGACATATTGTTATGGTCTCCTTTTTTGTGACAGCAGTTGGTGGTTGGTGTCTGTAACAAATTCTTGACTTGCAATAACTTAACAAATATTGTTTAGACGGACTTCATTTTTTTTCAAAATCATTGACAAGTTTTCAAAAATTCAAATCTGATTTTGGATTTAGATTTGACCTTCATTGGCCTTTTCAAGGTCAAAAAAGGTTTACGATTGGCGGGTGGCGTCTGTAACAAATTCTTACAACTTCCAATAGCATAACAAATACTGTTTAGACAGACTTCAATTTTTTTCAAAATCTTTTTTTTCAAAAAAAGTTTTCAGAAGTTCAAAGCTGGTTTAAGATTTGACCTTCAATGACCTTAAGTAGGTCAAAAAGGTTTTTTCAACTTGCTTCAAATTGATCATTTTTTCAAAATCATCTACAAGTTTTCAGAAGTTCAAATCTGACTAGATTTGAGATTTGACCTTTAATGACCTTCTCAAGGTCAAAAAGGTATTTTCAACATGCTTCAAATTGACCAATTTTTTTATAAATCATCTGCAACTTCTCAGAAATTCAAATCTGACTTGAGATTTGACCTTCAATGATTGTCTCAAGTTAAAAAAGGTATTTAGATTAAAAAAGGTATTTTTTCAACTTGCTTCAAATTGATTAAACCTTTTCTTCAAAATCATCTACGAGTTCTCAAAGATGATTAGATAGAAATAGATAGGTAAAAGTAAAACGAAATCATAGATAAAATGTTATTATCAATTTCATTTTGGATCTTCATTTTGATTACACACAATCATGACTGATTCTGACCTGAGTATCTAAGGTTCTATGGTGTAATGGTTAGCACTCTGGACTTTGAATCCAGCGATCCGAGTTCAAATCTCGGTAGAACCTATCTTTATGATCAATATCAATAATTTTCTAAATTATCTAATCTAAATTAATAGCAATGGTATATTGTTTTAAAGGGTCTTATTTAGTAAACAAAGTAAACTGTAGAGCACTACCATGTTCAGGAGTCAAGAAGCATCAGTAATTGGTTCATTTTCCAATTTTGACTCAGAAACAAGTTAAATCTTTTTGGCATTTTCATGACAAAAAAATGTTCACAATGCAGATAAATGAATAATAAAGTGAAACAAAATAGTAGGTTCTACCGAGATTTGAACTCGGATCGCTGGATTCAAAGTCCAGAGTGCTAACCATTACACCATAGAACCTTGGTTGTCTACACAGATAATTCAGCATGATTTGTAACAAAATTAATGATAAAATATTGGAAATCTATAAACTTGAAAGAAAATAGCTTGATTTGTTTTCAAACTTATTTATCAATTCTATTCATGTTGATTTGTCTAACATGCTTTGCCTTTGTTAGCCTGACAGAGATTGATATAAATGCACCAACACATAAAATGATAAAAACAACAATTGTTGCTAAAATGAAAATAACCAACTACAGATGACATTGAACGATTCACATATGTATGAATAAAATACTGAAATATGATTGCCAAAAATATTTAGGTTCTACCGAGATTTGAACTCGGATCGCAGGATTCAGAGTCCTGAGTGCTAACCATTACACCATAGAACCATTAATGACAAGATTAAACACAATCTAAGATACGAAGTAGTGGTGAATACTGATTATAATCACATTTGTTGAAAGCCCATGAAATCATATAATAATCTAATGTACAGTTGGGGACAAAAATAAATGACAGGTCGATTTTCGATCACCATTTCCTAATTATGGTGGTCTGAAAGCCCATAATTTCCAATATTGTCTAGATACATATCCCTTAAAATTTGTATATTTTACATTTTGTATAATCTCATCCACTGATTTATGGCCTCTTGTAAATTCTCTTATTTTTAACATGGGAAATCCTCACTTCAGCAAATCCACCTGTCATTTATTTATGTCCCCAACTGTACAATAAATTATTACAGTATTTCTTTAATCACTTTGATTGTGATAATAAATAAGATAAATAATGTGTGCTTTTGTGAATTTTTGTCATAGTCACTTAAATAATTCTGTTGAGCCAGAAACATATATGTCTCTGGTTGAGCCAAAAAATTATTTATAAACCTTATTTACATTTTCAAAACTTTTTTCAATGTTAAAAGTTTTCATATTGCCACCTTAAATATTTAAATTCAATTTATCACATACACTTAATAAGAAATATATTAGTATATCATTTTTTTAAATTTATTTTCTTATAAAAAATAGAATAACAATATTGTTGTCCTAGATATTTCATCTTCTATACATGCCAAGATGGCACAATTATTGCTCCATATGTACTTTGAAGTGTCATTTGGTTTAGAAATGTACAATATTGTACAACTCCACTATACCTTGCATTTGGTGTTTATAAGCAACCCATTTAGCTTATTAGTAATGATTATGTATTTGTTTTTATTTGTCTGTTCCTTATTAATGGTTTATTGGTTGAATGTTAGATGTTACTAAGGCACTTTCAAAAATATACTAAACAATACAATCAGACAAACAAAGTATCTTATGCATTTCTAGCTGTTAGGTATACTAGAGTGTGTACAGTTCACCTTAATCAATCTTAATCTATACACTCCCCACAAAAACTTTGGCAACACCGCTTTTCAATCCTCTGTATGTTTGGAATTATTCTTTCATTAAATAAAGTTATGAAATCTGTGACAAAATTGATCAAATCACAAACCATAAACAATCAAATAGAAAGTTTTGGAGGTGAGTGTATGTAATACTTTAAAAAGTACAGATAGACTAAGAGCATTGATTCAAAGTTACACCACCAAATTATGAATTAAAGTTGAACCAATGCCTTGCGAAATCAACCCTGAACCAGCCATAAAAAGTGTGTTTTTTATCTTTAGGCTTAATTGAAATTGATTCATATCACCGAGCTTTTTCTAGTATTCATAAATAAATTATGCTAATTATATTTCTACAGGCTGTTTCTAGAATCCTATATTAAACATCATGAATCTAGAAATCAATATACAGTAAAACCTGTCTAATATAAATGCCTCTAAGAATGGTACAAAGTGTTTGGATTGGCAGGAAATATGAATCAATGGGAGATAACAAATTGGTACAAAGTAAAAGTGTTCAAATTGAGAGATGTTCAAATATGAAAGTTGTTCAAATTGAGAGATGTTCAAATAAGAGAGGTTTTCAAATATGAAAGCTGATAAAATTGAGAGATGTTCAAATATGAAAGTTGTTCAAATTGAGAGATGTTCAAATAAGAGAGGTTTTCAAATATGAAAGCTGATAAAATTGAGAGATGTTCAAATATGAGAGGTGTTCAAATTGAGAGATGTAGAAATAAGAGAGGTGTTCAGATAAACAGGTTTTACTGTACTGCAAACAAATTACACACTGACCTAGCATCTATTTTCCATCAAAAATTAAATCATACATCTAACTAACATCAGATTGAGCAAATCATACAAAAAGTGTACATGAGGTCACATTATAATTCTGTTGCATCTCATTATTTAAATGCAAGGTTATTACTGTATATGGCTTACCATATATGCAATGCATGAATGCAACACAAATCTTTACATTTTAAGTTCTATTGAAGATGTTTGTGTTGATTTGCTTTAAGCACATGTTTCAGATATGTGACAAATACTGATAATGAGACATCTGTGCTAAAACACATAATCACAATTATAAAAAAGTAAATATATAATACATGAAACATGTTACATAATGTACAATTAATTAAATACCAAATCAAATTATAATACAATTTACATATTATGCAACAGACATATTCTTATTGATGATCAAAATGGAAAAAAATTAATAACAATCACTGTACAACTGAGTTGATGGCATTCACAATGTAAAATCAAAATAATATGACACATTTCAATCATGAGCTGGCAGGTTATTATAGAAATATCTCTAAATTGTTTCTAATTCATACATCACTGGTGATCCACTCGATTACGCTGGTTACCAAAACGGTTCGTTTTGGTAACAAAATGTCGGAACATCGAAGGTACGATTTTTCTCGTTTCCTTATTTTATACTTTGTAGGCAGAATTCCCACAACATTTTTTAACACAAACGTGTATCAGTATCATATGTTTAAGAAATTGTACATATTTGCGAACAAATAGTCCAGAAGACAACAGAATCGTCGATTTACTTCCTCACTTAAGTTACATAAACGGTTTGGGTTAAAAGTGCAGATCTTAACTGTTTTTCGAAAAACCGTTTATGTAACTTAAGTGAGGAAGTAAATCGACGATTATGTTGTCTTCTTAGCTATTTTTTCGCAAACATGTACATCTTCTAAAACATACGATTTGTTTTGGTAACCAGCGTAATCGAGTGGATCACCAGTGTACATGAAATATCATTTGTAGGTAAAACTATTTTATAATATACACATAGAATTATTTCTATGTCTTTCTGTATTCTGTAATAGAGTCCGGAAAACGTTTAAAAAAACCAGCTGTTTCAAGGTACCTTTGAAATCCAAAACAAGTGACGGCAAAATGAATCAAGAAATTGATGACTGTTATGCTGCAGAGTTAAATTGCTTCATCATGTAGCATTTCGACAAAGGGCTTCCCAAAAAAGCATTCTGTGCCTGTTTAACACTAAATATTGCTTCCGCGTTAAGCTTTTTTTTGTCAAAATGCTTTACAAAGCAATTAAACCTGCTTGATAAAAGGTACCATTGACAAGTTATAACATCATTCAACAGTACCTACTACCCTAAGCTGCTTTTTTCTTAGCTGCTTTTTGCTCTATAAACAGTTTCAAAAGTCCTAGACTGGAGGATATTGACCCAAAGACACCTGTCTGTGTAGCATTGAAGGTACCAGACCATAGGAAACCTTCTGGGAGCCAATTAACTGCACACATCAAATCTGCGAGGTTGATTGCAATGGTTAAGAATTCACCCTGAGCTTGTTTGCGGATATTAGCCATCTCACTTTTGTAAGTTTGTTCATACTCACTGAAATAAATATAATTTGTCATTCATTATAAAAAGTAAAACTAATTTTTACATCCAGGACACTGTAATTTGAAATATAAATATACATTATATAGCAATAAGTGGAACTAATTTCATCAACATGAACAGTGAAAACAGTCTAATCAAAACACCCCTGGGACAAGCCAAAAGTGTTTGGTTCAGTAGGTGTTCAATGAGAGAAAATATATTTGGGACTGTGCGCACTGAGACAAAGTGTTCACATTGAGAGGTGTTCAGATTAAAGAGGTGTTTGGATATACAGGTTTCACAATTTATGCTCATCAAGTTGCTGCAAAAATTATAACCATATATGACTTCCATATTCCATCATTAAACAATCCACTCTATTTTGGGTATAGACTCACCTAGAAGCTTCCAGTTTTCTCTGTTTCTTCATATGACCTATCTTCCCTTGTAGTCTTGCCAGCAGCCGTAAACTCCTGTAATGCATATGTATATGTGTCATGAAAACCCTGTCTTATTGTGACATATAGTACTAAAGTCAAAAACAGAGTGTTGAGGGAAAGATTCATTTTTATTAATGTATTTATAATCATAGTAGTCAGTTACATAAATCAGAAGTTGTCCAAGTAGCATCCTCAAGTGCTAGTCACCACAAGGGCATTATAAGGAATGGAATTACGTTTTTCAGGCAAAATGTTGAAAAAAGTATTTAACCAACACCATATAATGTAAAGTGTTTGAGTTAAGGTTACTGCTCTATATGTTTTGTGTGCCATTAATATTGAGTTAATGCTTTTTAAATATTGATGTTGAATCAAAAAATCTGGATTTATGATAAAACGATATCTGTATGAATTTTACCTTAAAATGCCAATGACTAGAGAGCATCCCCATAAGGCAGTGCCAGCCTGCCACCATTTTGATGAGTCTTTCACATTTATGAGACCAGCGTCAGCTGCCCAAGCTATATGCTCTACGGGGAAGTAAGCCTGGCCAGATATTAACCCTAGCACACTCAGAATTCTAATAATTGGGTCTTTCTCCTGCAATAAAAATGGCTTTTAAGGTACAACCCAAAATATTAGAATTTCAAGATATCTACAGAGCATTTCTATTTTCTATATTCATCAAAACCCGAGACTAACATTATCTTTCTATCTAGTACACTATATGTATCAATACACAGCTGTATGCATATGACAACCACCATCAGCATCAACTTATTTCACCAGCTATGTTTAGTCTACACAAAATAGTGATTAATCATTCCATATTAATAACATAAATCTAAAACATAAACATAATTGGGGTTTTCACCTGGATTGAATCTAATTTATCTTAAAGGTTCGATCAATTTTCATTTGATTCTCTTAAAAGATTAATATCATGGTCATTGTCTGGAACTAATTGTGCCTGGATGGTTGAGATAATTGATTTGGGATTTCAAAGCAGGTGAATTTCTGAAGTGAACTGTACTTTACATGAAAGGGTAAGAAGAGCTCTATTGTTTGAACCTATCTCTCTTATCTCTTATCATCTCTCGCTGGTCCCCCCCCCCCCCCAGCTGGTATCTCTTCATAAGCATGAATGAGGATCAAATACAGTACTGAATGCAAAACCGTTTACTAATATATTATTTGATGCTTATGTTTCGAGTTGGATATATTAGACACTCTCTTCTTTCACCGATGCCTTCACTAGTCATCTTCACTTACACCAGGGTCACGTGTAAATAAGAGATGTGAGTAAATGAATAGGCTATAGAATTAATTATGGGCTTGAAATGATTTTAGTGCGAGATTATGGAGACATACATTTTTCAACATCATAATAAATTGAGAACTGTGTATTAATACTCAATATACTGTATTAATGTCTTTGTCACTAAAGACCACCAGCGGATTTAGACGGGGGCGTGGGGGGGCGCATGTCCCCCCTAAAAAGTCGGAAAATTTGTGTTTTGCCTCATCGCTTTTTACCAAATTTGACTGTTCGCTCACTTTTATAATCACAGGCCCCCCCTAACACAAAATCCTGGATACACCCTTGAAGACTTATTCTGTGACCCAGATAGTGACCTCAAAAAGCTAAGCTATTTAGCAAAGAGGAATGCGGGTGTAATATACCAGTACATGTACATGCATGCTTTATTCCTTGTACTTTCAAGAGATCCGATGATTGAATCAATTAGGTCATTATTCCGTTCAATACATTAATCTGCAATCTTCATATTCTAAAACATCTTACATGTTTTCCTAGTCCATATGAAAGAGAGTAACCTAACATGGGCAGATCATCAAACAGTCTCAAGATCACTCTAGCTTTGCTGAACTGAGCACAAATTCCTCGGATTGTAGCTTCATTTTCTGGATTCCTCGTACCAGCGATTACATGTAAAACATAACTAGTAGTTCTAATGAACTTATCCCTCCCCCTGTACGTTCCCAGTAGAGTTATAATGTCCTCCATCGCGACATACAAGCCTAAATAGAACTAGTTCAAAGTGCAGTTTTGTGTTTACAAGTTCATCGTTTGACCCCTGACCTGCTGTAAAGAAGTCGAAGCTCCGTGGGTCAAAAATGAGTGATATTGAAGCAAAAACGTGAATACGGATTTCTTTTAGCGAAAAATATGAAGCTGTATATTAGTTAAAAGACGTGAGTTATTGTTATTAGCAGGCATAGATATATTTAAAGCAAAATCATTCTATATAGCACAATGATTGTCGCAAATACAAGGCACTTGCTTTGACATTTTGAAAAACTCTGAATAAACAATAATGCACATTCAATTTTGACCCACGGAGATTCGATTGAAAAATTACTCTCATCACTATTCTCCCCAAAATATGGATTTGGGAAGTTGTTACAGGCTGCATTGTAAAAAATCCAAAGGAGACTTTCAGTTACCAAACTTATGGAGGGAGTGTATAGTAAAACATTTGCTGATTTAAAAATTAAACTTTTACTGTAATATTTGAAATAAAACAACATGTCATAAAAATAATGGTAATAAATCATATGTTCAAACTTTGAAAGGGGACGATAATATTAAAATACTATAGCAAAAGTACCATTGACCTTTGAAGTTGAGTTGACCCAAAGTGAGATACTGACTTTGCATGACCTGATGTTGGGCATTTCCAAAGTAACCGCAAAATATATTCATTATGAAAATTATTTTACACCCTTGACCTCTCTGATTTGAGCTTAATATTTAATTTTGGCTTAAATTTGTACAACTTCCAAAATGTAAACCATGACCTCAAAAGAGTATTTTTAAAACACAACAAGAACAAATCAATCACTTCAACTTTGGCATTAGTTTAACAATTTAACAAAAAGTTTATTGTACATCACAATTTATTTATTCTTACTTCATCAAGAAATTTACAACAATTTTAGTTTTATCTGTGTATGGCAGGGATCATTTGATATATAAATATTTGCCAAAATACCTTTTATAAAACATAAACTGAATCTTAACTCTTTAACAATTAGATTGTTCTTTGATATAGCTGTATCCAATTAAACATTTTCTGCCTATAAGTACATTCACTTTACATTCCTAATATGAAATGACGAGAAAGCTTCAAATGAGACCATTAAGACTGTTAAATAAAGCTTTAAAAATATAAAATTAGTGGCCACTCAAAGAGGAAATTCAAATAATTTTGAAGTTTACCTTGAATAATGTCAGTGATTATATTTATGCTTACATTGCTAATACAATTTAACCCTAATGAATTTTTTTTAAATCTACAAACAGGTGGAGGGGAGGGGTTACTGGTCTACCATATATCAAGTCTTTTATTTTACCTCGACAGAAATATTTGTGTAAGGAATACATAATTTAGTCAAATACCTTTTGTTTTAGACAAACTCCCTCCCAAAAATGAAAAATAATGATGTTTTCAGACAATCCCTAATTCTATTTCTCATTATGTTAAATGCTTTAGTATTTGAAAATTGAGCAGAAAATATAAAATTTAATGTGATAAAAGGGTGTCACCCGAAGCCTAAAATAAAATGACTAAAACAGCAACATAGCCATGCATTTGTCTATGTCTCAATGTGACAAAAACATCGTTTTTCTTAAATGAATTAAAAAATAAAGAGCCACTCACAAATTTCAAAGTAACAATTGACAATCCATGCAAGATGTGTACTCTACAAGAGCTTCTTAAAGTAATTCAATGATGGTATGTTTTTTTACATATGCCCCTCCTTAGGTTTATTTCTCATCTAAACCTATTTCATCCCTACTCCTACAACCTATTTGTACACAGACAGAAATGTATTTATTGATGGACTCTTGTCATGGGTCATAATATAGCACCATGCGATGTGGACTCCTCCTTTGGAAGAAACTTTAAGTATGATTTCTATGGTAACTTGAGAACAGAAGATGTTGGAAGCAATGCTAATGTATCATCTAAAATTCAAATTTCATTTTCCGAAAAAGAATTGAGATATCTGATCATTTAAGATGCTGAATTGTCCAATGAAAAACATTACATTCACTTTTTCATTTTTTGTCAAATAACCTAAAAATCAAAGAACTGTTGGACTTTTTATGTAGAAAATAAGCATTATTAACATGGAATAAAAAGATCAAAAAACAACTTGTACAACTGTGACAGTATCTAAACCTTACTCTCAACTTGCCTCAATCCCTTAATTCTACTTTCTTTAAGGTAGGCCTAGTCCAATAAATTATTTGGATCTTTAACTTTAACCATTTAGGTTTACATGGTCATGTGTAACACATTAAAAGTTACCTCTACATTAGGATACCCTTAAGTTGTCACATCGCATTATCCCTATCAATAACTAATTGATCGGTGTCAAACAAGATATTACCTTTGTACATCATATTATTTTTTGGTTTTAAACTTTGAGGAAAACCATTGTCTTAAGCTCCGTAATTTTCCAGTTTGTTTTAATTGTTTAGTTGATTGTATGGCTGTTTCTCCACCATCATAATGCTTTGCATTATTCTCATGATCCTTTTTATTTTTTACTTTGTTGTTATTAACTCCGGACAAATCTCCATCTATCCTATCAACAACTGAACGTTTCTTCTTGTTGCTACTGTAACCAAAATCATAATCATCATCATACAGATCATCCAATAATTCAAATCGTCGAGTCCTTGATTCTAAAGTTGCATCGACTTCATCAAATGTGTGTTCACTGACTGGTAGCCATGGCTTATTACTGATTGTCTTGTCCTCCATTATGTTAGCACAACCAGTCTCAACCAAAATGTCTCCACAGAAAACACAATTTTAGACTTTAATGTATATTCTTTATATACAGTATTCAGTTTCCTTGTAAAACAGATTATACTGTATATCCAGGTATATCCTCATAATAATCACATGAGATAATGAACATTTCATTTCCTTTTCCTCCAGTGTCACCTTAATGGTGTCACCTTAATGAGTCAGTGTGCCATGCAATTCCATACAAATCCAATAATCCATGTGACTTCTCATCAAGAGGAAGTCGAGGAAACCTTTAGCTTTTAACCTTTATCTGAATTTTGTTTACAATTGGATGAATCACTGAGTGTGGTAAGTCCATTAGTACATCAAGGAAACCAAAACTTTGTAATATTTGTCTATATAGTTATACAAGAGTATTTATATTCAGCTGTATATATCCTATATAGATGCAATTATCCGATGACTAGTGAGGTTTCAGGTACATAACAGCAAGATATAGAAATAGCATATTTGGGAAGTGGGAGATAACATTTATTTCCACTGTAAATCCTCCTCTTCACTTAGGTCCTTTTATGAGCACTTCCATATATGTACATGACAGTATGTAAATAATTGATAAGGATGATACAATTCCACAATTGTTAGATCATCACGGTATATGTATAATTACTATCAACATCAACCAGTCCCTCAAGAAGCCATAAATGTAGTTTGCAATTGTACTGCTTTATTAATACCACTTTCTGATATCAAAACATTTCACTATTGATCAGTTGTCATCACAAGCTTATTCAATAAAGGAAAAATATTCCACTTGAAGATGAAGAATTCTATACCATTCCTTCATGTTATTTCACCAATACTGCTTATGAATCCTAGCTAATAACTTAATACCCTGTTCCAAACAAAAGTCAAATTCCTGTCTGGCATATGCACGAGCTTTTCCTCAATTGCTTTCTGCTTAGTCTTTGTTGTTCATTGCTGCTATTCACTGCTCATGTTTGTAATTTATTGTTCATGCTTGTTATTCACTGCTCAGATTATGTTATTCACTGTTAAGTTTTTGTTTTTCACTGCTCATGCCTTGTTATTCACTGCTCAGTTTTTGATATCCAGTGCTCAAGGTTTGTTATTCATCACTCAGTTTTTGTCATTCACTGTTCATGCTTATTATTCACTGCTCGTTTTTGATATTCAGTTTTCAGGTTTTGTTATTGGCTCTTAGTTTTTATAAGTCACTTCTTAGTTCTTTTTGTTATTCACTGCCCAGTCACCTTCTGTCCGTCTAGTTCAATCTGGAAAATAAATCTGCAGTCCATCATTTCTGCATGAACTCAGTAAGTGTGTATTGGTAATACAAATAGCATAATAATTGCAATGATGGTACTTCTACATGCAAGTGGTGTAGTGTTGGGAATTAGCCAGGTAAACATCAACAAATTGCATATATTACTTTCCTAAATGTAGACAGTTGCAAATTAACTATAGGGGATGTACAAGATAAGTGCATAAGGAGTACTTGAAGCTTGGCAGACCAATCAAGTTTACTTACCTCTAGAATTAAAATAAGTTAAGTGAACACCTTTTTCTTGATAACATATATATTTGGGAACATCTCTCTGGTACACCCAATTTTCTTGTGAACATATAAATTTGTGAACACCTCTCTAGTAAACCCATTTTTCTTGCAAACATATATTGTTGTGATCACCTCTTTAGTAAGCACCTTTTTCTTATGAACATAGATATTTGTGAACACCTCTCGAGTACACACAATTTCTTGTGAACACCTTTTACCTTTTACTTGTTAATTCATCCATGTTGTGAACATCTCTGCTAAACACATTTCTTGTGAAAATATCAATTGGTGAACACCTCTCTTGTAAACATGAACATATTTATTTATAAGCGCCTCTATTGTACACACATTTCTTTTATGAACACATTTATTTGTGAACACCTCACTTCTCACCAGTACAGCCTATGAACACTCAATTTCAACTGAAATGATCCATAAGACATTGATTTCAAAGTACACAAAATTGAACTTGATCATGAATAAATATTTCAACATGTGTTACTTAATGCTCATCGATATTAATGTTAGCCAAAGGATAAAGCTAATATCACCTTAAATATCCCCCTCCCTTTTCTAATTCACTAAAAATGTCTGACTTCAGGCTTTCAAATTCAATAGCTCCTTCTTACCCAGATTCGCAGAGGAAATTAATTTTGAGCTCTTTCAAAATGATTTATAAGGTATACTTGGTACGAGTGAACATTTGGCACTTTCTCATACATTGGTTCGTCAAATATTTCAAGGCTATGTAATACATCAGTAATAAAATATTTACTGAGCATCAAGAGTTGTCCTTATTAAGTCAATAGTCCATGGTCCATAAAAATATTTCACTTTCAGTTGAAGATAAATTTACTTTGTGAGCATTGAATCTTAATGAGCTAAAAGGAATGGACTGTGCATTATCGTTTGAATACAATATATTTCAATGTACTTAGTTAACTGTAATTGAACTCCATTCAAGCCTTGGTTTTTTCCTTGCTGGGATTTAACCAACTGAATTGTTAGTTAAACTTCCTGAGTCCTGTTTGATAAACCTTAAGTGACCAGTATGAATTCATGTTAAAATGTTCATGATGAATGTATCTTGTAATAATGGCTTGAATACATTAGAGCAAGCCACAGTTGTTCAATAAGAGATAACTGAGTGGAATCAGAATGGAATAAAGTAAACATGTGTGAGTCAATATTCAAAATTGTAGAATCACAAGAAAATCTGAAACTTCATTCAAATATTATTAAGTTTAACAGAAACAATCAATGAAAGTTTTGATAAATCAAATGTGTATCTATTAATCCTGTCAAGGCAGCCAATTTGTGAAAGTGATGAAGCAATTAAATATTACAAAATATTTATCTGTTACCATAGGAACAACAGTTTGCTAATAAGCTGAATCCTTAATTTGTGCAAGGACGTCTATCTAGACCTAGATCTAGATTTGTGCCATGTCTTATCTTCTACAATATATTATAAGAACAGAATTCCTTTGACTGCTGTGAAGCTTGATTTGATCGAAATTGCAGTACTTTAATTTGATGAAAACTAAATATATGGAATTCAACACTTACCATCTTGATTCTGACCAGTAGCACTGTACATCTTAATGAATTTGTACATGTAGGCTTTTTTTAATCAACCAATTTTTAATTTTGAAATATTTTCACAGGAGAGATGATTTGTTCAAAGCACATCCTTTAACATTTGGAGAGAAATGAAATATGTTCTGTTAAGTTTTAGTTTGGAATAATTTATACTTTTCAAAACTTTTCAAATTGTAGGTCATAGATTTGCCAATTAGCATTTCTTTTTTAATATGATGGCATTATGTTAGAAAAAATGTTTGAAACAAACCAAAAATAATCAGAGTCCATTTAGTATTTAGGTTACAATTATATATTTCCCTATAGCCAATGAACTTAAACATGCATAAAACATAATAAAGATCAGTTCTTATAAAGTTCTTTTAAATAGACAGAGAAAAACATAACATACCTCTCTAACCTTACATGACATAGTATTACACCAAAATCACATGATTATGAGGTAACTTTGTGCTATAGAATATGTTGATAGTTTTACAAATAAACTATATCAACAGCTCAATACAACAATACAAAGCTTCTGATAGAACAGAAAATTACAAATGATAGTGTTAACAGCATAATAAAAATGAAAATTACCTGATACTGACCATTACTCCCTCAAACGCAGAAATCTTGAAATGTAGATATATACATTGGCATAGTTTTATTGAACTTTCACTGTTACATGAGCAAACAAGCACTCGATGAGGTTATCCTAGACTTGTTCTATTTTTATTGTTGTTTTGCGTATTTTCCAAACATACCAGTTATGTTAACTGGAGAATCAAAATATCACAATATGTGTCACAAGTTTCATTTTGCGTAACTCTGATTTAATGCCATATTTATGTTTTTACATCAGAATGATATCAACTTTTCACCAGGTAGGTGTCTTCTATGTGCATAACACAACATTGCGTATGAACATAAAAACAATATAAATTTCATCAACTAAATCTAATGCCAATCTCATGGATTCCTCTAAAAAAATGAGTCAGTTAGTTTCAAGATGGCTAATGTTTCAAGTCATGCATTTTATCCACCTTTTCTCTCAAAATCTTGAACGAACCTATTCATTTTTTAACATTTCTCTAGAATTAAGGGTATGACCTACATGACTGTTGACTTTATTCCTTGGAAATTCCCCTCCTTTCTGCTTCGCATTGAATTTCAAAACATGGCTACCATGATATTCACTCAACTGAAGGTGTTGTGTTCTCCACACAGAAGACCCCCTAATATGAAGCATCACTTCAGCCCACATAGAGCACCTGGAGAACTTGTTATCTATTACAGTTCAAAAGTTCTGCAATTATCTCACCAAATATAGATAAATAAATTAATTGCTCAAATTATTAATTGATTTGACAATATTTTAGGTCTACTTTGAAGGTCGGCAAAGTCAACACTGGCTATGTCCATTACCTTAATTACCTCTACCCTTTCAAATATCCTACAAAGTAGGATGAAGTAGTAATTCACCAGGAGGGATCTGATATGGGGAATATCACAAGGATGACATCAATATTTCCCAAGGGAACACAGTGACCAAGGGAAATATAGATATCATCCAAGGGATAAAACAATTATTAAAGTCCATGCTTTAAACTAATAACAAATATAGTGTATATTATAGTGCAAATTGTTATTAACATCTTTATGTTTTGGAATCTAGCAAAAATACATGCATGACACTGGCTTTGATCGTTTATGAAAATTATATATCATAAAATCATGACTATCATAGTTAAACAGAAGGTTTGCTGTTTTTGTAAGGTCTTTATGACCCAATTGATAAGTCTATGACAAACTATAAACAACCAAAAATATAGAATTTTAAATTCTATTTATTGTGGCTTATTAGACCATAATATTCTGAACAGAAAAGTTTTACATGTATTTAGCTTTTACAAAAAACTGAAAACATTGAAGTACAAGAAATATGTACCAATACAACATAATAAACAATATTTAAACTCCTTCTCCTTAGAAAGAATTTGTTGTCAGACACTTGGTGCAAGAACTTAATTCATGTTCCCTAAGTTATAAATAAAAATATATATAAATCTTTTATGCAGAAATACTTCAAAGTAAACATTAAACTCTGAATTGAAATATATCTTTAAAACAATAAATATGAAGAGTTAATCATTTTTGGGTCTATAGGGGTCGGCACTTTTATAAAAAATGATTTTGGCAAGAGATGTAAATATTTCCCCATTTAACATACAGTGAAACCTATCTATAGCCAATATATGACCTCATAGTTATCATTTCAAGTATCTTTGTACTGCACTGAAATACTAAAACAAATAATGTTGAAAGGTAACCATGAGAAATCTTTCCATAGTAGTCTATATCCAATATATGACCTCATAGTTATCATTTCAAGTATGATGTCATTACATAACTTCACTAGATGCTTTGTTTATAGCAACCATATTAGGCCGTGTTGTCACAGATGAACAGTTGTCAGGCACCTTGCTTCATAACAACAACACTATTGTGATGTCATAGAACACAATCATTATTACTTGGCAATTCTGTTTCTAGGGCTAGAATCAACAAAACAACAGAAAAACAATATCAAAGACAATGTGATATATTGAAGAGGATCTGAAAAGTTATACTTTATAAAATATCTATAAGAGAAAAATGGTAAGCAATAGAGAGATTTCGCACATAAGTGAAAGTACAACTTATACGTATAATTTAAAGGGTCATGTCGAACTATTATATTTACTAAAATCAATTTTAAATTGTACTTAATGGAACATAACTATTTCCGTTAAAGAAAAGCTCCATCAACTAGAGACTGTGAATGCACTGTCATCTGCACGTGTAGATTATGCACATTATAATTAAATGCTTGCTTCCGTGTCCTTGTAGTTGTAGTGTATTATAAACACGATCCTTTAAAGTGAGTCATGATTCTTTAAAGTGAGTCATTACATAAACAAGTTGATTATTTCAATGTTTTCATGATCAGTATAAGTTCAATGAACTTACAAAACGGTATATTTACGTAGATGATAACGTATACAGTTGGATCTCCGTATAAAGATTTGCCTAAATGTGTGTGGAACAATTGACCGCAAGCATTTTTAAAAATTAATTGGCTGAGTGGTAACAGTATCCAATCAAATACTTTAACCATCAATTTGAAACACCAATCAAACCAGTAGGTTCTAGCAATTCCTGGAAACGACCCATTCAGTAGCTCAACAAATGACATACAGGGTGTTCCATAACGAGCATCTCCAAAAAGTCAATTTGAGAAGAGATGGGTCTAAAACATATGTACTATATATGAGCCTATTTTATTCTAGACAAACACATTTGGATTAACTAAACATGCTACCATTCAAGAAAGTACAAATGGCATCCCTTTGACCTGTATTTATTACAGTCCGAGAAGATCTTTCCTGACGAAATGCCCACATTATGAAACACCTTGTACGTTTACCTATAAGTATAAGTATACGTTATAAGTTGTACTTTCACTAGGTGCGAAATCTCTCTAATATGTACTTTGGAAATCATTAGAGATGACGAAATTCTGGAACAGAAGTACTGTAGCAAGATCAGACTTTTCATTGACCCAGACGAAATTGTGATAAAAATTGAAAAATCACTCATGTTACTGAAATGAATGCTCTTGCCCTAGTTGATAGACTTTTCTGAAAAATGGGATAAACACCTAGAAGCTCTTAGAAAGACTGCCACATGGAGACTATTTTGCCTTTGTACAATTCAGAGAGATGAAGAAATTCTAGAACTGAAGTAACACATGGATAAGCTTTTTCATTGACCCTAAAGAATTTGCACTTGAGAAATTGAAAAAATCACTTCCGTTATCAAGATGAACCCTATATACAGTATACTAGTTGAATGACACGACATAGACTTCTATACATTTGGAAAATGGGATTTATTCTCTTGTTCTGTTCTATATAGTTAAAATAAATTGTTCTTTAAGCCATGGGCTTTTAACTGGTAATTGAAAGCCCATGTTAAAGCCAATTTTGCAAAGTTCCAAAAGTACAGGTTGGTATGTCAAATTGCAAAAGTAGGTCAAATTACCAATATATCATGGCTAAGTATAAGTTATATCCAACGTACATGAGTAAATTGAACATGATCAATAGAATTAGCTCCTCATGAAATCAGTGTATTGGTGACATTGCGAAAGTTTGCCTAAAATATAGAAATAATTGAAATTCAACTATTTGCAAAATCATACAGTACCCAGAGAAAAGTGTAAAAAGAAGCTGAAATGAACACTGATATTTTTCAACCCAAGTTGCAACATACACTATAACACTGTAAAATATGCAGGCTGAAATAGTCAAAAATGTGATACTTCATCTAAAAAGGCTGTAAATAACCCCCATAAAATGTAGTTTTTGTTTAATTGAAAATTGTTTATGAATGAATGGATAGACAGACAGACAAATGGTCAATTAGATTCCATTGGTCCACCGTGTGAGCCAAATAACTGCCCCAGGTTATCCATATTGCTGATATTTAGGTATTACATCGGATCCCAAAGATCCTAAAATCTGAAGTTGCTTCCTCGTGTCCTGTACATGTATACATACAGAAACTTCATACTGCTATAATGGTGTATTCTGGTAAGTCATATATCGACAACTACTAATACATGGTGGCAGCAAATTCCGATAGATCAAAAAATTTGTGATAGATCTCCGAGAACTGATTCAGAGGTTGAGTCGTCATGTCATCTAATATAACAAAAACCGCGTACTGCTATGCTGTATAAGCCATAAATACATGTGCATTTCCAAATACAAATACAGTTTCTTATAGATGAAAGTAAAATCTGATAGATCTCCATGGACTAGTTCAGAAGTTGAGTTTTCACGTCTTCTATACAAAAACTGCAAGCTGCAATGCTGTACTGCTGACATTTTTGGCAGTAAATTTGAGCGTAAGGATTATTCTGACAGTTTTTATTCAGCTCCAAAATCATATTTTCCATCAGATAAATCTTATCACGTTTAATCTGCTCAATGCTCGACTTATCAATCAAGCCAAAATATTCACTTTCTTCGATGTTTTTCAACGCTAAATGTTTTGCTAAATCTAGGCACCTTGTTTGGAGATCATTTAGGGAGAAAGTCTCTGCTAGGTATAAATATTCCATTGCATTGTCGTGGCTTGCTGACTCTGTGAGAAATTGTTCGCATTCTGCCTTTATAAACTTTATCTGGTACTCATCAGCAAGTTTCACCATATGACGCACATTGTCAGCTATAAAAACATATACATGTTCAGTAAATTAGGAAACATATCATATAGAGTCTCAACATTCCAGTTATAACTATGTATTGTATATAGTCACTTTTACAAGGCTTACAAGGTGATATGAGCAACAAAATTTACCTCATAATATGATAAAGGCAGTGTCTCATTAAATCAAATCAATGCCATAAATTTGATAGTCAGTGACTCGGTGTAATTGTATATGTGTTTATTCTCTAAACATAGTTTTATTTTAAAAAGTCTGCAGAGTTCTTACACCATGGCCTAATTAAGAAATATAAACCGAAGAGCAGGGGTAATATTGTCGAATACAGCACGCAAGGCTAGGCACAAACGTTTTCGAAAGCTTTTGTGCCTAGCCCTAAGGGGTGTAATCGACAATATTACACCTGCTCTGAGGTCTATATTACGATTGGAACATGAAAACTCACCAAAATGTTTCGAATATTCGTTATGATTCTGGTGAAATATTGACTTTGTTCACAGTTTATAGATGGCGTGACTACAGTCATGTTCGAATGACAATTAAAGTTTAGAGGTTAAAGCACATTAGTACTACATTTGTATTTCTAGTACCTGATAGGATAGTATACATATAATGTACCTGATATAGACTGTTTACAGGGTGGGTATATGTAGCATAGCAGATCTAGTACTTCATCATATTCTTTGCCAGGGAGGGGGATCTGCTTTGCACCTTTCTCCTATAGAGAAAACACACAGTATAATTAAAAATTGCATCATTCGATGGGCTTGCAATGGTGAGAAATGTAATATTTTGATGACAAAAAGCTGATTTCTCTTAAATGAGGCAAAAGTACAGATGGAAGCAGTGTAAATTACAAGTGGGGATCCCTATAAAAGATATAAACATAAGTTCAGATGATAGATAGGCAGTTTTCATTGGTCAGAAAATTGTTGAAAAATGAACAGACAGATGGATGGGTGAGTGCTTCCATAGGCTAAACATGTGAGTCAAAAAAGTGTTATTTGTATATAATGACAGAAAAGATAAAGTATATTATTATAAGTAGTTTATTAAATTATAGAGACAATAAATGACCTTTTATTCACAAAAGATGACTCCAACCAGCCATGATACAGATAGTGTTACTTATACATTACCTGAAAATCAGAGCTGAACATTGCTTTGAAAACTGGCGACCACTGCATGAGAACAGCTCTATGGGCGTGCAAACATCTCTCTCCGATGCACAGAATAATATCACTTAGGTTATGAGGTTGACCAAAGTCAGGCATCAATTCTGAGAATTCAGGAGAACTTTTGTTGGATTTTATTGGAAGAGTAAACTTGTTAAGAATATCTTCTTCTGACTTGACATTGAATGGCTGTAGTTTGAAGTCTCCATCCCCTTTCTCAGCCATCTTCCCTATATATTCAGTATATTGTATGCCTAGTATCAAAGGATCAATCGAGAGCCTGCAAAATGACATGCATATCAGTTATCGAATCATACTCCCCATTAGACAATCAAATCTAAATTCATAATCAGCAATCTAAAAGACTCATGCTGATCTAAAATATCTTGATCACTTTTTGTAAAAGTGAAAAAGTGGTGTTTGAATTTGAATTTCGGACTCATTGTCAACCTTCAAGACCGGGCTTATTCAAGGATTTGTTAATACCTGGCACCTGGCACTAACATGTGATGTCCGAGTGAAACTCCCCAAATTACAAAGTACATGTATAGGGGCATATGGGGCATTGTGAAGACTCTATAGACAGTGACAATGCTCCAGATTTTCGGTGAGAAATTTTACAGCACAGGCTCAGGAAGAAGATTTAAATCCCCTCCCAGTCACAGTATAATGTAAAAAATGCTGTATTTTTTCTAAGTAATATCCAGTTACTCGAGTCTCTAGCTTACAGCTAGACGTAACTTCATTGATTTCGTATGTACTGTGCTACACGCACCTACACGCACCTAGAATTCATTTTTAATAAATGTTATAAATATTTCTAAGAATATTAATCATATTTAGGATGAAGCGTTGCTTGTCTGGATTTAGATATTTTAAAATTTCATTTCGGAGTTTGACACATGGTGGAATTTTCTCGCTGTAGCTAAAAATGGCTTCCGGTTCTGGACGTGAATTCAATATTTGAAATTTCTATTACACTCATCTTATTAAGAGTTCATATCGCATAATAACCCTTATTATCGGATTCCAGCTGTTAGTAGTATTAATTTGAATAAATTAAAACTGAGTAGTACAGCTGAGTGGACATGTATATGCACCGATAACTAGGTCTATTTTTGCTTAGCTGCCAACGGAAACACACCTTTATAGGAGACTAGGCTATTTGTACATAGCTGTAAATAGCACATGGATTTTAGTTCAGATGATCTGCTCGACTTGTTGAATTTTTTCAACAGTCATTTGTTTGCAGTTTTTTTTGGAACTTTATTTACTAGTCTAGCTACATTTGTTTGGACTTATGAACCATTAGTACGGCCCCTAGTGCTCCTGAAATAATGTATTTGGCCAGGTAGGGAAATATTATGATTTTTCAAGATGGAAGTTTGAATACTGAAGGTCTAAATGACCATGGTCTATAATGACCACAGTCAAGGTCTAGATGACCACATGTTAGGTCTAAATGACCACAATTTAGGTCTAAATGACCACAGTTTAGGTCTTAATGACCACAGTTTAGGTCTGAATGACCACAGTTTAGGTCTGAATGACCACATGTTATTTCTAAATGAACACATTTTAGGTCTAAATGACCACTGTTTATGTCTGAATGCACACACCAAAGGTCCAAATGACCAAAGTTCAAGGCCTATAAACCAAAGTTTGACCAAGGTTCAAAATGAGCCGCCATCAGAATAATAGTCATATTAGAGGTCATATTACAGTTTCAGCGAGCATATCCAAAGCCTCATAGTAGGTTCAAATTAATAGAATCATTTTTGTTTTGATTCAAGTTCTAGTAATCAGACAAGCATGTAAAATCTGTCCATAAATATTGGTCAAAAACATTATCCTAGTAGATATCAAAATATGAAGAAAAGGCTAGAGCAAATAAGCTATCTAGAAAGTAAATGAACTAAAAATGTTCCTAGTCCCAAAGCAGATAGAAATCTACAATTGCAAAATGGGAAATGGCATATGCAATACTGGTAATGTGTGTCACATGGACTTCCTGAAATAAAGCTCTTTATCCATGGAAATCGGGTTAACAGCCCTAGATCAAATGACAATACTCGTACAATATTTTGATTAAAACAGCTATTGTTGCTAAACAAGGATTTCCCATAACCAACTACTGTAGTTGGAACAAGCTTCATGCTTCAAATTTTCATTTTCAAGAGTGAATTGGAGAATTTTCTGTCTTCATACCATTACCTAACCAAAAAGAGAATAACCCAAGCTGGGCAAAAGAATTGTTTGGTGATGACTCAACAAAGTTTTTGTCAAAGACATGAAAACATATTTTTTCTAGATCAAAATCGTTCAATAGATTATAAATACAAGTATTTGACAGCCTTTTGAATAGGCCAGTGAAAGCAGAAACTGTCAGCTGCCAATAGCTATACAGCTAGAAGTCATGACAAACAATGTCATTATAGACGATGTCGCTCCAGCACAACTTAGGCTGTAGAAAAATCCTTGTCCAATGACAGGTACGTCAATTTTATTTTTAAAATTAAACCAAAATGGATCTAAAAAAGATGAATGTTTTGACATAACATCAGATCTAGAAAAAACAATCTGGAAGTTCACTAAAACAGAAACTTAGGTAAATTACATATACTTTTTGAAGTTTCAAAGTCACCTACATAGAAATATGAAGTATGGTCAAGGTTACCAGAGATTCTGAGAAATGATAACAATATAGCTTAAGATTTCTAAATGGAAAGCAGCTTTAATATTTCTAAAAACTGCGATTTTAAGCAATCGGATGTTTTGTCCATCCTTTAAAAACAGGAGATTCATTTAACTCTTAAACATGCAACAGAAAAGCAAAGTCAAGCATAGATCAATTTCTGTGTCACATATTGTTACAGGAGAAAGAGGATTGTTCCCAGAGACTCGTTCTCAATCTAAACTCTAAAAAATCTAAACCTTAACCATTTAGTTGGTATGAATATTTCAAAATGGAAGACATGGTTACTCTAAGAAACATGAGATGGCCAAACAATTACCGATGGTGAAAGTCCATGCTAAGGATGCTTATATGACCATAAGCATACATTTGAGGCACAGGAAATAGCTCTGTTGAATGATATAACATCATTTGAGATCATTACTATGGACCTTGCTTCCCTCAAACTCGTAAAATACCATAAGCACTATTGTGGAATATTTCATTTGGTTTTGAATCTTTTATTGATTCTCTGATGTCATTAACCTCTCGCCTATCTGCTACTCATGAACATGATTTCAAGTTAGTGAAATATTTGTTTCAAACTGAAGTTTCTGATAAATGGGGAAAAGCCTATTGTTGCATTTTTCCCATCATAAAATGGAGCTTTGTAGGTTTGTGATCAATACAATTGAGATGAACTTGAAGGCCTTAATAGAAATGATAGTTTCTATCAAAATTCTCGCAAAGACTTTGTAGGGATAGAATCAACCCTAGTCAGTAATCTTACTCAAGTTATTGAGATACTTTTGAATTGTACTTTAGTCTGTAATCTGTATATTGAACCTCTACATTTATTGACACTTGCAAAGGTCAAAGCAGTCCTACATGTATGCATTGATTACCAAAATAACTCACAAAAAATGAATTCAAAATTTGATAGTGATTGGTCCAAGAAGTCGAAATTCAGAATACTAATAGTGTTATCCAAATCAATAATTACAATAACAACAAAAAAGCAGCCTGTTTGGCTAAAGTTCAAGTCTGACGGGACAGTAGCTTAGGGGAAATAGATTAAACAAAAAATTGTTTCATATGAATGAAAGCCATGGATATGGTAGTGAAAGTATTCACAAAACTTAGACAATGTTATATAAAATTAACAAGAAAACCACGATGACATTATGTGAACAAAATGTGGGGAACGAGATGGCTAGAAATGTTAAAAGCAATGCAAGATCGTTCAGATACCTTTGCCAGAGATATCATTATTACCGTATAATATCTTCCAAGGAATCAGAATTGAATGTCAGATCAAACCTAGAGAAATTCCTCGATGCATCAAACTAGAAATAAGATTGGGAGATTTTTCCTAATTGAAAGTTTTAAGGTCCAGATAAATTGATTTTGTCGACCAGTAGAAAATTAATATTTCAGGTGGAAACTAAACCCAGAAACTCTGGAAGTTGACATATTTATTCAGAATAAACAGTCAAATAACTTTCCTCCAATTTCTTAAATCAGCCGATTACTGATTAAAGTGAGACAGAAAAAATGCACAGATATGGCTCTTATAGCCCCAATGTGGCAAATGGCTCTGCGGTATCTATAATGGTTGGAAATGTTGGTCTGTATGCCCATCTTATTGCCAAACCATATGAAATTACTAATATCTAATCTTACAGCCTTTATAAAAAAAGAAGCTACATAACACTAACGGTGTCCAAATTATCATCCTCAAGTTTGAAACTAGAGGTTTCTGTGACAAACTGGCAAAACATGTATGTTCATTAAATCAAGTAAAGAAAGTACTTAAATTACTTCCAAGGACCCCTAAAAAACATGGGTATGCTGCATGTTCTAATAAACATGACATTAATATTTAGCCTCTGATACAAATTTAGCCAATTTCCTAACTGAAATGTCAAATCAGGTATATGCTATTCGTTTCTCGATACTTAAAGTCTGCAAAATCAGCATATAATGGAACCATAGATAGGTAAGTCAATACCATGTTCTGGTTGATTTTATGGAAACTTTTACAATGGAAACCCACTAAATAAAATAAATGAAACTTGGGATGTGAATAAGGTCGTACTGTATCTCACATTGAACATTCGGGTCAGAATAGAATTCTCAACTGAAAGTACACAATAAGTCATGTTAATGTCTATTTCAAGCATGTATCCCAGGGCCTCTGAAATAACATGCCATTGGATGGTTGTCAAAGACAGAATGTCAACACATAAAATTGGGGTTTCAAGTTTTTTCATGAGAATCCATTTAATGATGTTGTACTAGCATTTAGAAAATACCAGAAACATCTGAAACAAACTACTAGTAGTAGAAGGGAATCATAAGAAGGAAGTTTAAATTATCCTTGTCAAATGTCATGCGATGCCATGCATGTACATATCCAGTAAAACATCTCATATACATACACATTAGCAGTTTCTATAACAATACATAAAGGTCTTAATTTTATAGAATAATAATAATAGATAGATATTTAATAAATACATTTAAGTACATTTGAAAGACATATTTAACCAGGTATGCAGTAACAGTACCATAAACTTGAACATTTGATATATCTACAAACCAAGTGATGGGAAATGCAAATTAACTGAATGCTTAACAATTTTACAATCTGTTAAACTGATAAAGGAAATTAAAGGATTTAGATCAGTTGTTCTGAGGTCATGTTACTTTAAACATGCGATATGAACTCTTAATAAGATGAGTGTAATAGAAATTTTACAATTTCTTAAGAATCTCGCTAATGAAATTATAATTTTATTAACGAGATCTTATTAAGAGTTCATATATTCCCCCCTCGCCCACCCAGTCGTTAATTGTCACTAAAACACAGTTTTGTGTTATTTCAGAACATAACCACAGACAACTGAGTTATGAAGGATAGAATTAACATTCAACAATCTTCATCAAGTCAAATATTATGTATCTGGATTTTTACACTCTCAAAGTTGTAATGAAAGTTTTTAAAGTTTAAATTTCACAAACAGTGAAAGGTTTATATCCTATACTACACAAGGACTTTATTTTAACTTTGCATCCCACAAAGATTTAGGGATAAATTGGACATCTCACAAGCAGTGGATGTAGTTGTTTTCTTAGTCAAAGAATTCACTGAAGTTTACTCATAGTAAGGTGAGTTTTTCAATGGTTTCAGAATATTAAGTTGGCATCTAAGCAATAGACCTAGTTATCGGTGCATATACATGTCCACTCAGCTGTACTACTCAGTTTTAATTTATTCAAATTAATACTACTAACAGCTGGAATCCGATAATAAGGGTTATTATGCGATATGAACTCTTAATAAGATCTCGTTAATAAAATTATAATTTCATTAGCGAGATTCTTAAGAAATTGTAAAATTATTCTCGCTAAAAGAAATCAAATATAACAATAGATTCAGACGGGGATGTGAGCTGATGTTCTTCAAATCTATACATAAAGGTATATTTCATATTATTATGCCATATTTACTGTGCGTGTGACACAATCATTTACAATATTTATAATACTAAGGCAGCTCAATCTTCCTCCTCAAAGCCGGAATATAGAGAAGGCTTTGGACCGAAGTAAATATCCAGTGTTCCAGTATTTGTGTTTTACAGTGTAAACAGGAGAGTGGTTTTATTGACGCGCAATCATTATAGATCTACTATAAAAAGAACAAAATGAAGTATTGGTATTACCTTTTCAGATAATTACGACCAAAACAGCAAAAATGATCTGATGTCTATTGTTTTATCGATTATACTTGGAAGAGAAAAATGTCAAAAATAATGTTTCATTATCGCCCAAACGTCACGTGACGGAATTCCCGGGAAATACCTTAATGGCGGACAAACTCAAACCCCAAAAATTTTAAAATGTCTAAATTTACCGTATTACTCATCGAAATGAGCCAATTATAATGTCCAATGTTGTTGTACAGGTGGGGCAATGTGGCAATCAACTAGGCCAACATTTTTGGAAGCAGGTGTTAAAAGATAAACAAAATAATGATAGGTTTGTATCTGAATTCCAGTCCACAAACAAAATCATTGAAATTATTTCAGTCACATGTTTATCACTCTCACTTACAGTCTGTGGAGCACTTTGACGTTCAGTCAGTGATCTACCTTTGCATCTGTGCCTCAGCGCATCTGTCAATGTGAGAAACATGCTGTGCCACATACTATGTAGCCCTGTGGTAGATGTAGAGTAGTGTATCTGTACTAATGAGCTCTAATGTTTTCATCAGATATATCGATACAAGAATCAATATCTAAGCCCTGTGATAAAGGACCTGTTGTACATCGCATCAGTTTCAAAACATTAATATTGAATTCTTTCCTCAATTAGCTTTAAAAATCATGTGATTAAAGCGGGACTGTCGAATAAAAGCACAATTTGAGTACCCCCCATAAGGTTTGATGCTTAAAGATGTACAGCAAGTTTGTCCATCTACTTACCAAGTTTGAGGACTCAACTAATTTGTTACGATATCAGTTTTGATGATTGTTCACAGACATTACAGATACATGTAAACACCATAATTAAAAAGTAAATAAAAATGTTTACTCAAACCATGGGCATTCAAGAAAGCCCATGCTCAAACTTATATAACAATACATATATACATGTATAAGTAGTGCAATTGATCATTTCCAAATAATATGAGTGTTCTTTTCATGACGTTATTCTGAAATTATTTATATGTTTAGGAAATTGCACTTTATTGTAATCAGTTGGTAGGGCATTCAACTTTTAACCAATTTGTTTTCTGGTTGCCAGGTATGAATCCTGACTGTACCTATTTTTTTTATCACACTATCGGTGGGATATAGTCGTCATACTGGTCATGGTCGTGATCGTGGTCGTGATCGTGATCGTCCCGCTTTTTGTCATCGCCGTTTAAGGAAAACTGCTCATCAGATTTTCTCCAAATTCGCAGAGATGATAGAGCATATGAAGTACTAGAGCTGATTAACTTTTGGGTGGCCATCTTGTTTTCTGGCGGCCATTTTGAAGGTTTTTCGAAAGATCTTGTCATCGCCATTTCAGGAAAACCGCTCATTGGATTTCCTTCAAATTTACACAAATGATAGAGGATATCAAGTACTAGAGCTGATTAACTTTTGGGTGGCCATCTTGTTTTCTTGTTCTTGAAAGGAGGAGGGAAGTTAGTGCAACAGATTTTGGACAGTCATATGTTTGATTTTGGCCATTTCCTGGGGATTTAAACAGGTGCATATGTTAGGCGAATGCATTACCTCCAGGAAAATCACTTCTAGAGATGATAAAATAATTTCGACCTTGAGACAGGGTAGATGCAAACAACCCACCCACATGTTTTTTCTGAAACGTTTTCCTGATTTTCAACCCCTTCCATCCCTGCTTTTTTAATTTTTCTTGCATCAATATGTTGCATTTTGACACACAGATAATCCCTTAAAAGGAATAAATGATTCCTTTTAGATTAAGTGGAAAACAATATTTCCCATGTTATTTTCCCATAGGAAAAATCATTGCTTTCAGCTAAGTTTGGTCACCCATAATGGGTATCTTTAAAACCCCTGAAGGAATCACTTATTCCTTTAAAGTGGTTAACTATGTGTCAAAATGCAACATATTAATGCAAGAAAAATTGAAAAAGCAGGGGTGGAAGGGGTCATAAATTAGGAAAACATTTCAGAAAAAACATGTGGGTGGGTTGTTTGCATCTACCCTGTCTCAAAGTCGAAATTATTTTATCATCTCTAGAAGTGATTTTCCTGAAGGTAATGCATTGGCCTAACATATGCAATTGTTTAAATCCCCAGGAAATGGCCAAAATCAAACATATGACTGTCCAAAATCTGTTGCACTAACTTCCCTCCTCCTTTGTAAACATAATAGGAGAACAGTTTTCCTGGTTCATAGTGTCTGCCTATTTGATGGCGTGATCTCGTTCATGTCCTGTGCCTTGTTAACAACAACAGTTGCATGTTTCTAGTTGTAGTAGTTGAATAGAAATATAGATAAAACAATTGTATATTGCTTTAGACTAATTGTGTTTTATCTGACAGTTGGTTGTTCTGTTGGTTGTTCTATTGATTTTCTCAGTATATTGGGAATACTGTGCTCAAAGTTGGTCTCAATATATTAATAAGATATGATAGTATATAAGCCATTAGAGTGGAACATCACTGATTGAGAGAAAAATTACAAGACAGTCCCACTTTAAAGTCAGATTCATAAATCCATAAACAACTTTGAATCTAAAAAAGAAATCAAAGGACCACTAGTAGAGACATATGTACAAGACCTAACTTTTGTATATTTCAGATAGTTTGATATAATGTGCAGCAAAGATGTGTCCTTTTGTAATTAAGGGAGTTTCAGCCTTGTTAATTTTTTTCGAAAATAACATGGCAGAGAAGCATCAACATTTAAGAGGCCACACATAAATGTATGATAGCCAAACTACAAAAAAACAAAATATACAAAAGATAGGTCTAATACATATGTTTCTATTTTTTTTATATATTGTTGTAATATGGTCGTTTGATTGCTTATTTTTAAGGTTCAAAATTGTTTAGAAGTTGTAGAAGTTGTTTTTGTTTATTGAATCTGACTGTACAGGTATTTTCTTTTTCCAGCCATGGATTTGTTCACTATGATGGGAAATTCCATTCAGTTAATGTAGATAGTGAACCAAAAGTGGTGAAGCGACTTCTAAAGGACAACAAACAGAGGTTAGTTTTGTTTTTGTATAATTCTACTACTAGAATTTATTATGTGAGGGTTACTTATATGGGAGGTTTTGGATATGGGATATCATAAGGGAAATTTAGATGTATTTAGTATTCAATTGTTGACCTCTCCAGACATCACATAATTAATTTATCCTACCATGTATGACAAGTGACTTTTATTAATAAAACATTATTTAAATTAACCTAAATGGTATTTTTGTAACTATATGTAGTGGAAACATATCATATTTTTGCCAAATTTTGACTGAACTAATGGCTTTTAAACCATGAGGTACATGTATTTGGTCGTATCTCATGGTTTACAGATCTTTGCTACTCGACTCAAAACACGTCTGACATTCATTTAAACAGGATATTTTAAACGTTGATTATTTTTTCCTTGTGGATAATTAGAGGTTAAGAGTGTTATAGCACTTGTTATATTTACAGTATGGCATAAAAAAACATCCTATGATTTATTTTTCATGATATGAGTTTCATCCTCATATTGAAATCTGCACTGTCTCACTTTGCTCGATCCATTGTTTGAAGGCCGATCTTTACAATAAAATAATGAAATATTAACATAAATATAAATAAATAAAATATTATCATATCCCATATTATTGCCTTTTAAGACCTTAAAATCTTGTAAAACATAAAAATGTGTGAGTAACGAATTTCAAAAACAATTAAAAAAAATCATACCTAATACAGTGTATCTTATGTTAACTGACTCCATCCATCCAATATAAACATGATTTTACATTTATTGTTTCAGTAATTTCAGAAAAGAAAATGTAATTCTTGGCAAACGAGGACGGGGAACAAATTGGGCGCTAGGTATGTACCTGAAACTCCATTCATGACAGACATGGTCCTTTCTGGTTTAGGGACTGTGCCAATATTTTTATGTTGTCCTAAAACAAAACCCCAAAATGTAACTGTACATTTGCTGATTTTTTGCTCCCCATCAAAAATTAATGTATGCTTACATAATTCTACCCCCCCCCCTCCCTCTTTAAACATAATAAATCACATATCTGGGCATTTCAATATATAAATCTAAATAAAAGATGATTTTAATTAGAAAAAGGCAATGAACAATTGAAGAAAATGAAGTGCATGATTAATTTTAGAAAGAACAGGAATCATTTCAACAACCTAAATTTTCCCATATTGGCTTTAAGAGCTTGTAAATAACTCTAAAAGTTTTTATTAGAATTATTCTTTTGGAATTCATTCCCCTTTCTGTCATTCTGTCATCAACTTTAATGGTATCTTTAATGGTATCTTAAATACCAGGCACTTAAAGGCTTTGAAACAAGAGCATTTTACCAATCTTTGTATTTAAAGGAACATTCCTTGCCAGACTATTTCTCTCCTGATATGGTAGCTACAATCATATATATACTTTACATATTTAGCAAAACACAGGAAAATGTTTTCATATGGTCAATATTGATCATTTAAAAATGTAGTACTCATTCCCAGTAAGCTGCCATCTTTTCAGATTTCTTTCAAGTGATGTCATCGACTCTCACCAGTTATAACCTTGTCTATTACAGTATAGGAAAGAAGTACAAAATCACTTCTAAACAAGAAGCCCTTATCTTCTGTGTAAAAATATTTTCAGGAGTTGTCAACTTAGAACTAAAGAAGAGATCATCAAAAGGATTTTAATCATAGACCAATTTGAAAAAAATATTCAGCTGGTTTAGTAATTCTAATAGCTCCTTACCTAATGTTATATGCAAAGTTGAGAGTCGATGACATCACTTCCTGAGTGAAATTTTAAAAGATGGCAGCCTACTGGAATTGAGCACTATACTTTTTAGTGATCAATATTGACCATTTCAAAACATTTTTCTGTTTTTTGATAAACTTGCAAAATATGTATATGGTTATAGCTACCATATTAGGAGAGAGATGGTCTGGCAAGGAATACCCCTTTAAGAGGTTAATAGGCAAAGTGCTGATTCAACATTCTTAAGATTACTCTTTTTAGTCTTGTTTGATCCAAATAAAACTTGGACTTTAAGATAGAATAAGGTGTAAACTGCCAAGTTACTAAAAATCATTTTATTTTCAGGCTACAATGGGCCCAAGTCAGGGGATGATAGAGATCTGTTGGGCATTGCAACAGAGGCAATCAGGAAAGAGGTAGAAAGGTAATTTTACGGTTGATATTCACTATATACAGTTATCACACGTTTCAGCTTGTGTGATATGGGAAATCTTCCACTCAAGTAAAAATGTATCACCACTCATGGGAATGTAGGCCAAAGACTTTTTGATTAGCCTCAGTATACTCGATATCTAGAAATAACATGTACAGTTCCCCTCAAATTTTCTGTCTGGAAACCTGCACAATGTCATCCAAAATGTGCAAAATGTCCAAAATGTGCAGACCTCAAAAGTGAGATCATCTGTATCATTCAGGCCATACCTGCTGAGGAATGCATTCAGGTCATTGACAACTGTGCAGGTTTCCCGGCTAAACCTGATGTTGTTCAAAGTGCTGTTGAATTGTGACTATCAGTCCGATGGTCATGAAATATGGTAGGGTGGTAGGAAAAATGATGCACATATGAGTAACATATCAGGGTGTAATTTCTTAAAATGACAAAGATATGAGGAAAATGCAGGGTTTCCATTTTTTTGACCACCCTGTACTTACATTGCTCTTGTCTCTAATGGGTTAATAGAAGGTTTACAAGTACAAGTATTATGGTGCAAGATGGGGCAGGTATGAGTCTTGTAAATCTCTTAAATTAGAGCATTGTAACTTTACTTTTTGGACAACCTGTGCACTGAATGTTATTTTATGTACTTTGTGAACAGGTGTGACAGTTTCTCTGGCATTGTGATGGTCCACAGCATCAGTGGTGGAACTGGCTCAGGTAGGTGTCTCTTAATACATTTACTTCTGTGTGTTTTATCATGGGCTTAAAGAAAACCCATGGTTTTTCTCGTCCTCTTAAAGAACATGTTAATTTGGAAAAATTCAATTAAAGAACAGGCCATAGAAATGAAAAGAAAAAGATATTGATAGAATATCACTTGTGAAAGATGCACAGGTATTCACCTCAATAGAATTAGATATTCATATATTCTCCCTTTTTCAATATCCTTCCCCAGAATGAGGTTCCTTTTTATGTTTACCAGAGCCTCATTTTGAAAGAGAGTTATTTCCCACACAACATAATGAGAAACATACAATAGATTATTATAAAACAAAAATTGCATTCTCCCATCAAAAGTAAAAGTCACATTTGTAAATGATGTGAAATATTGGTGAAGTGTTCCATTATGTCATGGGAAGGTTTTTACTATCAAATATTATATCAAAACAAGTACAAAAGCAGATTTTATAATTTTCAATTTTTATTTTATTTTTTTGCACTTTATTAAATTAGCAAATCACAACATTTAACAACATAAAACTGCTCCCCCAAGATGGACAAACAATTAAACAATTGTTTTTTATAAAAAAATTAAAAAGACCCTAGATCTCATTAACACCTTCAGAGTTATGCTGAAAACAAATATAGATATTATCATGTCACTATATTGTGCCATTAAAAAGAAAAAGTACATTTTAAAAAATGATATTCTGGCACCATTTTCAACAGCTTTTACTCCTAGCGTTATTTGATTCCAAATAGAAGTGAAGGTAATCTGCAAATGATATACCCATTGCATGGAAAAGTTGATTTGGCACAACGAAACATATGAGTTGAAAAATAATTTGTGAAGTTTACTTTGTGTTTTTATGAAAAATAGCATGCTCAGTGGTGTCCGTGTTGTTTTTCATGTCATTGGTGGATATGTTATTTATCATGTCAGTGTTATTTATTATTTCATTGATGTCAGTCTTATTTGTCATGTCAGTGTTATTTTTCATGTCAGTGGTGTCAATGTTATTTTTCATGTCATTGATGTCAGTCTTATTTATCATGTCAGTGTTATTTTTCATGTTTGTGGTGTCAATGTTATTTTTCATGTCATTGATGTCAGTCTTATTTATCATGTCAGTGTTATTTTTCATGTTAGTGGTGTCAATCTTCTTTATCATGTCAATGATGTTGAATTTATTTATTGTGCCAATGATGTTAGTGCCTTGAGTGATTATTGTTTTTTTTCTTTTATTTGACATATAAGGGCCATCACCTCTTGCACAAGTTTCAGTGACTGCAATGTTGTACAGCTTTTTCCTTTTTATTTTTCTACGTAATTTTTTAGGAGTTGTGCATAGAATGAATGCATTAAAGGCTACATTATAACATTCGCTTTTGTGGACAAACATATATGCCATTAATACCTGAGTGGTATGTTCTATAACTTTAGCCCACGGGGGTATATACCAGTATAAAGGATTGAATTTTACCCGCAATAATAGAAGAATTTCAGGTATTAACTGAAATATCATCAAGAATAAAACAATTAAACCATATCTTAAATGAATCGCTAAGTTAGGGTTGTTCTGTCTTAAATTCCGCTTTTTCTGTCGATATCTGACAAACTTAATAATCTTTACATATATCAACACTATGCAAACCAGTATCGCTAACCCCACAGCAATCTTTGCTGTCTCTAAAACAGTATGCTTAGACATACAATCCATAAATTGATGTTCAAAAGTTTGTTCTTCTCTCATACGCATCGTTATCGTTCCAATGATTAGCAGGCTATGCATCAATATTACAGCTACAGTTATATTACGTGAACGAAATACTTTGCGATAGACATCCATTGATTTGGTGATGAATACGAACTGATTCACGACAATCATTAGAAGTATAAAATCATTCGACACATCAAGAATGTCAAATAAGATTGTGTAAATTTTGCACAACACATCAGAAGGTATGGACTTTGGATCGTTAACCATCACAAAATAGGCTTTCAGTGGTAGTAGAATGCAGCAAATCAGCAAGTCATTTACTGAAAGCATCGTAATAAACTGATTCTGATTACGACATTGTTTATCCATGATCGCAGCAAGGAGAAGGAAAGTGTTAGTTGTAGTCCCAAGCAAAATTCCAAGAATCCCAAAAGTGCTGAGTCCTATGCGATGAAACATAAGATATTGTCTTTCCGAAAGTGTGCTCGAGTTGTTGTCACTTATTAAACTTTCATCTGTCAAATTATCCATGATTTTGTTTGAGATATTTGCCATATTCAAAAATTCTTTGTAACTCTTTGAAGGTTTAATCAATTCTGGAAACTATGATTGAAAACAAACACATTTATGCTTTATATATATTCATAAAAAATGTACATTTGAGGCATTAATTAACAGTCCTGGCAAATGAGACCTGGTAATAAAAGTATAGATAATATGATTTCTTCTATCCTAGCAACTGCAAAAGATATGTTAATGTTTTTAAATATTTATTTATTATTTAATTCTATGCTATATCTAGTATCACCTCGATATTAAGCAGAAAGGTTTAAGATCTACCTGGGAAAATTTAAAGGTATCAGTTAATATCAACTCTTTTGGCTAAATGCTATTATCCTACCAACTGTTGGAGAGTATATAGAGGAGCCTAATAATGGGGGGGGGTATTGAATGTAAGATAGAACATTTGCTCTATTCAATATATCCAGGAAATCTTTGCAGAATGTTCAGTTAGATTGAAGTTAAAAATTGAAAATATAAATAATCAGAAAGATCAAGGAGGATTGGCTCCCAGGGACACAACTAGATATTTTTCAACATTAAAATAAAGGAATGGTCTTTGACTAAATGTCATCAAATGGATTAACACTAAATGAGCAAAACAATTATGATTTTTTAAAAAACTAGCTCACATGATATGGGAGAAGTTTGGCCTTTGCTCTATGGATCCATTCTTGCTCATGCAAATCTTTGACCTTGTCTTTAAAGTTTTGAAATTTCTTGTCATTGAATGTACCAAACAATTATGATCTTTTGTCATTTTAAATATATTATTGTTGACTTTGCACTTCTGCTATCAATTTGCTTCTTCATTGTTCTTGTCCTATCAGTAGAACATTCTGAATGAATAAGGTCCTAGGCCTGGGGAACATATCATGTTTCAATATAGAGTTTGTATACTGTGTCTTATCTAGGTCAGATTGTTTGTCAAACCAGGTCACTAGAGTACAATTTTCAAAGAAATTATGGTTAGGCCAGAAAAAATAAATCTGAATTTATGGTCGCCAGTTTTCAAAGTTTAGATCCACCATCTGGAATTCTTTTTCTTTTTTGAAAATGTCAATATTTTGTTTTCTTAAGACACTTACGACCAAATTTCTATTAAGGCAGAGGAAACAGGGAGAACAAAGTAGATGATTTGGCCACAAAGCTGAAATGCTGGGTCACATCACAGATCACTGCCATTCAGTGACGGAAGCTCACATTTTACAGCACAACCTACTTGTTGAATAACTAGTCAAGAAAAATTCACTTTTTTTGTAAAAATGTTTCCAAACATTTGTAATGTTTTTGCTATTTTAACATTGATTCTACCTCTTTAGTTGAAATTGCATCCTCGAACCAAAAACAGTACAATGTTTGTCCTTGGGTTAGAAATGACAATTTAGGACCTTATCTTGTTGACTTCCAGACTTCCCATTTAATATATGATAAATAAGTTTAGAATTTGATAAATATCATATACTTGTATTGTCTCTTCTGTTAATGTGACAGCAGCTCGGGATAAGCAGGAATCTCCAAGAAATACTCACAATTTTGGAGTAATTTGAAAATAAAGGTAGGTTAAAAAGACAATGGAAGCTAATAACTTCAAATATATTAATGTAAAAAATAAAATGAAATTATGAAACAATTTGAGAATCCAAATGAAAAAACTGTATGTATCAGATTGTATTTTCTTAAATATATTTTTTCTATTCAAAAATCATTTAATTTGATGAAAATGTCTAGGTTGATTCTAGGTTAATGTGACCGTAAAACACCAATGTAATCTTAATAAATATATATTTTTATTCCAGATATAAACATGAAAGTTGCTGTCATCTTTCTCCTATTGGCTGTTGTTGCCACCTTGCAGACTAGCGATGCTTGGAGAGTTCGCATTCGGAGGGTTCGTCTTCCAAGACTTGGCCTACGACGCATCATCGCACCAATCTGTACCATGGCATGTAACACCAAATGCACAGCACCAGGCATCTGTGCTCCTGTCTGCCATAAGATCTGCAATATCGGCCGTAAACGCCGTTCTTTAGGTGATGGGGAGCAACCATTTTCTCCTGATTTCTACAAGTATGATTTGAGCAATGATGATGCTATTACACTGTCAGAGTTCGCTGAGGCAATTGAATCTACCCCAGAAAAATGTCTTGAAGTCTTTGGATATGCTGATGATAATGGTAAGTCTTTAATATGAATATGTGGTTTAAGTGTATGTTATTCGATGCTTACTGTTGTAATTTTCGTTGTGATGAACAAAAGTAATAGTGTACAGACAATATAGATTACTAGTATATCACTCATATAAAAAACATCAAGAAGAGTGTTAAACCCTCATAATTTTTCACATATTCAATGATCCATATATTTTTTCAGGTGATGAAGTTCTTGACATCAGTGAATTTCTAAATGGACCATTCCAGTTTGGAGATGCATAGAAAGTTATCTCCCTTGATGATATTATGGAATTCAAATGGATTTCCTATCGCCAAAATATCTGATCTTGCATCATGGGGCCATTAACAGAAGCTTCATAAAGTTAAGAATTCGTAAAACCCATTGTTCTCTAACTGTGACATCATTATATCCATGGTTACAACAATTGATTTACAAATTCGTAACTTTACTAAGTTTCTGTTAATGACCCCCAGATGAATAATAAAAAAATGTACATAATGATCAAATCGATACATGTGGCATAGAAATTATGTTTGTTTTGATATTGTGCAAAGTAGCCAGGTGAAAATTTACAGTTTTTGTAAATTAAAACTAAGAATTTTTTTGAGTACATATTCTCTTACTATGACATCCTCATCGTGATTTTCAAGGACAATAGATTGAGGGATTTTTCAAGCAAAAAATATTTCTGGTAATGTACCCAAGGAAAACAAACACTAATAAATCCTGTAAACAATCACCAATCAGTATATTGGGATATGATGCATTCGTTCTAGAGTAATAGAGTAGCCATTATGTAGTTATCTAGAGAGAGATAATCTCTATCTAAATAGAGATTATCTTGTTTATGTATTTAGATCACATTGTATCTTGATTATTAGATGTATTAAATTTATTTTCCTAATAAAAACATCTGAAAATACTGATATAGAGCTCACATGTTATGTTTACATACTACACAAATAAGAAACCACAAGCGACAATGTATGATCAACAATTTCTAAGCAATCCATACAAGTATCCTTCAGAAGATTTTTAGTGTTCCTTGTCCCTAATGTCCATATTTCAACCGAATGTAGGCAAACCTTTAACTACACATACAAAATTTAAATATTCATGCATTGATCCTTTAGTTTGACACTCTTATGGACTTAGAGACTGGATTAATCAGTCTCGGATCATCTGCGACTGAATACCTCTTATTTGGGTATTCATATCTAAAACTAGTTTCAATGTCAAGGACTTAAGGGTATTGGGATTTTTTAGTTTGTTCATCAACATATGTTATCATGATTTTAACTTGTTGCTGGCAAGAAACTTAGCTAGAGATATCTCCACTTGGGTTTCCTTTATACTCCAGAAAATTATTCGTCGCGATGAATACTCATTTTAAGTTGCGGATAATGACCACCATGGCCTGGCACTATGGCTCCGCCTATTGCTCAAGTCAATATTGTAAAATATAAGCCTTCTAAACTATTACCAATTCCCTGAAAACAGGCCTCAACACAAGGTCATATTTATAGTAATTGTATTCACTTCAGATATGCATATTATCATATAGATCATTGTGTAAGAGGTCACCTCTGGTCATCTCATCAGGATAATATAATATCACTCCCCATAAAACAAATATTAGTGTTAAAGGAATTGACAATAATTTTAAAATTACCTCCTGTTCAAGTTGCAATCATTTTTATAGATTATATTGATAGATTTAATATCACTGAATATGGTATTGCTTGTTGAGAACCACACAACATTACCATTTATCATTTATTTGAGATTTAAGCAGGGGTCCATTTTTTAAAGAAATAATCATTTTTAAAGATTTCTTGTGAATAGATAATAAATAAGTGCAAAAAGTATGAATTATTATATATCGAGAGCATAATGTAAAATTTCAACTGAAAAGTTAGATCAAAATGGAATCCAAGTTCACAGTGGGGGGTATAACTCATCAAACACTGTATAATTTTTTTTAAACTTATTGTTACAGTCTTATGTTTTTAATTTGCTTTTGTTAGTTAGGATTATATCATTGACCATTCATGAATTTTTGTGCACCATACAAGGTTATAGAACTTCATTTATACACGATTTCAGCAGGGGTCTATTTTACGAAAATTAAATATTTTTCCGGATAGTTCTTAGATGGAGAGCTAGTACATTGTTACGATTAAATTACATCATTAAGGTGTATAAATCATGAAAACAGGTTTCATCCTGATGTCTACAACCTAATTCGTACAAGGCCATGTCACAAATGGGGGGGGGGAGGGGGGCATTGACCTCCACTTGGGGATATTTATTACTTATATGATTTCAATATTACAATAATGTCGGTATCATTATAAACAGGCACTAAATAAGTGTAGAGTATTATAAATACGTTGACAGCAAGAAGATTAATAGAATTGAAACTGTAAAACGAGATAACATTTGGGCTCTAAAATCACAATGATTGGTATAACTAATCAAATGTTTACATTTTAAGGTTATTATCATATCCTAGCAATTTAAATTGTTTTAAATAGTTATAATTGAATTATTTGCAGTTTCTGAATTTTTCGAATATCTTAAAATGGTTCAGATTTTCATTTATTGAAGATTTAATTCAAGTCTAATTCAAAAAGATGAATATTTTTGTGGATAGTACTCAGATCAATTACTATTATTACCACCTTGCCGGGAATGTTATAGGGGTTTTAGTGCTAGTTTAGAAGGCATTTATGTTACTTTATCAATCTGAGCAATATATGACGTTATAGTGGCGGGCCATAGTTGCGGGCCAATTATGCATTAACGCCCAGCAATTTTCCCCGGGAAATGACATATCTTTCAATGCATATAATTTTTGCTATTTCAGCCCTGGGCATTAACTTTGGTAATACTAATAATCTCATTTCTGCGGGCAATATTAAACAAATACTGGATGATCAGGAGCTTGATATGGCAGAATACCTATTCGAGAAAAAAATATTGGGCGAGGCGGTATTTATTAATTTCAATATAGAGCGTTTGGGTTCTAGCATTGCCTCATGGGAAAGTCTATTTCCTACCAAATAAAATAATCTATTACTAAAGTTATGTGCTTGCAAAAATCAAATATCCTTTCACTCCACATCATATCATATGCTTTATTGATGTTAAAATCTAATTTTATAAATAGCGGGAATAAATTCTTAATTCATCTTAAATTATAATTTAAATGCAAAAGCCGATTCATAAGTAGATACTTCTTTGAAAACTTCAAAAGTGTCAATATCTAATATTTTTCATTATTATGGACCTCTGTTAAACCCCTCAATGATAAGTAAACGATAATGTTGACAGGTCCTCAACGGATGAAAACGTATGTAGGAATATATGTTTTATCAATTAAACATATCATTTAACAATTGGCGGATCAACGAAAAACAAGATGATGTTAAAATAAAGTGAACTAAATGGAACCATTATTTTTTATCATTTTGAATGCAAAATATAGTCAGACAGACGATCTTAGGTTCAATTAAACAGATAATGTCATACTAAAAAACTTTCCAAAAGCCGATAAATTAGTAGATAATCTGTTGTAAACCTCAAAAATATCAAAATCTAATATTTTTGTTGGCCCTGTTAAACCCCTTAATAATAAGGAAACGGTAATATTGACAGGTCCTCAACAGTTGAAAATGTATATAGGAATATATGTTTTATCATTTAAACATCAAAACAATTGGCGGATCAACAAAAAACAAGATGATGTTAAAAGAAAATGAACTGTAAATGGAATCGTTGTTTTTAATCATTTTGAATGCACAATATAGTCAGACAGACGATTTTATTTTCAATTAAACAGATAAGATCAATACGTCATACTAATTAGAAAATGGCAACTTCACGGAGTAGCAAATCCCAACGAACACCATATAAATCATCAATCTGTACAGTCACAATGTAATATTTACCATCTACTCTTTCCTTCAATAAATATTTTAGATCATTGTAATCATACTTTAAAGATGACTCTAAGTAATGGTGAATTTCTGCTCTAGTCGGATATTTTGAATTTTCGGAGGCACAAATCCGAAAAACACTGCCATAATTGTGATCTACTCTGAAATTCCTTCAATTTGAGTATAATATAGCCATACTTTTAAGAGATCAGAAAATAATTGCAAAATCCCGCATTAGACAGCCATTTTGATTTTTTTAGGCCCGAATCAGAAAAACGCTACAATATTTGCAATCTACTCTAAATTGCCATTATTTTTGGAACCATTATTTTTAATCATTTTGAATGTAAAATATAATCAGACAAACGATCTTATTTTCAATTAAACAGATAAAATCAATAGGTCATGCTAATAAGCTTCCAAAAAACCGATTCATAAGTAGATAATCCGTTGTAAACTTCAAGAATATCAAAATCTAATATTTTTTTTATTTTTGTGGACCCCTGCCAAACCCCTCAATAATAAGTAAACGGTAATGTTGACAAGTGCTCAACATGTGAAAACGTATGTAGGAATATATGTTTTATCATTTAAAGATATCAAAACAATTGGCGGATCAACAAAAAAACAAGATGATGTTAAAAGAAAGTGAACTCAATGGAACAATTATTTTTAATCATTTTGAATGCAAAATATAATCAGACAGACGATCTTATTTTCAATTAAACAGATAAAATCAATATGTCATGCTAATAACCTTCCCAAAATCCGATTCATAAGTAGATAATCCGTTGTAAACTTCAAAAATATCAAAATCTAATATTTTTTAATTTTTGTGGACCCCTGTTGTAACCCCTCAATAATAAGTAAATGGTAATGTTGATAAGTGCTCAACAAGTGAAAACGTATGCAGGAATATATGTTTCATCATTTGAACTCATCAAAACAATTGCAGGATGAACAGGAGGAAACAGCTTAATTAAGGCTTATCTGAAAAATTCCTTTATCCCTATATGTATTCAGACCCTCCTTCCTCTTTAGTCTTGGTCGAAGAGTCTGTTGATAAACCCGGTATACAATACTTCCTTAGGTGTAACCTTTATGTATTCCACTTAATTGAGACTCTGAGAGATGAATATACTTTAGTCTTCAAACTATGTTGTACAGTAGCTCAATATGCAAATGTATTAATCTGTATTCCACAGGTGTAGGAGCTCACTTGAGTGAGATTCTGAGAGATGAATATCCATTGGCCTACCAACTGTCATGTGTTGTAGCTCCACATGCTACTGGAGAGAGCCCACTTCAACATTACAACTCGCTGCTATGTCTTTCCTGGTTACAAAGGTAACTACATGATAAAGCACATACATTTCTCATTGAAAAAGAAAGGATATTCCAAAATATTTAAATGAATCAATTTGATTTTTAATTGAAAAGAAAAATGTTTTGATTTTGCCAAAATGCGCTTGCATAATTTGCTGCATAAATTGCATTTCATCCTGCATAATTTTGTTCTTTTTACTGCATAATTTCACTTTTTCCTTGCATAATGCTAGGAACTGTGTGTATTGTAGTCCCATATTCAAATCCCGGGATGCAAATGCACATGTACTTGTATATATTTTATATACTTTGAAAGAGAGCAAACACATTTTAATGGAGCAGTCAATTTGAGATTTTTTCAGGATATACAGTATAATCTGAAAGCTTGAAATAAATATTTTATCAATCTCCGAATGTTTTTCTCAGGTCATTTTTTCTTACTGTGCATAACAAGATACAAGGGGCGATCCATATATTCTGATAAAAATGCTCTCATTTTGTGATTTTTTCACATATCTTTCTTATTTTTTCAGAAAATGTAGATTATGTAATTACACATACAATGCTTAAGTATTATAGCTATATCTTAAATTATCAATGAGATAAGGTTGCCATGGTAACCTGTAACCTGGGTAGGCAGGTCAATTAAATTATAACATATAAATATCATAATAACTTGTTATTTTAATTATTTTAAAGCATGCGGAAATCATGCATTTTTCTAAAAAAGTTTGGTATTGTTACTCGTTGTTTGTTGCGAAACAAATGTTGTATATGTGCTCACTATAACATCACAAATAACCACAATACCATTGTAGGACAGAATGGGCCAATTGACATTACATATTTGTATAACCAACAATAAGAATAGTAATTTTTTATGTTCCTAAATACCCTTTACATTCATTCGACTTCACTTCTTAAAAGAGAGCATTGTCTTCTTTGGTAGTTCATAATTAGACTAACTAGTTCCCAAAGAAATAAATAATGACTCAAGATAGGACAAAGCAGTAGGATGAAATATCTGGCTGTTATTATTAGTATCTTGAAAAATAGGGCAACATTGTCACACTCGGGCCACGTTAAAGGTAGAATCAGAAGTAGACTCTGAAAACCAATAGTGTCTTAAATGGTATATTTTTCATTGTTTGTGTTGTATGCAACTATATCATGGACTAAATCTCTGTTTATAACTTCATTTGAAAGATATTACTTTAATTGCTTTTAGGTTCAGTGACTCCATCATGTTTTTCCAAAATGATGACATTCTATATCGTCTGAATAAACGTCTGAAAAGTGATGGCCGGAGTGTATCCTTCAATGATATGAATTTACATATTGCTGCATGCATGGCAGGGGTCATGTTGCCTGTTGACAGTGTTACTCCTAAATGGTAAGTGACCAATGTAAATATACCAAATCTTAAGTGGAACACTTTGGAGTGATTTGGCTTACTTAAAGGAAGTTGAAGGACAGATTGCCATGGCTATTCTTTAAACAGTTTCACATTTATGACTTTATTTCAGGATAACTGTTTAATTTTAATGTAATTTAATGTAATTTTGGCACTTGATGTATAGATGAATAAATATGAATCGCCTTTCCCTCCTCAAAAATATCAAAACTTAGAATCCCATGTACTCTCCGAGTATCAGATAGCAAGGATAATTTTGATAAAGATGCATTAAAGGCAGAATCAGATCTATAGGCCTGGGTGAAAAAATTAAGAGCAACATGTACAATTGACCTATTAATCTATTTTTTACAATCTCAAATACAATATCTCCCAAAAGATTCACGATAGGTTATAAATTGGTAAAGTTATTATGGATTCAAAGTTCAAAAATGGGTTAAAAAATGTTTAAGTTCTCCAGAATAAGAATGGTAACCATTCTTATAGAAAAATAATATATTATTATAAAAATCTTTAGTTTTCCTGAAATAGAGTGTGCACTTTGGGGATTTTTAGAAAATAGCCATGACATGAACCAGAAATATTCTAAAATTGAAACAATTTTTTGTTGGCCTGCTCGCTAAATCTGATTCTATTTAAATACAATATTTTTAAAACCAGCGTAACCCCAATATAATGTTTCTAGTGGTATGAGTATTGGGATGGAGCCATGGGAAATGATCAGGTCTATTTGTCCAATACCTACAACTAAGTTCATCCACATTAACCAGCTAAACAAGAGGTAAATATGAATCGTATACATGTTTCATTGCAAAAATGTTTAACACCCATTCCATACTCTATGACATCACTTCCTATTAGACATCTTGAAAAATGACAGTGTATGAGAGAGCTACATCTTTAATGATCAAATTGACCATATCACCTGTTTTTACTTTATTTATGGAAGACAATTCAGAATTGGTTATAGCTAGCATATTGAGAGAGAATGGTCTAACCAGGACACTACATGTACTTTAATTTATTTATGTTCAATCATCACCTTAGAACATGTGCTAATGATCCAGGGGTCCGTTTTTGAAACCATCGTAACTTACGATTTGGTCGCAAGTCATTGTTCATCAAAACAGAGACAAATGGTTTTCTCGGAATCGTAAGTTACGATCGTACGAAAAACGAACCCCAGGTCCCTAAATGAAAAATGTTTTAAACACAGATTTATAAAAACATAGTAGTATTACAAATATTTAAATATATTTATATCAATCTCCAGGAGACCTATTTTGTAAGTTTTCTGACAAACAGCTTAATTTTTATGACTGGCTATCTTTTAGACAGTCCATCCCCTTTATTTTCGTCTACTACATCCAGTTATGCTTTGAAAGAAATGCTGCTCAAAAATTCAAAAAAGGATGAAAATCAGGTCACATTTTTAAAAAAGCATGTTGATGGACTGGAGTTTTCTCAGTTCAATTGACATTCATGTTGTTTAATATACTTTTCTTCAGAAACTTCTGTAATATACATTTAATTACATTTCACACTCTTAATGTATTTAGTAAATTCAGTGATTTTAATTGCGATTTTTTCTTTCTGAATGTCGTATATGTATACATATGATTTTTCTTTTACCTTTGATATGTTTATCTAGTCAAATAGTAATGTTTGTGATTTTCAATCTCTAAATCTATTATCTAAATTGCCAATTCCTTTCTTTGTGCCTTCTGTTATCCTATCATTTTCGTCACATTTGATTAACCGACCTGGGGGCTCCGCTTGACTTGCATCACTCTATCCACCTGCCCCTTCATGCATTCTTATTATGTCAAAACCCCAAGTGGTGACATATTATTGTTATAGTTTCCAACTTTTTTTGTGGATGGTGTTTGTTGTTCAGAGTTCAGGGGTTGGCATTCAGCGTTTGGAGTTCGTCATATATAACAAATGGCAGGTGGTGACATTTTGAATGTTAATGCTAGGGGTGGGACGGATAACCGAAATACCGAAAAACCGCGGTTCATAGCCTTCGGATCAGTTTTTGGATCACGGCCCTACTTTCGGATCAGCTTTTCGGATCGTTTTCGGATTAATATTTCATTTTTGATATTCCTAGTCCCTACCTTGTCTGTCTTGTCTGTTGCTAGCTCACTCGTTTACTAGATTCGTTTCGTATCCGCGTATTGTATCCCTCGGTAATCAATCATGTGGTCCCTGGTACTATATTCTTTAGTCGTGTATTCTAAATAATATGTATTGTTCATGAAATACTATAACATAAAATTCCATCTATAAAATATTGTTATAACGTGGCATAATTGATACAAATCATGTCAATCAATACAAATCCTTAAAATGAATGAACCGAACCGAAAAAACCGAACCGACGGCTGATGATCCGAAAAACCGAACCGAACCGAAACGAACTGTCCCATCCCTAGTTAATGTCTTGTTTAATACCTTCCGGGGACTTGTGAATTGTCAAACTTGATTAAATGTTATGTGTATTAACTGAAATAAATAAGTATGATTAAAAATTAAATGATGTTAAAATGATTTCAATGAATATACATGTATTTTCTAGTAATATTCTGCTTTTTTGAAGCAAACTTAGCTGGGATGAACTGACAAGCCAAGTTTTACACACAGTGAAGAGACATGACTCAGCTGGCAAAACAGTATCCTTTACCTCATGCAAAGATGTTATGATGGTTATGAAATCCATCACTCTGAGAATGTGTTTATTAGACAAATTAGCAAAGAATGAAGAAAACACACAATGTGACATTTAGCATAACATACATGTAGTTAGCAAATGTAGCGGTTTATTCAAATTCCAGAGAGATACTTACCTTCTGTACTAGAACCCCTGTACCATGAAAGACATACACAGATTCACCTGTATTTTTGTTTTGTGCCCACATCTTGTCTGAATGCTATGTTTTCATAAAATAATATCCTTAATATATTATTCAGTTTTCCTCTATTGCCAACTTAGTAATAGCTCGAGGAGATACAACAAGGTCATTTCCAGGTCACATGACCAGTATAAGTCAGAAGGTCAAGGCCACTTATTCTGCTGTAACTTGGAATCCATTCCCTGTTGACTTCTGGATAGGTGAGACTGGCTGATTTATGTTTTTATATTCTGTTGAAACACTAATGTAGACATGTTTACTACTTGTTTTGACACTGCATTGCTCACCAAAATTGAATTCATTTACAGCAAGGCATAACTCAATAGGAGCCAAAGATTCAGCATCGGTTACCATAGCATCTAACTATAGTAATGTGTTGGATGTTTTGGAGAGGACGGTTAGGAGATCACAACAAATGTATGATGCAGGGGCGTACCTACACTGGTACTGGAAACATGGCCTTGAAAAGGTAACTTGTGCAAACTGAAATTAAATATTTAAACAAAATTCAGAAAATATTTTTAGACCTATATACTGCCACCATAATAGAATTATTTCATAATATTAAAGGAAACAGAAAGGTGTAGATATCTTGAATAGATAAAAAAGCAATAAATGTTTCATTATCTTGTCCAACAATTTTTGAGAGAAATAACATGGAATATCTTCATGACCAGAGAGACCATGTCCATGTTGCCAGCTTTTGCCAGGGGGGGGGGGTCACTTTCCAAAAACACTTGAAAAGTGCCAAAAATGGGGAAAACCCCAAACCCCCCTAGCTATTGATCCGGATAATACATGAATCATGACACATGTCCACAGTATTTTACTTTCATTTCAGGATGTGTTTGAAAGTTCCTTTGAGACAATAGAGACTGTTATAAAGAATTATAAAGATGCTGTATCTTGACATAAAGACTTGAATGGGAGATAAATTGTTCATAGAGAACTTTAAATGAAGTCTGCACCCTGAGCTCCTTGGCTAGTACTCCCTCTGTCAAAGATCAATCATTTTGCATGTTGGTGTTCAGTAAAAGCGCACCACCTACAAACCTACATGTGGCTGTAGTACATGTATATGGAGTTTCCTTCAGAAGACAAATCTGAGTTCTGCAAGAGACAAAGTGTACAAATTTTTGAAAAATATATACATTCTCTTTCAAGAGAAAAAGTATATCATACCCATTGTGAATCAAAATAGGTGCAAGGTGCTTTCTGCTTTCTCCTTGTTCTCCAGGAGACAAGTATTCGAGTTTTTGTTTTTTTCATTCTAATTAAATAAGAGCAGTTTTAACATTGACACATTTTAGATAAATTGTTCAGTGTGAAAAACAAAATACAGTACTCCCACTTATATTCGACACTTATATTTCGTGTTTTGTGCATTTTGAAATTTCGCGGCTATTATATTTCGCTAATTTGTAGTACATATTTACAGTTATAGCGATCTTTCTTCTAATTTATCTTTTTCAAAACTCGAAATGTCACGTTTTTTAGCTTTTATCACCCAGCAATAGATGAAAATATTGCAAACATCGAAACTCCTGGGAATTTTGCAAATTAGAACTGTTGGAATTTCGCTGCTATAATATTTAGCAAATTTTCCAAAACTAAATATAGTAATAGCGAAATAAAGTAGCATGCGAAAATTACTGGGAGTACAGAAATTATGATGATTCACCTAAATGAAACTTTATTGTATCAAATGTTTACTCAGATATAAAAAATAAAATACTCAGATATAACTTTTAAAATTCTTTTAAAATAAATTATGTAAATGTACATGATGGATTGTGATATCTTCAGAATGGTTGGCAAATCCTTAATGCAGGCCTGTCAACTTGGGAACACCTAAAATTAGTGACTTACAAATGTCAACATATTTTGTTACGCAAAAAAACTGGTGTGACTTCAATTTCTTCAGCAAATGCGTGACAAATACACAAATTGCGGGAGAGTTGACAGGCCTGTTAATGGCAAAACTGAGCACCCAAATAATGTATTGAATTTTTATCCACAGTAAAACCTGTCTAAGTGGAACACCTTTGGTACCTCTAAAAAGAGTTTCACTTGTGAGGTGTTCCACTATCTAACCCTAAGCTTGTATTCGCGAATGCAAATAACAGCTACCAGCTATCGGGTTGATTGCAATTTTAGGGAAAACTCATTTAAACATGAATAGTACCTGTTGTGCTTCCCGTTAGCTACCATCTCATGTTTCACACTCGGTCGCTGACCTAAATAATGGGTTAATCTGCCTATTAAGCAGCATGTAACAATGACGTATGTTCTGTTTGCCAATTCGACCGCGTTGTTATTATAATTGATCCTTTCATTGGCATAAAAAGTCATGTGATCACTGTTCATTGACTGACAGATTGTTCGATTTAATCTATGAAAATTAATAGGTTGATCTGGTAGCCGCTATTTGCATTCGCGATTACAAGCTAAGCTAAAATTGTATTTTCGAATGCAACTAACACCTGAAAGCTACCAGATTAACCTCCTATTTTATGGGCAACTCATTCAAATATGAATAGTACCTGCCACTATTCCATTCATATTTAAATGAATTGACAGCGCGTCAGAAGGATTTGCAAAGGGGGCGATTTTTGTATATGAATGGGTCGTGCGTGGATCTAGGGGCATGCCCCAGAAATTTTCAAATTTAGATCCTCTCTGGTGCATTCTGAACATATAGAATTAAATATAATGAGAAATGAGATGTAAACTATGTCTATGTAAACTAGATAATAACATAGTATTATTTCTGTCATTATTACACTTTGACATTATTAGCTCTAGAGCTTACAATTTTAGACTCTATCTCAAATCTAGAAAATATGGGAAAGGGGGGGGGGTGGTCACCCCCAATGCCCTCCCCCTTCCAACGCCAATGATTGGTCATAAAATATTAAGTCAATCCGGTAGCCATAGTTGCATTCGCGAATACAAGCTAAGTTTTCCACTTCTAGACCTTGGGGCCTGCTGTGACCCCGGGTGACTCATGATTAGATAAGGTCATTCTTTGGTCAAAGGTCAATATCTTGGTATTTGACGTTTTAATGCATTTGGGGGCTGCTGTGACCCTTGGCAACCCATGATTAGTTGACCCGAGGTCAAGCTCATTCCAATGTCAAAGGTCAATAACTAGGTATTTTAAGATCCTTGGGGCTATTTGTAGATTCAGAATAACTAAACCCCAATTAGGTCATATAGGTTGCAACATATTAAAATGAACTGTAGTATATTTTAATAATGAATTTACAGTTGTATCAAAAGAAGTGTATATTCTTTTTCTATTGTTTTTAAAGAATGGACACTTGGCAAGCTATCAAACACCAGTGTGACACAAAAGACAAATGACAGTTTTTTTGATAGTTTCCATCGCTTAAAACAATATTCAAATGTACATGTACATTACAATATTTTAATGTGCACCCTATGCAGACAGAGCCTGTGGGAAATATTGGGTGCGGAGCAAATGAGCGGAGGGTGCGGAGCTAATGGTTATTTTTGAATTTAAATTTGGGATATTTCTGAAACTAAGCCGTTTTGGGACTTCAAATATACCAAGATATGTGTATTTGACACCAAATATCAATACAATTGTGAAAATAGTAGCGCAATTCATTCTTTAGCGACGCAGTGTGCCTTAAACCTTTCCCAGACCTATATATTTTGAAATTATCCTTTTAATACTGAGTCCCCAGCATTCATAAAAAATGGTGTTCAAGGTGCACTATCTATACAAATTATTTTTGCATCTTGGAAGCCAGGCAGTATCTGTGTGATTTTATAAAAATTCGGAAATGTTCTTCAGATATGAGCCCCTCTAAATATTGGGTGCGGAGCAGCTCCATAAACGTAGCTCCGCACCCAATATTTAGAGGGGCTCTTATCTGAAGAACATTTCCGAATTTTTATAAAATCACACAGATACTGCCTGGCTTCCAAGATGCAGAAATAATTTGCATGGGTAGTGTATCTTGAACACCATTTTTTATGAATGCTGGGGACGCAGTATTAAAAGGATAGTCTCAAAATATATAGGTCTGGGAAATGTTTAAGGCATACTGCGTCGCTATAAAATGAATTGCACTACTATTTTCACAATTTTATTGATATTTGGTGTCAAATACACATATCTTGGTATATTTGAAGTCCCAAAACGGCTTAGTTTCAGAAATATCCCAATTTTAAATTCAAAAATGACCGTTAGCTCCGCACCCTCCGCTCATTTGCGCCGCACCCAATATTTCCCACAGGCTCTGTCTGCATAGGGTGATGTGTGTTGCAACCCTATCTAAACTTACTTTCAAATTAAACCCATGTTAATGTTTACACCTGGACTGTCACATACAGTGCACTGAAGCTGATCTAATCACTTTTATTTTATACTCAATATGTAACACTTATCCTGATTCATGTGATTGGTCAATACACCTAAAATAGAACTACAGGAGTTCTCTTTGAAAGTTATAATATGTGAGTTTGAATGTGAGTATACATTTCAACTATTAACCACTGTCGTCACAATTGCAACTTCTATTACCCTTGGGAACGTCTTCGCATTGTCACTGCCCATCCAAAACACATGAAAATGAGGAAACACAAATGAGTTTGGTTAGGAGAGCCCAATTATCATCATAGGATTCTTAAAGCACCAGGGCTCACCAGGAATGTGATGAAGGAATGTGATGAATGGGACAAATTAATATTTGGTATTCATCAGCGTAGCATTATTTTTATGAGTAGTACACCTTTACGGTTGAGTTGAGTGAAGCGAAAAATGTATATTATTCACTCACTCTATAGTTGGTAATAACAAAAGAAATTAAATTTCACATAGAACACGGGCTGTTATAGGCACTGCACTGAAACTGAATTAAAGCCCATACATCTACCAACTCAAATCTAGATGAACAATCAAGAAATCAAGTTTTCAAGATTAGATTATGGACCAATTACCTTTCATAAGAGTCAGTGTAGGGTTTACATGGGTTAACGTTACATGAGTTCCGCTCCCTCCACCCCCCCCCCCATCACTTGCAACTGAGTGCAGAATCAATTGAGCTGAAACGCTATTGAAAGCATGCAAGTTATACATGTATAACAGCAAACATTGCCAGTGTTTTCGGGATTAAAACTTTTTAACCTGAATGTAATGCTGTAAGGCCAAAATATAATTATTGGGTTAACAATTTTCAGTTAACGATATACGGTTTCACACATGCATTTCAATCAATCCCTTGTATATGTAATGAATAATATTGCAGTGCTCTTTCCTCAAGAATTTCTTTATGTGAAGTTCAATCAATCAAAAATATTTATTTGGCCATTGGAATGCATGCGGATGTGGAACTAATGTAGATTTCTACTTTGGTTCAGCCTTTGTACTAGTTTGCAACATCAACACGGTAAGTCATGGTCAGGTGACCTCAAAAAGTGTGCAAAAATAACATCATTTCAGAGGTTAACGGTCTCATCTTATCACTTATTAAATCTTATCTTGAGATAGTCTTGGAATGAGATAAATTAAATCATGTTGTGTGGGGAAATATCACCAGTCTCCTAGCCTTTCGTCCAGTGCCATCCGTACCTCCTGTGCCTTACCTCATGCAGTTGAAGGTATGCAACGAACGAAATGAATTTTGAGAATGAAATATCACAAGCTTTGTAATCAAAATAACAAAAACAAGATATTTAGAGATTCTTAAATTGAGTTTTAGTACATAATAAGAGATTCCTATAAGGATCTATAAAGTTCTATCAGAACTTCTCTAAATATCACGTAAAGACAAGATTAAGAATCTTCTTTATATCAAAACATTTACATGCTTTATTGACTTGAACTCAGAGTTGTACATTTTGGTAATCTCACATATACTAGTACTTTGAGACAAACAGTTTTGGTAGTAAGTTAGCATATATTATGACATCTCCCCTTAAGATTACAAAATGTATGTATATGTAAAAAAAGTCACTGAAGTATTTATGAAGTTATTTCTAATATATAAAGTTATTTCTATGAACTTTCTTTTGGTACTTTAGTATCACTTTAAATGTTTATGTACTTTAGTATCACTTTAAATGTTTATGTATTTTAGTATCACTTTAAATGTTTATGTCCCTAATCTCTGTAACGTACTGGTTTATTCACAACAGTTCCAGTTTGTGACCTAGTTTGCATTCTACCACTAGGTTGAACATCATCAGGTTGTGGATTAGGTTGTTCAATAGACAATGGTGCAGTTACAGCTTGATCACTGGGTAATATGTGATCTTGAACAGATGTATCAGAACTAATGGCTCCATTAGCCTGAATGGGAGTTGTGGTTTCATCTAATGGTTGACTAAAGTCAGGAACCTTCAAAATATGACTGCGATTTCGCCTATATATCCCATTACCTGTGTCTACAATGTAAGATCTTGGACTTTCATGTGAACATTTCACTTTCCCTTTAACATTCCAACCCTTTTCCCCCTCCCGTTTTAACAGGACATTTTGACCCGGTGTAAGATCAGTCAATGGTTGCACACCATGGCGCCTGTCAAAGTAATGTTTGTGGGAGCTTTTGGCTTTCTCATCATTCATTTTGACAATTTTCAAGTTTGGCCATTTGGGTTTTAGGTTGGTAGCCAAAGTAGGTATGGTTGATTTGATTTTTCTCCCCATCAGTAACTCAGCAGGAGAAACTTGAGTAGATGCATGGGGTGTTGATCTATATGACAGTAAAGCTAAGCATGGATCATCTTGGTGAAGGAAGCGTTTCAATACCTGAACTCCCCTCTCTACTTGACCATTACTTTGCGCAAAATTTGGACTAGAAGTCACATGGTTGAAATTGTATTTACGGGCGAACTCAGCAAATTCCGCACTTTTGAATTGTGGACCATTATCTGAGTTTAAAGTGTCGCAAATACCGAATCGCGCAAAAATAGCTTTAAGCTTGTCAATCACTGTCTTTGTAGTTGTATTCTTTTCTAATCTTGCAACTTCCGGAAATCTCGAAAAATAGTCTACTACCACGAGCCAATGCTTACCTTTGTATTCACATAAATCTGCTGCAATTTGACTCCACGGACGATCCGGTAGTTTTGTCGGGATTAATGGTTCTTTTCTCTGTGCATTCCGGTAAGTCGCACAATGCGTACATTTATTTACCATATCTCGAATCTCACCGCTCATCCCAGGCCAATACACTGAACCGCTAGCACGCGCGCGACATTTATTAATTCCCAAGTGTCCATGATGGATACGCTCAAGAATCTCAGCACGTAAACTACTCGGAACTACGATTCGTGTACCGTGTAATATGAGATCATTTTGTATACTAAGCATTCCGCGCTCCGAAAAGTATGGTTTTAAATCAGGTGGCACTGATTTTACGCTGTCAGGCCAACCTTTCATGATCATATCTCGCAAACGGATTAAATCCGGATCTGTTCTGGATGCAGTTTTTATCAATTCAATCAGATAATCTGCAATTGGACGATTATTCTCAATCGCTTCAACATGTTGTTCAATTTCGTTCTGTTTCTCGATAACGTCACAATCGTATGGCAATGGATCACGACTTAGAGTATCCGCAACGACCATATCTCTACCAGGCACATATGTTGCTTTTACATTGAACCGCATAAGTCGCATCAATAAACGTTGTGTTCTGATTGGTACCTGATCAATGTCTTTTGTGTTAATCAGTGGAATCAATGGTTTGTGATCAGTGAGTAGTTCATAATCTAAACCAATGAGATATCGTGAAAATTTCTCTGAACTCCACACTGCCGCTAAGCACTCTTTCTCTATCATGGCATATCGTTTCTCAGTTTCCGACAATGAACGTGATGCATATGAAACAGGTTTCAAAATACTGCCATGTTTTTGCCATAAACATCCACCAATACCGTAGCTACTTGCATCTGCGCTCAGAATAGTCTCTTTCTGTGGATCATAAAATGCTAGAACCGGTGCGTTACTTACCAGTGCTTTGACATCATCAAAAGCTTTCTGCTGCATTGTGTCCCACGTAAACACTGTGTCTTTTTTCAATAGACTGTACATCGGGGCTGCAACTGTAGACATCTTTGGAATGAATCTTCCAAGAAAATTGATCGATCCAAGCACACGTTTCAATTCTGTCTGATTAGTAGGTGGTTTCAATTCTTGAATAGCACGTACTTTCTCCGCTGATGGACTTATCCCATCTTTTGAAATAGTAAAACCCATGAAACTTACCTTGCTCTGAGAAAACTTGCATTTTGCTTTGTTCAGTTTGATGCCGGCTGTCCTAATCTTCTCCAAAACCGCTGACAACCGTCGATCATGTTCCGCAGTATCTTTACCATGAACAATTAGATCATCGATAAATATCTCTACACCATCAAGACCTTCGAACGTTTCCATCATGATTCTTTGGTATAACTCGCTCGCAAAATTCAGACCGAAAGGAACTCGATTGAATTTGAAACGGCCAAAGGGCGATATGAACGTTGTGAGTAACGAACTTTCATGTTCAAGGGTTAGACCCCAGAAACTACTTGAAGCATCGAGCACGGAAAACACTGTGGAATTTTTCATTTTATGTACCAAGTCTTCAGTTGACGGAAGCATAAATTTCTCGCGCTTTATGTTTTTATTCAACTGGCGAAGATCTACACAAATTCTTGGCTCTGGATCATTGCGTTTTTCAACCGCGACCATTGGCGCACACCAATCGGTAGGTTCTGTAACACGCGAAATAACACCTTGCTTCACCATTTTCTCCAGTTTAGCTTTAACTCTAGGCATAAGGGGTAGACTAACACGTCTAGAAACTGGTATGCAATATGGGGTAGCATCATCTTTGAGCTTAATCTTGATTGGCTGATATTTGATTTTACCTACATCTCCAAAAATATCAGGATCATTGACTCGATCTTTCACCTTAGATTCAAGATTAGGTACTCGTAATTCATGAATACGCTTGATAAGACCCATCCCTGTGGCACACCCTCTTGACAGGAGATTTGAACCCTTGGGATTATCTACGACATGAATACTTGTTTTGAAAATCTTCCCTTGATATTCAATCTTGGCCTTAAATTGACCCAAACTCTTGATTCTACCTCCCAGACTATTAAGTTTGGACTTAGATGAAACCAGGGGTGGTTTTGACTGAAATTTCTGATAAGTGGAAGAGTTAATTACAGACACGTCTGCACCACTGTCAAGTTTGAACTTTACATCCTCTCCACATACCTTCAGTTCTTGGTACCATGGAGGTTCATTATCGTTGGTAATCATCTCATCCAAGTCGATCACAACTTCCTCAAGAAAATCTGTAGCCTGAGCCTCGTATATTTCACCGAGATACGAATCACCATCTGTCGAATCACAATCTTCAACATTATGGGCACTATGTGTCGATTTTGACAACAATTTACGGCAAGCACGTTTGTAGTGTCCTTTGGATTTACAATATCGGCAAGTCTCGTTATGGGCTGGACATTTGCCCTTGTCATGTTGTAGCAGACATTTGCCACACTTTATATTATCCTGTGAACTCGATTTACTTTGACTGTAGCGTCCTTTGACACGATAATTGTTTTTCTTAACAGCGTCCACTGAAATCGAAGGCGACCCTTCATTTGTAATGACTGATTCCCTCAGTCGTGCCATCTCAATTACTTTCGCCAAAGTGAGTTTCGTATAGTCCATAATCTTCAATTTGTCGGCAAGCTCTTTATTTTTCATTCCAACAATTAATTGGTGCATAATTTCTCGATCCTGGGCTGTTTTATCTCCAAATTGACAAACTTCACACTTGTCGTATAGTTCCCTCAAGAAATTATCAACACTACTGGTTTGAGCTAGGTTGTGAAACTGTCTTTGTTCCTCTATAATGTTTATCTTGGGTACAAAATACTGCTCAAATTTCTTGGAAATTGTCTCATATTTGTTTTTATCTTGGTCTTCAGAATACGTAAAAGTATTGTAAATAGTCTCAGCCTTTGGGCCCATGACATATATCAAAGTGTCAATCTGATTAGATTCAGCTTCAGTTTTCAACTTACTAGCTGTCCTAAATCTCTCAAACCTGGAAATCCAATGTCTCCATAACTTGGGTTGAGTCACATCAAATTGCTCGGGTGGTTCCAATCTATACATATTTCCTTGTTCTATGAATCTGACACCATATAAGGATCTATAAAGTTCTATCAGAACTTCTCTAAATATCACGTAAAGACAAGATTAAGAATCTTCTTTATATCAAAACATTTACATGCTTTATTGACTTGAACTCAGAGTTGTACATTTTGGTAATCTCACATATACTAGTACTTTGAGACAAACAGTTTTGGTAGTAAGTTAGCATATATTATGACAATTCCTAAATTGAGTTTTAGTACACCTTTAAAACATTTGGAAAAATTAAAAGTTAAAGGTAGTGCCACTATATTTCGACAAATGATTTTTGGCTTGTCGTGGATTCATTTCAGAAGTGGACCAATCAACGTGGAGCATTTCTTCAGTCCTTCAAGATATCTCACATGGGAGAAATGGCAGATCAAAAGTAAGGTATTTTGGGGGGTTTTCTCGGTATACTGACTCAAAATAGTTATAAAAAGTAAATGTGTGTTTGATACAAATATTATCAGATCTCATGCTTTTTAAAAGTTCACTCAATGTGACTTTGATGAAAAGTTACGATCGATTGAATAATTCAATTTGAATTTCATTTTTTGACAAATTTTCATTGATTTTCGATTTGACTTGTCCGAGTTCCTTGATGGAATGCATTATATAAATATCCATAACTTGTCCTTATCTGTCTGCATATCACATAGAGTGGGAAATTGTACGTTGTACGAAATTGTAAAGAAATTCCCATTCCATTTCTTGGCTTTTGCACATGCATCCCGCGATCTGATTCTTCTACAACCCTTTTCATTGTTTTACTTCGTCACAAATAGGAAATCAAAAGATCATTGTACAATAATATATGAAAAAATATATTCCAATTGTACATAAATGACATTTGTATATCTTGAATTACTTCTACAGTGCTGATACAAATTAATTGAGAAGTCGTATTGTTGGCATATTTTCTTGAATTTTAACATTTAAGGTCAGGGTGCATGATGGGAAATTTTCTGCATCCTTCAATTGAGTCACATGTTATTTTTCAAACAAGAATCACTCCTTCCCCACATTGTCTACACCTTCCAAGTTTGCACAAAGAGTGCACTTATGTGCCTAGAAAAGACTTGTGAGAAGATTTGTTTTGTAAAATGTATAAAAAACGAGAAAATTCAGTGAAAAAAATTTCTGAAAATTTTCTGAATTTTTCCACTGAATTTTCTTGGTTTTTATACACTTTATCAAAACATTCTTCTCACAAGTCTTTTTTAGGCACATAAGTGCACTCTTTGTGCAAAAGTGAAAGATATAGACAATATGGGGAAGGAGTGATTCTTGTTTCAAAAATAACATGTGACTCAATTGAGGGATACAGAAAATTTCCCATCATGCACCCTGACCTTAATGTTCCAAACTCCCACAAACTGCAGGAAAGTATAAACCGTAAATCATATTTTACCAAAATGAGTGTCTCTAAGGCTTCATACCAGTGTATGCATAATGCATTTGTCACGAGTTTGAGCTGAAATTTCGCTAAAATGAAGTAAGGGTAATTTCCGCCAATGGTAAGTGCTCAGAAGCAAATAATTCACATGCGCAAAATAATCAAACAATCTGATTGAGGAATGCAGGAGTGTGCAGGGGTATGTAGTAGGGGTACCGCGAACGCTCGAGTGCTCGAGCAATTCACCTCCGATACAAGCTGTATCGATACATAACATGAATATCTGTCGTATCGTTTTTTGACCGGAAGGGAAAAACTCAGAGCTTGGAGATGACAGACAGTCATAGTTAGATGTTAGCATATTTTACATCTTTCTTTGTCGTGATGTGAAATAAGCATAATCCGGCTGCAGTACCTCCGGCTTTACAAGTTTGAAAAAGTAGAATAAAGTTCAGTATTACTTCAATTTACGCTGTATCATTGTATCGTATCGTGAGGTCAGTATCGTAAATACGTATCGATATTCAATTTCTCGTATTGTGGTACCCCTAGTATGTAGGCAAATCCATTTTGACAACAAATGTTTGATAAGAGCACTCTGTTTAGTTTGAAAACTCACCCTTTATTATTTTGTATCAGCACTATAGTTTCGCTAATAAAGTATATGGCCAGGCCTCTTATATTTTGATGCTTCTCTGCCATAGTACATTTTCAAAAAGATTAACATGGCTGAAATTCTTTAAATTACAAGAGGGCATAGGCTTATTGCGCAAAAAACAAGTAATCCGAAATATACAAATGTCATTCATGTACAATATGAATATTGAAAATACTTTTCCATATATAATTGCACAATGGTCTCCTGATTTCTTATTTTTGGGGTTCTACTGACGAAATAAAACAGTGAAATGTGCTGTAGATTATTTGTGAAAGGTGGACACTGGCAAAAGTGAGAATTTTTAGGTCACCAATTAAATCCCCATTATCGACCATGAATAACAATTGAATGATCAAAAAATCGATCTCAATATTTAGATATAACTCTAAACTGACATATTATTGTTTGTTTATGGTCATCTTGGGGCTATATTACTCAGATTACTCTAAATAAGCTCATAATCCTTTAGGAATATTTCAAGTTTGAAAACTTCTGCTTCAGTGCGCAGCGGTCATTTTGATTCTTTGAAATTAGCGAAACAAAGCACAATCAACCCCAGTGTGTTCTTTAAGGTAACACTAAAGTTAATCAAAAGTACAAAAAAGGGCAACAATATTTTTTTGATAAAGAGTCACAAGATTTTGTATCTGTTTTCCTTATCTGTGAATGCATTTCCTGACTAAAGAGACATGTCAACGAAAGCATCATATTTAAACATATTTTTCATAACAATGAATTGGATGTGCATGGGTCCCTAAAGCTAGCATGGAGACAATGAAGTGAGGTTAATCTTTGAAAGTTTCAAGGAGTAGCCTTGCAACAGTCACACATTTGCAAGAATCCAAAATTTCCACAAATCATCTTACCTTACCAAGGAACATAGAAGGAGCATGAAAATGTGCATTTCTTGCATTGTTAGAGAATAAAAAAGCTCAAACCATAGTTTCTTATAAATATTTCACGTCCACCATTTTGATTAATCCTCATACAAGTTTTTTGACTATAATCAAAACAGAAATGTTTGTGACTACTCCTGGTTAACTGTTAAAAATAATAAGAACATAACTTCGACATATGAGTGTTACCTGATTAATGGGACCCTCACGTGCCTTCCAAATGGTAGTAAACGAACTCTAGTGTAACTACATCGGCTTATCTTTCCGTCCGATCAACAATAAGTACAGTTATACAAGAAATGTAAACGAAGTGAAAATATTCCCAAACATTTTCTGAAAGGCATGTCATTCCATGCCAATTATGAAAGATCAATGTCTAAGTAGTTGGCCTTTTCGGGCTGCTATTACCCTTGACAACCCATAAATAGGTGACCTGAGATCAAGGTCATTCCAAGCTCAAAGGTGAGTATCTCAGTATTTGGCAGTTGAAGGCCCTGGGGAATGCTGTGGGGCTTTGGGACTCATGAGAAGGTGACATGAGGTCAAAGTCAACAATTATGGTTCAAGATCAGTATGAGTCGCAGAGGATGTCTCAATCCAATCTGAATCCCAATGTTCCGAACCCCAATTGTCCAAATCTCAATGGCCCGAATCCCATTGGTCAAAAACCTAATGATCCAAAAATTAACAATTGTTGATATGACGTTTTTTTAGGGACCACATAAAATATTGAGTTATAAATAAGTCGATCCTTGTGTGAGCCCTATAATTATTTACTTTGCCAAACACTTTTATAATGGTAATTAAAATATTTAGAACCCATGCTAGTATTTGTTTTATTTCCAAATCATTTTTTTTGACGGTTGCACCTTGGGGCACTTGGCGTTTTCGTGTCACTTTTTTGACTGCAGACAAGTAAAAGTGAATAGTCAGTTAACGAATCTATAATGACTGATCTCCCCAGGATTTTTTCTCAGGTGGGTGCAAAATTCTCATTTTCACAATTCAGACCAAAATTGGTCAAAATTTGCCAATTTTTCATGATTTTTCTCATTTTCAAGCGGGTGTAAATGGATTTTTAGGTGGGTGTAAGCTTATTTTCAAAATCTCAGGTGGATGCTGCACCCACTTGCTTTAATGCTGTGGAAATCACTGAATGACTATGGGTCAGTTCATAGTAATCTACCCCAACATCAGTTTTGGGGATTTTCTGCACATACTAATCTATCACTGGGCCCTTTTCACAGAATTCTAAACTAACATTGTACCAAGATAGTTTGAAATGAATGAATTAAGGAAATGTTAAAATTAAGAGTTTTGTTTTCTCATTTAAGTTCTCATGGTTCTACTTGTTCCACATATCATTTACATGACCAGGATCACAATGTACATGGTCAGAATGACCCTAAACATGATGAAAATGTGACTGAAAAATAGGTAAAAGTAGGACCTCAGGAAAGGTTACTGAACAGAATCTTTTGAATTTTTCAGAAAATGAGCCTAAAATTTTGCTCTAAATGATACAAGCTCTAAAAATTGGATACCATTCCAAGATAAAAGGAATTTAAAATCGATCAATTTTCCTTTTAATGACCACCATTGTTTCATTTAAATATTTATATATATTTATATACTGTAAATTAAAACAGGTTGCAAATCCTTTAACATCATTTTGTTATGTTTGATTTCAGGTTGTTTGCACCAGTTCTTTGGGCACAACGTGCTGATAAAATACTCCTAACTATAGCTTTAGAAGATATATCTGAGGAAAAATTAGAGCTTACACCAGAGAAATTAGAGTTTACAGCCAAAGCAGGAAAAGAAGGAAAAGAATACATTTGTAACATAGAATTTAACAAAGAAATAAACATAGACGTAAGTTCCTTATTCATTCTGAAAAATTTACACATGCAAATGGATGTGGTTTTAAAACTCTCACCCAACCTTTTAGCGTAAATTATTGCAAAGTATAAAAATAGGGGCCATTTTTTATTCAAATTTTACTGTTATTTCAGTTTATTTGTAAGCAATATCAGGTTATTTTGTGACACCCAAAACCAAAACTAATATTTTCTTGTGTAAAACTTGATTAGATATTAGTATATGGGAAACCTTCTCAATTGACCTATCCTGTACCCATGGTACCCAAAATGTTGATCGTCCTCTAATGTATTTTGTAGTAAAAATAAATAAAACCATGTTACATTCCAGACCTCAAAACAACAAAAAACCACAAGAGAGATACATATGGTGTTAATGAAAAAAGAAGATGGTTATTGGCCAAGGCTAACAAAAGAACAGAAAAAGGTAAATTTACTTTTTAAAGTTTGGATGGAATAGATTCTAGCTATTTTACTCATCGCTATACACCTGTACATCATTTTGCAGGCTCATAGGCATTCTTTTATAGTGCTAGAAAATAGGCCCATCCTTGAGACACCGTCCACTCTGTACCTGTTCCCTCAATGTATAGTGCTACGGATATCATGGATTCTGGTTTCTTGGCAGAGTGGATGTTGTCTGGAATCCTTTGTTCAAAAAAAAAAAACATGACCAGTGATTGATGTTAAAGAAAAAAGAATTGCAATGTTTAGGAAGTCACTCATTTTAACCTTTAGCATGCTATTGGAGACCAGAGTCGCCCATGCTTTACTATCCCCAGCAATTGCGGTCAACAAGTTTTTAATTTGAATTTACTGCCGTTTCTCATCATTAATCTTTTGGCCAATCAGCCTCTTTCCCTCTGACCTTTCACATTTATGGTAATGTGACCAAAACAGGGATGGAGATTTAAAAAAAAGATAAGACCTTTTTTGATCATTTTTAGATGATCATATCGTCTAAATGAACAGAAATGTTGATCACAGTGTGGGTCATATTCACTTGACATTAGCCCCAGGCGGATGTAAATATTTAGAATCTTGTGTAAAGTTGAAGTGCCTTGCCACATTGTTTAACATGTTAAACATTAAATCCACCATTATTGAATATTATAGAACAAAGTCAATTTTAAGTACTTTCATAAACATACTTTCTTTTTAAAGATTTTTATTCACAAGAGAACTCTTAATCATGTATTGTTTCTGTATCATTGGTTGATCTCCTTTAACATTATGTCTTGTTTCAGTATCATTGGTTGAAAACAGACTTCAACAGATGGCGGGATGAAGATGAATCAGATGAGGAGACTGGAGGCACTGATGCCGGGATGGAAGAGGTACTTATGTTATCATCTCACACATGTCATTATTACTATTAGCTCACATGGTGAGCTATTGCAATCACTCACTTGTCCATCTGTCTGTCTGTCTGTCTGTCTGTGTCCATCCGTCCATCAACAATTGGCCCGTTTTAAAACCTCTGTCAATACAATTCCTGTTTTAAATTATTTTTGTTCAACATCAATATAGAAACCCCCCTATGACTCAATTCATGACAAATATGACAAATTCGAAAGCTCGCCTATTTTCAAAATGGCCACCATTCTTGTCTCACGAAATTCACTTTTGGACCATTTGCTAGCTTAATAAATAATTTCAGGTGTCCTGCATTGTAAAAACCCATGTCACTGTAAAGAGTAGTTGTATGCCATAATTTTGTTACAAAAAATCTGCAAAATTTATATCTGTTCTTTTCAGCCATTTTAGTTAACATTGATTTGTCAATCTCTCTCAAGAAATCCCCTTTTGGACCGTTTGTTTTAAAACCTCTGTCGATAAGATTCCCATTTAGGTTATTTTTGTTCAACATCAATACAGGAAACTCCGCTATGACTCTTGGTTCAAAAGCTTGCCTATTTTCAAAATGGCTGCCATTTTTGTCTCGCAAAATTCACTTTTAGACCATTTTGTAGCTTTAGAAATAATTTCAGGCATACTGCATTGTAAAAAGCCATGTCACTGTAAAGAGTAGTTGTATGAAATAATTTTGTTACAAAAAATCGGCAAAACATTAAATATAGCTGCTGGGAATATTTGCTCATGCCTGACTAGCTTTTCGGTAACCAGATCTTACTATTAACATACTGATAAAATATTTGGATAAAACTCGACCTCCTTCTTGTTGAAAACAATGAAAATAAAGAAATCCTCTCTGGCGGAAGTTCATCCATTTTGTCTTTTTGTTGTTCAAAACTGTAAAATCTGCAGACTTTGATAGTCAAGAGTAGTCTGGCTAGCCATTGCAGATTAAGATCACATTTTTATAGCATTTTAAAAATGTGTCATTGTTGTTGTCTTGAGCTACTGGGCTATTTTTCTCTTCAAAGTATGATGTGTATCTTGTTCATTATTATTATGTTACTTTATGTTATTTCAGATGATGAGAGGAATGGGAGGAATGAGTGGCATGGGAGGAATGGGTGGTATGGGAGGAATGGGTGGCATGGGAGGAATGGGTGGTATGGGAGGAATGGGTGGTATGCCAGATATGTCTGGTATGCAAGGAATGGACAAGTTTGACCCCAGTGCTGCTCCTGAAAGTGATGATAGTGATGATGAAGAACTTCCCGATTTGGAGTGATGCAGGTGACATCTTTATATCAACCAAGCACTATTGAAACTTTTATATATGTCAGACTTGTAGCATACTTCATATCACATTGTACTAAGACAATGGAATACCAAGAATTCGAGTGTTTGTAAATTCTAGTTACATAGATGATGTGGATTTGAAACAATGGTGCAAAAAGGAGATTAGAATTAAAACTTTGTCGGGAAAGCTATTTTGGATAGCTTTTTATACAGTGACATTTAAAGAATAATGCTCGAATTATTGACATGGAAAGAGACAGTGCAACCTGGATGCGAAAACTGCTGGGACCATAGAATTGATGACATAGCTGATGTTCAAACTGACTATTGTTAAAACACATATTATAGTGTACGTTGGATATCCTTGAAAATGGGAGTTATTCATATTCGAAGGTTTCACTGTTTTGCTAAGGCTTTTATTTAGGACTCAAACAAATATTTTATCATTAAAATACAATGAATAATTAGTTTTGGGTTGTCAATAAATTCTTTCCAGCCATATACTGTTTTGTTTCACTGTTTTGCTTAGGCTTGTATTTAAAACTCGAACAAAAATTTTATCATTAAAATACAATGAATAATTTATTTTCAAATCACTCATATTTTAAATTAAATACCCAGCTATTAGAGTAACATTACCCGCTTTAGTGCTGTCATAATGTTATGATCTCCGTGATTTTGAAATTCCAGCATCTGTATTATACTATCATGTATGCAAACAATCATGTATATAATGCAGTTGTAAATGTTATTTGAGTACATACATGTACATACTTTAAAATGTAAAATCTTATGCACTTGTGTACAAAGTGATCAGTCTTAGTTTTGGGTTGTCAATAAATTCTTTCCAGCCATATACGTCTTCTATGTTATACTTTATATTATTAAGGTGGGCCTAATGCAACATTATTCATGTTAAGGTGGAACAAGTGTAAGTTAGTTGGTGTCGTCATTTGATGTGTGCCATTCATTTGTGGGCCTTGTACCACAGTGGCTAAGGTCTACACATTGCCCTATCAAAGTACTGAACATTTAACTTCAAAAATCACTAGACTTGCAAAATATCCTTGTTTACTCTTGGGTATTTTAACTGCACAAATTTTTATTCACTTTTCAATGTTTAAGTCCTTCCAAGAAAATGTTGATGACATGTTACATAAGACTGAAGTCCCCCTACATCATATCTGCCAGAGATTTCAACTGCATGAACAGGGTGCCTGAAAATATGAAATCAGTAGAATGTTTCAAAGTTTCAGAAATATTTTCCATGCTGTCGTCACCAATTCAACATTGTTTGGATGATTTCCTTCATAGTTTCATTTTGGGTAAACCCCCAAAATGTTGATTTGTCTCACCCTTGCATTTTCACAAAATCATTGTTATGAATAAAATCAATGTTTATCTACCCAAATAGAATCAACTTTTGTTATCTGAAAACTGTTGGAATCTATTTTAGAGGATTTTTACTCACCTTTGAATCAAATGTGAAATAAAATTTCCTGGGGCATCTCTTGATTTAAGAGGAAGATCTTTCATCTCATTGAGGAACTGTTTCACTAGAGGAAGGCTCTCCTTATGTAGGACATAGAAGCATGGGCACTGGAAAAACAAACAGTTCTGTTTATCAGTTTATTTGCAGCAAGTCCCCGCCACCCCAACTGTTCTTAGCATTCCTCATGGATGGATCTTTGAACAAAATATTAAATTGAATGTATGTAGATATAGGAGTAAAACCATGACCTCGCATATTCACTGGTGATCCACTCGATTACGCTGGTTACCGAAACAAATCATTTCGGTTACATGCGTTACATGCATTGTTGTTGTTGGTAATTTCTATCAAGAAGTGTATCAGTATTGTATGTCTAAGAAAATGCACATGTTTGCGAACAAATAGCTCAGAAGACAACAGAATCGTTGATTTAATACCTCACCTCAGTAAAGATTTGCATTTCTAATTCGATCTATTTGTTCGCAAACATGTACATTTTCTAAACATATGATACTAATACATGTTTCTGATAAAATTGTGGGAATTCTGCCTACAACGTGTGAAATAAGAAAAAAATTAAAATCGTACCTTCAAAGTTCTGACATTTTGTTACTGAAACGAACTGTTTCCGTAACCAGTGTAATCAAGTGGATCACCAGTGATATTTTAAAGATTTTTAGTTTTGCAATTTTATAAAGAGCCAAACGTTACTTTTGAAGACAACTTACTGCTTTCCTCGATTCAGTGTTATCTGGGTTTGGTTTCTCAAGGAAGGCACATACTCTGGTGCCTTCGGTTTCTAAAATACCTCTTTTAGACACTTCTACAACAAAATAATATTTTGCATAAATAAGAACAAGTTATACCATTTCCATTTTCTTAGCCTAGGGATGGATATAAAAATTAATTTCTCCAAAAATATACTTATGTTTTTAACTTTACATATACAGATATGTTACTACACAAAGGGCTTTGTGCATTCTTTTAACACAAAATCAAAACCTACCATCATCTGAACATATTGTATAGACCAACATACTAGCTGCTCCCTGATCCCCCTGTATATTCTTATAGCTCTCTAGTATTCCTTGGAGTCTAAAGTCATCAAAGAAGAGGGTGTCCCTAAAATAAAAGTACATGGATGTTAAAGACTTATAAACTAGTTTTGAAAAGGGGGGCCATTCCTTTTTATAAGTCTCATAAATTTTGAGATTTCTGCATCTTAATTTTCATTACCCTCAATAAGTTTCATCGGAGAATAAAGTTAGGGTTACGAGAGAAACATTGGCATGTTTCATGAAAAGATTGCTTCTTACAATTTTACACTCTATCCTTATATAATTTCTTTAATGGCAATCCAACACTTTTTGAATAGATAGTAAAATATTGTCTAAGAATAATATAGTTATAGTTAGTTTAATTAGTTATAGCATAGCTTATTTATTAAACTTTTTTTTATTATTTTATTAATTAATATAACTGAAATACCAGTCATCAGATTTGGATCAGATTTTATGTGCTGATACCTTTTTTTATTTATTTATTAAAGTCATGTAAACATATATACATATCAGTGATAATGTCACCCTAGTATGCCTTTTCACAAGCTAAAAATATTTATGGACATATATAGGCCGTTCAATAAGTAATGACACTAAGGCTCTCATTTTGTCAAATTTTGCTTGTTTTATCTCAAATTTTCACCATATGTTGAAAATACATTTGTCTATTTATATGCGTAAAATCACAAGATATAACTAATAAAAACCAGTAATTTGGTTGCCATAGCAACATGAGGATACAGCACTTGACTTGGATCCAAATCGATAAGAATGATGGCCCATCAGTACATGTTTTATACCCCTATCTTACTTGATTTAGGTTAATAGCATTGGGACCTCTACTTGTAACTCCTCTACTTGAAGGGGAATTTCACTGTAAAATTATTGTTTATTTACATTTACATTCCCAAAATGTCTGCTAGTCTTCCTTTATACCCAGATACCCAAACGAAATTTTGGTCCACCCTGTATATGATCATGAGTTTAACAATCGCATACCCTGCAATGACAATTAGGCTGTCATTGATGTTGAAGTGCTCTATAGTAAGTCCTATTGCGGCAACTGCCCCTGTCCTTGTCTGCAACAAAGGAATTTGGTTCAAATTGAAACATTCAAACCTCTGGTATAATTTCTAAAATTCTTAATTGTATAGTCTAAGATTTATTTGTAACACGTTTACACATTTGACATTGTACTGGCTGCTGCACATAGAAAGAATAATAAATGGAGTTACAGATGAGCTTTAAGGTAGTTCTGCATCATAAGATTTTTTAATGTAATTTTCATGATTCTAAAAGAATTCTAACTACCAACAATTAATGATATGGTTAATATTTTTCACATTTTATGTCATTATGTAGATATTTACAAATGATGGAAGAAAATATAGTTCAAAATCAAAATATTTCTTTGATCATTTTTTTGAAAGTGCAGATGTACTTATTAAGGGAATACTACATGGCTGATAAATAACACACAAACCTCATTGGATGTACTGCCATCACAAACTAACTCCACATTAGCCTTTCCTTTTGCCCACTCTTCAAATGATTTATGATTTTTAGCGTTAGTCTAAAAAATAAGTGAGATAGTGTAGAATCAACTCATCTAGATTCTCATCTTGAAACTACAAGGAAGAAGAATATTTATTTATCATGTTAAATGGGGATGCTGAAAACCCTGAACCCTCTACATGTGCCTTTAAAATTCATACAAATGCAGTACCTTTTTTATACATTTAAAAATTTGAAATCCTATACTCATAATTTTTTAACTCTTTTATGATTTTTTTGCAAAATTGAAAGACAGTGTAGAGAATGCCATGTGCAGAAAGAGGAATGCTGTCTGAAAATAACATGTCACACTCCAATGAGGATACCATGAAAATTTGTCCTCATGTAGGAGAACCTTAAGGTACAGCTGGAAAGTAACATTTTGGTAAAAAATTGCTATACCTGCACATGTTATTTTCTGGTACAAAATAAAGTATGAAGCCATGTGTCAATTTCCTTGCTTTTTTCAGGAAACTATCATTACATTGTCTTCTTTTAAAATATCTGGTAGGCGTTCAATGGGAACTCCAGGAAATTCTGATATTTCACACTTTCTATTTTTCCAAATTTTCTTTCAAAGTTTCCAGACAACACAGGAGCTACCATTGACCTGTTTCCAGATATTCTAAAAGAAGACAGTGTAATGATACTTTCCTGAAAAAAGCAAGGAAATACACATATGCCTTCCGACTTAATTTTGTACCAGAAAATAACATGTGCAGGTACAGTAATTTTTTGCCAAAATGTAACTTTCCAGCTGAACCTTAAGTCATTGGCATGGCACTACCTACCACAACATACACTCCATCTATCTCTTCTGTTTTCTCTATCGTGTCATACCAGTGGGAGATGAGTGGTTTGTTTCCAATCGGTAAAAGTGGTTTAGGAACACCAATCAAATGTTTGTATTCAGTCGACTCTTTCAAATCACGTTCCAATCGGGTACCATAACCAGCAGCTAGAACCAGCACTTTCATTGTTGGGATGATTATCCAACTGTATTTGTTGTAAGGGATTAATAATGTGCCACAACCACTCTGAAGCGTCACACAAAAAGTGGTACATCAATGTGTAAGGTACAGACAGGTTTTGATGCATCTGTAAGTATCACAATTCAACTAGCATCTTGATCTGAAAAAAATAATAATGTTCATTTGTAATTACTGTGAATCACTTAACCATCGCGTAAACACTAAACAGGCGTCAGCGTACAGCGTCAAAAAATACTATAGTACAGTTTTCTGTAAAAACCCTCATAATAGATTTTGCTTCAAATCAGTTAATAATCGTCACCATACAGAAAATTGTACAGCGCTGTTTTTTGACACTGTACGGTGACGATGGTTAGGCGTGTGAATGTGTGGATGGCTCTAGATTACTCGAGTCTCTAGCCAATTCTTGGCTAGAAGTGATTCCATCTGGAACACAGTGAACTATTGTAAAATCTTTAGCTGTTGTTCAATAAATTTATGTATTACATATTCTAAAAATCATTCTGTTAATATTTCATGAATTGAAATGGTAACGGCTTATCTTGTTGATGAGATATTGAACGTTTTCATTTAAAATAAACATCCTCTCGTTCTCCATTTTGAAACCATGCCTTTTTTCCGCTATAGCGATTTAGTCAAGATGGCCGCTTGTTGTAAAATATTTCTTTCAGTTTTATTTTAATTCTTTTGTGAATAAATATCCTGCGAAGTAAACAAATGTATGAACTAGGACTGCGTGTAAAGATCAACGAAGGTGAGTTTATTATGTTTACATCAATAAAAATAAGACGGCTGGGCAATTTAAAGGCAAATTCAAAACAACAAAGAGTGTCTTATTTATATTCTATGGCCACGTTCAGTGGCTATACAATAATGTAAACCTTAGTCCTAGGAAAAATAGTACTTGTGGTGAGCCTATGTACTAGTATATAAGGAGGGAGTAAGTCACCCCCTCCAGATAAAACTGCCCCTCTTATGTTCAATATATCAATATAAATAATGTAAGAGGGAGGGGTTCCTTCCCATGATTGATAAAGAGTATCAATCCAATGATGACTTGTCAATGATTGAATGAACTTTTTGGAATAGTTATTGTTCCTGGCTATTGTGGATCCAGTTTTTACCTGCCAATGTTACGCAGAGAATTTCTCTTTCAAAGTAGAATGTAAATTAAAAGAAATTCAAGTTATAAATCAGACATTTAAGATAAAAACAGAATCTATCAAAAAAGTTCCAAGTTATCCGGAAGTTTATGTCTACAAGGTCAAAGTTCGTCTCTGATACTAACCAATCAGATCTTTCGGCTTCCTGCCAGACTCAAAATAATCAATTAATTTGAACTAGTTATTTTAATTAAGATTCTGAAACTAAATGCATTTTAATCGATGTTATCCTCCGTGTTGATAAAACATCTTTATGGTATTTATAAAAAATATACTAGATGGGTTACTTCGACCAAAAGATAGAGTCAGTTATAATGTTCCTTATTCTCAACAACTAGTTCAAAACATTTAGTTTACCTAGTGGCCGTTTTCAGAACTAAAATTTAAAGTTGGAAGAGATGCTGAGGAATATTATGTCGGCATTTTATCTTATGTTTATGAACTAATTTAAAGTTTCGATGATCCAAAAAGATGTTCTTCTATCCGAGAAAGGTCTAACAATGAATGTGTTTTTATTTTGAGGGTAATAAACGACGGTAAGAAGCTTTTTTCTTCATAGTTTACCTTAGCAACGTGCACCTGCAATCAAGAATTTTCAATTTATGAAAATTCAAATCAAATTCCAGAGCATAGTAATTGTTGAGAAAATGTAAACAGTGATGGAGTTGGAGAAAGCAGTTATGTTTTAGTGACTCTGAGCTAAAATGTCCCAATTTATATTTATAAATGGCTCATAGATCTAGGCTAGAGTCTAAAGACCTGTTTGATTCCCCTGTGTATTTCCAGTGGGAGAAAAGCCCTGACTTTTTTGTCGATCCTTATGGGACTTTTCAAAGGAGTTTTCTGGGTTTTGACATACCTTAAAAAAATCTGATGATATTCTGTCCGAGTTCGATTGAGTCCGCTATGAAAAGATTGCTAAACTTTATGTGGAATGAGCAGTTTCATTCTTTCTGCAGTCTTCATCAGACTTTTTTGTTAAAATCTGATCACATCATACTTCAATGGTAACAAAGGTCTTCACGCATGATGTCACAGGATCTGAGGGGATTCTTTCGGACTTGACAGGACTTCATCAGACCATGGGCTTTCAAAGCCCTTGAAAGCCTATGATCAGACTCAACAGGTTTCAGGGCATATCGGCCTATCGCGCAAGACACTTTCTTCCAAGGCTGTCTCTGTAATCATGCCTTGCATTAGATGTATTGTCAGATATATACTGCCATTTAAATATGACATATTTTCAGGTGCTTTCCTTGTGTAACAAGACTTCCAAACACGTAAAATCACCATGAATGATGACAATATCTCCAACTCATCCTTGGATGACCCCTTCTCCGGGGCTGCAGCAGCAAGGCAAGCAAATAGTTACTTTGAAAAGTTTGAAAGGTTTGACTGTCAAGAAATCTTGACACAAACAGCGACAAACTGGATTTTATCGACAGATGAATTCAAGCTCCAGACAGAACCACCTTCTGGATTAATAACTACAATGCCGGCATTGTCTAACCAGGACTGTCTTTTGTTATTCCCTGAGAATAAGGATGTTCCTCCGATTGATATTCGTGAATTCCATCAAGTTATTCGGGAATTGACTATGGGTATATATGTACTGAATCAGCTGCCATGTATTTCTCTTGAAGCAAATTTTGATCAAAGCACGTCATGTCAGCTCCCGCCTGCATATTACGACACACGGGTTGGTCAGATTCTCATTAATGTAGACTATATGATGAAATGTCTCTGGCATGGGGCCTATTTTCCCAAAGAGAAGCGGACAAAATTTTCAGAAAGATGGAGAACCAACTTAGATGTGAATTCCAATGGAAGACCAGAAACTAAGAAGTCCTTACTAACTGAATTCACAAGTTCAGGTAATTTAGAATCAGATTATTTGATTCTTACATGAAGGTTCAGATAATTGTTAATGACTCTTGTGCGATTGAAATATCAATCATATATCAATCATATGCACATCTAACTTGTCTATTATCAACTTTTGTACAATAGATAAAGAAGTATTAAATCAATAAATGATAATTATTGATTTCACATTTGCACCCATATCTTTATTTCAGGAATGTTGGACATAACCTCAGATCCAGTATTCTCAACTATATATGACAAATTACCCAAAGAGCAACCAGGCGACACAGAAATGGCAGAAGAAAGGCGATTTTTCATGTCTAACGTGGAAAGTTTATCAATGCAATTAACAGCATTTCAAAAGTCAGTGCAACAGTATAATAATTTATTCGTTGTCGACTCTGATTGGATTGTTACCAGTTTAGTAAAACTAACTGAAGACAAACTAGACCATCAGACCTATGAACGATTAAATGCAAAACTCCAAGTGCATGAGATGATTATAAGGGAACATCTAACAAATAAGCAAGAGGTTGCTAGGCAATTAGAGATGCTGAAGTTGATCAGTTTTCTTGTTCCATTACTCGTTTCAATGAAAAGGAAGATGAAAATCCCAGATTTAACAAAAATAATGCAGCCCATGACAGGTAAGTTTTTAATGATTTTTTGTGGGGAGGGGGGGGGGGTTGGAGAAGGTCTGAAACAAACCTGAATGTTGCAACTTTGGTCCTGTCATTTCCTCAAGAGAGAAGCCTTCCATTCTGTTTGCATGCTGTCATCTACAGTAAAACCTGCTAACAAGGAACGCTCTCCCGACTGGCAAAACTGTTCCTTGTTGACAGGTGTTCGATAGAGAGAGGGTCCAAACTCTGGACCAACTCAAAAATGCTGAAAAAATTTATTGTTATGAGCATATTGTAAGCAATCTTTTCTAAAAACATGCCAATGTTGCCATTGTGATCCTTATATTTTGTACTCCATTTAACTAATGGGAAATATCGAGACCGAGAATAATTAAAACATTTTTTTTCCTTCTAGGTGATGAAACTAAGACAGAACGTGAGCTCCCTCCATTGATACTGGGGCCAGACTTTAAATGCACCAACTTCCACATCAGTAGCCATCACTATTTCCATCTACATGGAGGTAGGTAACCTTAACAAAGACGCCAGTTTATTTAAAACACTAACACATCCAGATCTCCCCTACTCCAAATGTATGTCTAAGCACCTCAAAGCCAAGAATAATTAAAACAGCTGGATCTCAAATGTTCATTTCTTAAGCTTTGTTGTTTTAGATTTTTAATGTGGATAATGCATTTTACCAAAGTATGACCATTGTTGAGCCACAATAGATCATGTTTACAATTTTTTTTTGGAATTTGAAATGCCACATCATGCAATGTCCTGATGAGGTAGATATCATGGATTACAACACAAAAAATTCAATTATAGGTATTCTGATAGACTATGATACCGACAACCCTATCCCACCAACCCAGGAAGTACAAGATCGGCATGAAGAGTTATACAGAGTAGCCAAGGGAGGGCTAGGGGAGGTCATGGACCCAGACTGCCCCATCAAGGAAACATATCCTGCCCCAATTGTTACATGCAATGGCAAGAAGTAAGAATTTATTCATGTAACATGATATAAAAGCCCAAAAATGTCATTGTCATGTTTTAAAACACAGACTATAGTAGAAAGGAGTGGAATTCGCAAGGAATTAAATTAGAGGGCATATACATAGTCAACACTCTCAATTGTAGAGAAGAAACAAAAACAATTGGTTCATTCAATATTTTAGAGAGAAATCATTAAAAGGGATGACAATAGAAAACTGTTACATGTCACTTAAAACAATATTTGAGTCGTGAATAAAATTTGAAGCTGCTGAATTTTAGGGGAAAGTCACTTTGTGCGTTATGCTCTGATATAATGAGTGCAAAACGAATTTTTTATTTGTTTCAGTTTCTATGCACTGGTGGTTGACTTTGAGACATTCTACTCAAGCGCTCCCCAGAAACCCAAGTGGGTGGAGGCTTGGTTCGCTGAAATGCAGCGTCTAAAACCCAAGCGGTTACCAATCACTGACATACACACTTATGAGACTTTCAAGAAGTATTTTGGCTACAAGAAGGCTACCAAGTACAAGGTAATTATTGTACAGGCTTATTATTCAGTGTCTGTAATTTTATTCCTAAATTATCTCACAATGTTTTTAATTCATGATGAACTGAAATTTTCACCATCAATGAACTTTGTTATATTAAAAACATCATTTTCTGAAAGAACCAGAGTTCCAAAGTTTGAGTATTAAATTTACTACTTGAACCCCTTTCTGTTTTTTGAAAAACTTCTGATTTCTCTTTCTATGGCCAATTTTCTCAAGTATAGAAAAGAATATACATGTATATTGTATATCTAAGCCTTTTGATGTTGCAGGAGACATATTGTTATGAATTAGAAATATTGATAGGTCAAAGGATTAGAATTACTTAAATTACTTAGATTGAATGGGATGGTTATTAGTTAAGATCAGCCGCCTTCTATGGTTTGAAGAAGTTGATATGTTATCAAAAATATAGCCTTGCCCAAGTCGGTATTTTTTACTTATCTGATCTTGAATTATTCCCGCCTTGTACAATCCAATACATCTCCGCTGCTATTATGCTGAGATATTCAACGGTTTCGAGATTTCCATAATACCTACGCTATCAGGGGTATCGCGAAACCTTATTGATTTAACAGATATACGCGTGGACACGACGTGTGACTTCAGGCTGATTGACCAATCAAAACGTTCAGGTTGAGCTGCACAGCAAAGCAATCTTCCCGTCTACGACTTGAAATTCAATGATCTGATCGATCGTTTCTTTAGAGTTACAATATATTATGTAATTAAATGTACATAGGGAATGTAAGAGTCATTAATATAAATTAAATCATGCAATAGATTTAAAACTGATCTCGCGATGAAAATGCAAGACCTAGTCCAATGTAGCGGGTTATGTAGTCGTCGATCAGTGATTGAATCTCAGCCTACATGTTCATTTGAATTCAGCGATCGTTTCAACGTTTATTGTTGAAATCTTCAAACCTCCGGTTACCGATCGATGTCTGGCATCCACTTAACTCTGATTGATATTTATCTGATAAAATATTTGTATTTTCATGATGAATTCAATCAATTCATGCAAGATTTGTTCGTGAAAAGTCCCGACGAAAAGTGCACTTGTTTTTGACCGTGCATAATAATGAGCTAACGCTGTAAGGCCGTCGTTGATTGGTCAAATTTTACCGACATAAACATTGAGTCGGTAAAGCACGTGGCTTTCTCTTTGGTACAAGGCGGTCATAATAGAAATTAGATAGTAAAAGAGACCGACTTGGGCAAGGCTATCAAAAATACAATTACTTTGTATTCAAAAATGTTATATTTTTACATTTTTAGAATATTCCAACTGGACTAAAAGGTGCAGCCATCCGTGGATTTGCCTCAGTGTTTCACAGTCTTTCTCGGAAGTGTCCTCCAGCCCGTCTTAGCAAACAGGATGAGATTGGCCTCTCTTTGATCCACCACGCTGCCATGTATAACCGCGTCAACATCCTGGCATTGCTTATTATGCAGTCTATGGATATCAATGTTAGGCGAAACAACAATGTCAATTCTACAGGTATGTTGTCAGTAAATTAATCACATTTTTTAGGTTGTCTCCAGAGGATGGAAACATGTAAATGATACATCAATGTCTCAAAACTGACCAATCAGAAGTGAGAAATTTGAGGTAAAGCATTTAGAAATTGTGGGATGGAATCAATGTCTTTGATGTTTGTCAGCACAGTTTGTTAACACTCAACACTCAGTATTACTGCTTGACACTTAATTGAATTTGAATTCATATTGGTGACACTTAATAATGGTGGAGGTTTTTCACACCATGTGCACTTATATTTTGCTTACTATCATCAGTCATACTTCTTCATATTTTTAATTTGCATACTCATAAAGCATTTTATTCATTTTTTTACTGGGGAACTTTTAATAGATGAAGGGGAGAATGGAAAAACGAAGGTTATGCCAAGAACTGGTAAGATTTGCAGTGTATATTTAGAATGTTCATATAGAGTGTCCCAACCTGTAGGCTTACATCCAAATATAGGGTGAAACCATCTTAATGTGAACACATTATCTGGTGCTTATGTCAACTGTTCAGTAGTAAAATCTGTCCAATGTGAACACCAAAATGAACTGGATAAAAAGTGTTTATATCGGGGGTCTCAAAAAAATGAGACACTTTTTGACAAGTATTTTCTCAGAAATTGATGAACCTAATTCACTGAAAATTCGTACAAAGTAGATATTTCTACAACTTGCTTATGATACTCCTAGGTTACGTTATACAAGGTTTGAGTGAATTTGGTTCATCAGTTGTTGAGGAAATACTTGTCAAAAAGTGTCTCATTCTTTTGGGACACCCAATATAAAACAAACCTCTTGTCTAAAATGTGAACATTAAATTAAGGGTTATAAGACCAGTCAAATTGAAGTAATTGTTTGTGCCAGAGAGGGGTTCACATTCATGGTTTTCAGCCAATAAGTATGTCTACATACATCATAACAGGCCTATTTCAATTTCCTCTGTTTCCTTATCACACCCTGCTGTAAAAATTTGAAAAGGGAGAACATTTTTATCTATCCGACTTATGGAGCATTATGAGAACATGTAATGGGGAAAATGATACATTGCATTAAATACAAATACTAAAATTTGTTGGAAAATTTGTTGGGAATCTTGCATGAAGTCTCTGAACGACATATCTACTTCACCGATGTGTGTAAAGGGTAAGGGTTTGAAGAAAAACTAGTTGAAATGTGGGGAAATACAAGCATGTAACAAAGTGATTACATAGGTAAGGGGAAATTGAATATGTCATAGTTATGATGTCAGAACGTATGTAGCCATAAAAGATTAGATTTTGTTCCAAATCAGATTTTCAGTCTAGGATCCCAACATAGAAAATGAAGTTCTTCATATAGTGTATTCTTCAGTAAAACCTGATAAGTTGAACACTTTTCCTGTTACATATTTACTTAATGTAAATGTACCTCTATATCGTGGAACACCTCCCAATAGAACACTATTTGGAGGTCCAAAAGGTGTTCAACTTCTACAGGTTTTACTTAATTGTACATGTATAGATGTATATACATGTATTATTAATAATAATGTTAAATAAGTAGATGTTTCTTCCCTTCTTATGTGCCATTTTTGATGACTTTTTTTCAATTTTTTTCACCAGTCATTGCAAATTCTGTTTCGAATAAATATCCATGGTGATTTTTAATGTTCAGATTGTGAAACATGATAGAGGAGTATGTTTCAAATTTTAGAGCAATGTAGTTGAAACTAGGCACAGTGAAGGAGAACTCTTAAGGCATGGGTATATTTAACATTTTAAATTCTATTGGCATTCCTTGTGCATCATGTCTAAGGCATGTTACGTTTTATTAAGTAAGATACCTGTAGTGTTGTCCCATTGGCCTTTTTCATAGATAATCAATTTATCACTTAAATCTTTGTACAAAATAGCTTGTCAATCACCTTTTTAGCAAACCAGCAATATCTATGAGAGACCTTGATAGATAAAAATTCATTGATTTCACTTTCAGTTTGAGTCCCAAATTTTGAAGATGCATTTTGACTTATTTTTTGTATGAATGTTTCAATTTATACTTTTAGCAATTAACTTCAATATTACCATGCAGATAAAAAATACTTTACTATGAATTATTCATTGAAACCTATCAATATTGTTGATTGATACTTGCATTAACTTGCTTTCACTAACAAGAATATTTACATTACATGTATTTATATCCACTGAATCTTTGCATTTACACAAATGAACATGTTAACCCTTTGATTCGTAATGTCTGCGTGTTAATATATTGGATATTAATATTAACATGTTAATTCATTGGATATTGATATTGACATGCTAATCAATTTGATTTTTGACAAAATAACACCTTATTCTATTGCAGATTGAATATCTAGCTAAATTAACATTTTAATACATGTTAGTATTATTACACATCCCACCTCTCAATTATATGCCTTAGATTCCTTTAGCAATCTCTGTATGGAGTCCTAACACCCCTCTGGTTTTACTGATGACATTAACTTGGACGCGTCCACTATTGAATAAAGTAGTTTGTACACGTGCCAACGTCCTCAATTTCCCCATACATTAGTGCAATCAACACGCCGTTTTTGTTTGAAACAAAAATTTTATATGGAGAACAACAAGTCGTCAGTTGTAAAGGATATCAACCTTAATTCAACAATGAACTACAATGTCAATGAACAACTGGAAGATGGACAAATTCCTGACTTTTCAAGTCAACTTCAAAGGGATAGTTCAAATTTGCTGCAAGGGAACATTTTCTCTGGCGAGGAAAATCCAACTCCGGGTAGCATGCCATCCCACACCATTGACAACAACATCAACAGTGACTTCATGAATCGTGGGCTCATTCCACCAGGAAATGAGGGGCATGATATGAACTCACAAGGGAAGGACTTGACTTGCCAGTCAAATTTCAACCCTACTTTGGATACTCGTGATTCTGGGCTCACCTCCCTACCCGGGACTGAGGTGCAGGACACATCCAACTTTCAACATCAGCACCCTACAACAGGGAGAGACTTCATACAGTCAAATAGTCTGAATTCAATAGGATTCAGAGCAACAAACACTTTACCATCTAAGAGGTTTTCAAAATCTCAACAACAACAACACTCCGAACTGCGGACCTATCAAAATCAACAACCAGGGCTAGCCTCAAGTATATCACCAGATATGGTCCAAGATATTATCAAAGGACTGACTCCAACTCTTGAATTGCTCGTAGCAAACAAACAACTTGACGTTGAACTTCTAGGTGAAACAACCAACAGAAGCAGGTCCGCTAAAAGAAGGGAGGTACAAAGAGCGAAAAAGCGAACTGTTTCGCCGTCTAGTCTACAGTATGTTTCCCCGGACCGGGCATCTAGCCCCAAACGGGCAAGAAGTGATCATCCCTACAGCGAAGTGGACTCGCCCGTGACCTCTCCTGCGCACATGCGCCGTGACAGCAATAACCCGGAAGACTCGGATTCTTCCAATTCCGACAACGATCATGACTTAATTTGTTGGAAGAACTGTGTTAAACTAATTAAAAATGCCTTTCCGAGTCATTTTAAAACAACTACAGACTATAACACAGAAACACAAACGGAAAATAGACCGCTAGAACTTCAAACTTTGGGTAAGAAATCTACTTCTTCAGACACAACAAAAGGCTTACCGATCGGGCCTTCAGTGCTACAGAATTTCGCCAACATTAACCAGGAATTAGCCAACAAGAAAAACATGAATGACACTAACTTCCTGTTAAGACCAAAACGATCGTTCACGTCCCTCAAAGAAGATGAACACTTCTATAAAAAATCCATTTTGAATGGGACAACTAAGGAACTTGTTCCACATTCCATGAAACTATCAGATTTGGCTTCAACTTCTTACCAGCTTCCAGCCAAACATCACAAACTGTTGGAAGAATCAACGAGAGCTCCTCTTCGTCATCTGTCTCACACTGAATGGATTCTAGGGACAACAGGGAAAATCATTGCAGAGAATTTCCCTGAAAATGAGGATCTCGTCAATCTTATTACAACAGCTTCAACTATGGTAAATAAAGCTACAAGGGACACCATTTCAAATGTCACAAACGTCATACTGACTCAAAGGGACAGGGTAAGCTCCAAGTTCAGGAAGTCAGACGCTGAAGCCCTTAGGAATCTCCCCATCGACACCAAATTTTTATTTCCTGAAGAGGATTTAAAAAATATCTGTGAAGGGTCGGATAAATCTAAAACCTCAAAAGCGCTACAAGATTTAGCTTCAAACTGGAAAAATCGAAAACAGAATTATGATAAATCCAGTAATAACAACTCCAACAGAAGTAGTAATCAACATTCCAACTTTAACAGGAACAACTTCAACAACAACAACAATAGAAACAACAACAGAAACAACAACAGAGGAAACTTCTCTGACCGTTCTACTTCTACAAAATCCAACAACAATAACAACAAATCAGGCTTTAAGAAGCGTAAATGACACTTCAATAACATCAATGTCCCAGCCCCGCCTCCCCCCGTTCTCACCTATGTTCCAGCTGGGACCAGTGGGAGGCAGGATTCAACTACACTTAAAAAACTGGGAACTTATCACAAAGGACCAATGGATTTTAAATGTGATAAAACATGGCTACATGCCACAACTAGTGAACAATCCACCTTTGACAAAAAACTTCAACAACTTCGAATCGGCATCAAAAACAAAAGCTCTACTGCTTCAAAACATAGTAGATCTCCTAATTCAAAAACAAGCTGTGGAGGAAACAGACTACAACACACCGGGCCACTACAGCATCATATTCTTACGCCAAAAGCCAAACGGAGATTACAGACCCATAATAGACCTGTCTCTCCTCAACAAACACATAATATGCCCAAAGTTCAAAATGGAAACTTCAGCCAAAATATCAAACTCTCTACAAAAGGGCGAATGGGCCACATCCATGCTTACTACCATATACCGATAGCCAAACCATTCAGGAAGTTTCTTCGCTTCGTGATCAACAACAAAGTGTACCAATTCAAAACACTTCCATTCGGAATGTCAACCAGCCCTTATGTTTTCACAAGAGTGACATTAGCAATCGGTGCCTTCATACACTTCCAAGGGATATTAACACACCAATATCTCGACGATTGGCTAATACGAGCCCCATCTGCACAACAGTGCCAAATATGGACACAAACAGTACTATCAGTGACGGAAAAACTCGGTTTTGTGATCAACAGAGAAAAATCCGAACTGATCCCAACACAGATTTTCAAGTACATAGGCACCCAATACAACCTAATACTAGGCCTAACATATCCTCCGCAAGACAGGATCCAGAAAATCTTAGAAATCGCACAATTATTCACCAATACCCTTTCTCAACCAACAAGGCAGTGGATGAAACTACTAGGCCTACTAGCCTCAGCAGAGAAAAATATACCCTGGGGCAGACTATACATGAGACCAATTCAACAGTGCCTAGCCAGCCAGATGTCTCCTACAAAATCACTAGAGACAACAATCTACATCAACCAAGAAGTAATAAACACACTGAAATGGTGGATGGACGAGCAGAATCTACTCATGGGTCAACCTCTGGGAATGTTTGTCCCAGATCACACAATCTTCACGGATGCATCGGAGACTATGTGAGGTGCACATATGGACTCTGTGGAAATCAATGGATTCTGGTCCCCATCAGAAATGAGAAACCACATCAACTGGCTAGAACTAGCGGCAGTATTGAAAGTTCTACACAAACTGAATCATCTACTGGTACCTCAAGCAAACATCCTAGTTTGCCTGGACAACACAACAGCCCTAAGCTACATAAACAAACAAGGCGGGACAAAATCGAAAAGTCTTCTGACCCTAAGCCAGGAAATCCTAATCTGGTGCAAAAACCACCAAATAAACATAAGAGCTCAACATATAGCAGGATCCCTAAACCGACGGGCAGACGCACTATCTCGGGACAGGATAGTGAACACAGAATGGTCTCTACTCCCACAAATAGTGAAACGACTGTGGCAAATATGGGAGACTCCTCAGTTAGATTTGATGGCGACATGTCACAACAACAAACTACCACTATATGTATCCCCAGTACCAGACCAAAACAGCTGGGGAACAGACGCAATGTCAATCCCGTGGGACAATCTCAACTTCTACATATTCCCACCAACAAGCATGATCGACAAAGTTCTAACAAAAATGAGAACACACAATTGCGAAGCCATAATGATAGCTCCAAAATGGCCAAATCAACCTTGGTTCACGCAAATTCTGGAACTTCTAACGGACTACCCAAGAACGCTTCCAGTGTCTCAAAAACTACTAAAAAAGCCAAAGACAAGCATGTTTCACCAGACTCCGGAAATATTTGCCCTTCACGCCTGCAAATTGTCAACGACACCCTCAAAAAACAAGGCTTTTCTACAGAAGTGTCTCTTCGAATCTCAGAATCATCAAGGAGGAAATCCACAAATAAACTCTATGATTCCAGGTGGAACACCTTCACTGTTTGGTGTTATGAACGGAATTCAGATCCATGCCAAGCAGATATTCCTCTAGTGGCAGAGTTTCTACTATATCTTCACCAGACTAAGAAACTTTCAATTCCTACCATTGAAGGATACAGAACTGCCATTAATACAGTACTGAAAAAATCATCTGATATCGACTTGACTGATAATTCCCTCATAGGCGATCTTATCAGATCTTTTAAACTGGAAAACCTGACACCAAGGAACATGGTACCTAAATGGAATCTTGTATTTGTTCTTAATGCTTTATCCAAAGCACCCTTCGAACCTATGGCCACAGCGGAACTTAAATTCACATCATGGAAAACACTCTTTCTTTTACTCATGGCTTCAGGGAAGAGAAGAAGTGATGTACATGCACTCGACTTCAGACGTTTAAAATGGTCAGAATCCAGGGACCAAGTAACTATGTATCCCTTCATAGGATTTCTACCAAAGTCACTATCAGCTGCAGAAGGAGAATCTCGCTTTCAACCAATCCTCATTAAAGCTCTCACCACACTGGTGAATAGAGACTCTCCAGACAGGACACTTTGCCCCCTCAGAGCTCTACGTTACTACCTTCAAGCCACAGTCTCAACAAGGGGCAACCGAAATAGACTGTTTATACCATACAAAGCCGGATATACTGGAGATATACACGTAAACACTATATCTTCTTGGGTGAAAAATCTGATCTTGTATACTTACAAAAATTCACAAGAAACAGATTACCAAATCAACTCTATTAAAACCCACGAAACCAGGGCCTTATCTGCAAGCCTTGCTGTTCAAGCAAATCTGTCAGTTACTGCAGTTCTCAAAGCCTGCTCATGGGCAAATCACAACACATTCACCAGCTTCTACCTACGAGATACATCAGTGATCGAGGGAGAACTGCGGAAATTAGGCCCTATGATGGTTGCAGGCTCACTATACAACATATAGCATCTTCAACAGCCTTGTGGTGAGTCATCATGATTAAACATTCTTATGATTTTATAATGTAAATTATTTAGAATGTTCTACTTGTTGGTTTGTGGGTCCCTCTGGTTTAACTGAATTCACCCACCTCCTTTTCGGCTACATTCAGGCATATAATTGAGAGGTGGGATGTGTAATAATACTGGGAAAATCCTTTTTTAATTGATTTTCCTGTTTATAAACATACCCACCTCTCAATTACCAAAGTCCCACCCGACCTCCCCACTATTCATTAGGGGGAATAGGGAAATTGAGGACGTTGGCACGTGTACAAACTACTTTATTCAATAGTGGACGCGTCCAAGTTAATGTCATCAGTAAAACCAGAGGGGTGTTAGGACTCCATACAGAGATTGCTAAAGGAATCTAAGGCATATAATTGAGAGGTGGGTATGTTTATAAACAGGAAAATCAATTAAAAAAGGATTTTCCCAATTTTAACATAAGCATGTTAATCCAGTTAATTTCTCTTGGGGTGCCATGCTTGGCCTTTTGCTTCAGATTGACTTCTTAATTCATTGTTTTTTTGCATTATATTTTTGTCAACATAGTAATATATTTATGTGGTATTTGTATGTATGGAATTAACTTTTTAACCCTTTGCTGATATTTTATGTTTTATTAACATGTTAACCCTGCAGGTCCTGGTGTATCGCTCAGTTCAATAGAGGGAGCCACAGGTATAATACTTGAACCAGGGTCCAGTTGTTTGAAAAAATGAAATTTTAGACAACCAGACCCTAGAAAGTGCCCATTGCTGCATGATTCTTCCTTATATATCCTTTATTCAAGCTGTTTTTCTTGTTGCATATTTGAAACGATAACGCAGGAATCTAGTGATATTCACCTTTTAAGGAATATTCTCACCGCATGTATTTTATTATACGGAAGTGTTATCACTAATTACGTCCTTGCCCTATATGTGTCGCATCATGCTAATTAATTATGTCATCATATTGTTAATAATATTGAATAAATGATTTAGTATTTGAAATTTCAAAAATATAATATTGAAACCTCAATCATTGATTATTGGTCAATATTCCATGACATTTAGGAAGCGAATGTGAGCATTAGAATTTATACTTTTGAAGGCTTTAATTGTATAACAGGATATATGGAGCCTGATACTTCAAAATAATCGTTATAATGTATTAAGTAAAAAGCTTGATAAGTGTAGAATAAACATTCTGCTATCAGGTTTCAACTTCAATTACATGCCGCTGATTGGAAATATCATCAATAATGGATATATTCCTTGGGATAAAATCTCAAGATGGTCATCATTTCAAATGTAAAATATGATGGGAAAGAGATAAATTACCAAGGAATAAAGTGAACAAGCATGAAGTTACTACTCTAAATTGTGTAGAAATGTGAGAACATCAGTCACTTCATTCAAATATTCTAGAGATATTTATGAAATAAACATGGCTTGAAAGGAATTTTGAGTATGGAATGATCCTTTACACTTATTAGATACTGCTAAAGATTGATTGCTTGTAAATTCAAGAGGGAGAAAATTAAGAAAGCAGAGATTGAAAGCAGAAATAAGCTGACAACATTATATCATATTATTTTAGTAATCATCTTCAATGCTTGCACATTATTTCACTTCTGAATCTCACATTTATTTGTCCTCTACTACCTTTTCTATTGGGATATGTAGTATGGTGTCTGTCTGTCTGTCTCTCTGTGTGTCTCACTTGTTATGTTGCTCGGTTGCATGTGCTTAAAATACCAAGTTTCAATATTAATATACTCCTGAAGGAGAAGTATGCTGATTGGCTACTACTTCTGTGACATCATTAAACAAACACACAGCTACCGATATAATTGAGGAATAAACATGACTATTTGGAGATTTTATTCACAAGTCATGCTTTTGATCACATGGGGCTTGTGGCAATGCAAGAAACAGAATTATTAGTTGTATATAGCATATTCAAAATTATTGGTTGAGGTACCCTTCTGCCATCATTTCTTACTATCTCTGAGGCCTGGGGATCTCACAAACTGAAAATCTTTTTTCAAGCTTTCATCTCCTGCGTTTCAACCAAAATATATATCAAATAATCGTGCAGATTTACCTTTAAAACAAGGCACCCTTCAATGGGCATCAAGGGGAAAGTGTGTATGATGGTTGTGATTAAAATCCAACTTATATTTAGCTTTCATGTTGTATTGCACAAACTTGCACATGTGTGTTGCACTAGATTATTGCACATTATATATGAGTAGATGTACATAGATCAGGCCCGTAGCCAGGATTTGTCAAGGGGGGGATCACTTTTTGAAAAATTCCAGGGGGTAACTTTTGACAACTTTGGTCAAAAAATGGCCTAAATCACTTTAAAAATGCTCAGTAAAACTGCATGATTTTGACAGATTTTTTTGTCGAGGGGGGGGGGGTTCAATGGGTTGGCTACGGGCCTGTATATTTTCAACTTCTTGAATCTAATAAATAAGTCATTTAGTGAAGTGAGTTTCTAAAAACATTTATTTTTATGTTTATTGGAACACATTGAGAAAACTTATTTAAAAAGGCTAAAAATTTCTTATACTAAATCACCCAAAATATTTTAATTATACTTGGAGGAGTGCAGGTTGTCACTCGTTATTTCTTGTGACTGAAATTCCCTACAAAATTTCCCTGCTTATCACTCTCATTTCCTGATTTTGAGAGAATATGTTTGAGAAACAGTAAAAGGTCAGTGAGGCAAATTAGTGGTGTCAAATTACTTCAGAAGTTGATTTTGAACTGTGAAGTGCAGACATGACTTCAAAATCACCAAATAGTTGAGTGACATTCTACATTTCCTCCAGCTTTAGTTGGGTAGTTTGGTAATAAATAATTCTTCTTTTCTTTCTCATAGGGCCTACCCCCCTACACTTAGCTTCAAGATGTGGGGCTCTGGATGCTGTAAGCTGCCTCATAGGTAAGAAACCAAAAAGTATCTGGTAATGAGTCAATTGAGTAAACAAAGAGAAGTAAAATCAAAGATATACAATATATATTGGTTTGTCTTCGTCCTTGAAAGGTTTATAACTAGACTCTATACTCAGGGTATCAAAGAAAGATGGTATGTTTCAATTCTGACTCAATCTTCCTGAAATATGGTACAGATGTTTCATAAACATTACAATGCTGAAATATAAAAAATCAAGGTTCAGCTCTTGGAATGGTCTAAGTACTCTCTAGTATTATGTGAAATTTATCATTTGAAATATATCCAGTGATTATCTGGGAAATTCCACCTGGCTTAAATATACTTGTTGCTAAGAGAAACTATTTCAAACCAACTATTAATTCATAAAGCTAATTACAACCTTTCATCAATGACATCCCATTTTCTTTTCAATAAGATAAGAAATATGGATGTCAAGTTTGCCAATGTATACCAATTACCTATGTATTTATTTAAAGGTAATTTTGCCAATGTTCTGGTAACAGACACAGATGGCTGGGCACCAATACATTACGCTGCATACTATGATCAGGAACTTGTCATCAAAATGCTTATTAGAAAACATGAAACCCTACTTGAACTACAGACCAAAAATGAGTAAGTCTCAAAACCTGAAACATGATAATACATTATGACTTAAATATATGATGAAACATTGTAACTTAAAAGTGTTATAGATTAGTATTATGAAGAAATTCATTATGACGTTCCAATAGGTATAGAAATGTCATGAAATTTGATATTTCATTCAAATATCATCAAAAATGAGAAAACTTAAAATTGCAATACACTAACGAATGCAACTTCTGTCTTACATTGCTTTTCACACATTGGTCTACTGTTCTCTCCATAGCCCTCTGTAAAAGTCAGGAGAAGTTTATTATCACAGGCTGGTATCGAAAGATTTGTCCGCTGTGACGGAGCATGCTGTTTTTCATAAAAACACTAACAATGCTTCACGATTTATCGTTTAACTCATACGTTTCGTTATATCAAAGATAATTACTTACTCCATGCAATGGATATATAATTTGCGTGTAACCTTCACTTCTGTTTGAAGTCCAATAACGCTAGGAGTAAAATCTATTGAAAACGGCGCCAGAGTATCAAACTCTAAAATGTACCTTTTCTTTTTTAACTTTTTAATGCCATGATATAGTGACACGATAATATTATCATATGTTTTCAGCATAACTCTGAATGTATTAATGATATATTAATGCATTGGTTTTTTTTTTTTTTTTTTTATAAAAAATAATATCAATATTTTTTGTCCGCTGTGACGGAGCATTTTCACAGTTCACATTTGCAACTGCTCCGTCACAGCGGACAAAAAAATTAAACATTATTTTTTATAAAATAATTTAAAAGACCAAATACATCAACATCTCATTTATACCTTCATAGATATGCTGAAACCATGTGTAGATATTATCGTGTCACTATATCGTGCCACTAGAAAGTTAAACAAGAAATGGTACATTTTGAAGTATGATACTCCGGCGCCATTTTCAATAGCTTTTCTTCCCAGCGTAATTGGACTTCAAACAGAAGTGAAAGTTACCCGCAAATGATATATCCATTGCATGGAGTAAGTAATTTTGTATGGTATAACGAAAGATATGAGTTAAAAAATAAATTGTGAAGTATTCTTAGTGTTTTTATGAAAAATAGCATGCTCCGTCACAGCGGACAAATATTTCGATACCAGCCTGTGATTATATGATAATTTTCATTTGCTATTAAAGTTGTTGAATATATTTTCAGTCTCAAATCTACCCCGATATTACTGGCAGCAAGCTCTGGAGCTTTAGCCTCATTGCGATGTCTTATTAACCTCGGAGCTAATGTCACCCGTCAAGATGATGCTGGGAGTAGCGTCATTCAACTTGCGGCATTGAGGTTTCATACAAACATACTAGAGTTCTTTATCAAGTGGAACAGAGAGGAGGTGAAAGTCTGGGACTCACTTGTAGGTCAGTGGATTGAGCCTTATTTAAACCAAGTTTATAACTGTATAACATAAAGATACATGCTGACTTTTTGTCCTAACTTCCCATGCAAGTAGTTAATAAGAGGGGGTTTTGTATATCAGAATGGGCTTATTGGCTCTCAGTAAATCCACTTACTCTATTTGAAATGGTGTAAAAAATTGAATTCAGTGAGAGATACACATAGGGTAACATTCTTGGCAGGGGTGAGATGTCAACTCGAAGACTGCGGGTTGACCTGAATCAGATTTTTCAACCTGTTTCACCCCTAATTCTCAATATTGGCAAATGTGAACTCTGACCCGTGTGGGGCAAAGCATTGACTATCATGTATTTGATAGTCCTATTATTTTACTCTCTGCATGAATATACCTTTTATAAAATACTCAAAATGAAAAAATATCATTAATATGGATTATAAACAGATAATGGCTTAAGGATAAAATGTTTTTTTGTCATTTAGGAATGCTAAGGGATACCAGTTATCGTAAGAAAGACAGTGCAGTGAAATGTTTAGAGGTTATGTCGACATCAGATCCCGATCATTGGTCATCCATTCTCAAAGCAGGTGTGTAGCAAAATGAATGTCATGACTGGTTCCAGATGTGATCTATAGCACTTTTTATAAAAATCTTGTAAACAAATGATATTTTTTCTTTTAGATTGTGTAATAATTTTTTAAAGATACACTTTCAAATGGTATATGATAATATATTTTATACTATAATTTATTTCTTCATTGCCTATAAGCTTTTAGATGGTATATTAAAAGTTGATTCAATACTCTTGCTTTCCAATGATATATTAGTGGTAATGTTATTTGTATGCTTTCAGATGGTATTCCAGCTCTTGTAGACCTCTTGCGTCTTGACAGTGAGGAAATCCAGTCAGTTGCAGCATCAGTACTATGTAATATTTCCGAACACGACCCTGTCAGGCGAGCTCTTGGAAAAGCTAATGCTGCTTCAATTCTCATACAACTTCTTGGATCTCCAGTTGATGATATCCAGTCACGAGCTGCAATTGTCCTGTCTGACCTAGCATGTGTGGATGATAACCAATCAGCTATTGCAGATCAAGGGGGTATCCCACCATTGGTGAATCTGCTAGATTCAGAACTTGAAGACGTTCTTGTGAATACAGTTAATGCGATACGTGTCATGTGTACGAATAATCATGCCAATCAAATTGCTGTAGCTGACAATAGTGGAATTGAGCCTCTTGTGGAGTTTCTAACGGTGAATTCAGGTAAGTTGTCAGAATTTTTAGTTCAGTTCTTATTTAATCCCACTTCTAGATAAGATAAGAGCATATATGGCGCGAAAGACACCCCTTGGAATGTACAGTGTATGGCATGAATTGAATTCCGTCCTCATTAATTAGTATAACCTGAAATAATTTTCAATTTGCTGTAATTTCACAATCACTGAATGAACACTGAGTTGTATGGACTCTAAAATAAAAACTAGTGTAATTTATTACATTCTGATACACTTATTGTAGATATACTGCAGGCAGCATCTGCAGCGGCTATTGCAGCAGTGGCTGAGGGCAATCGAGAAAACCAGGATGTCATAATAGATGAAGGTGCAGCAAAGTAAGAAATTAGTGACATAGTGTTATAACCACTTTTTTGTTGGTGTTTGGCATTGGTAGTCAGCATTTGTGACAAGTTGTTACACTTTAGTAACCATTTGCTATAGCTTACTATTAGTTTTGAAGTTGAAGAGGTCATAAGGTTAAGGGCATAATGAAAAAATTTCATCCAAATAAATACTTGAGCGTTGGTGAGTTAATATAATTTTGGATGATCTTTCCAATGGTATATCACATTACAGGTATCATAAAGTTTCAGGTGTAGCAGGGGGACAGAACTAATTTAACACCCTGTATACATTTAGTCTATATATTTCAGGCCTCTTGTTGACCTAATAAAAGGGAGAAATGTTACAGTGCAGGTGAAGGCTGCTAGTGCACTACTGAGTCTAGCTGAGAACAATCCAAGGAGTCAGAGAGCTTTTCTTGACCTGGATGGCCCAAAGGCTCTCAATAAACTTTTAAAGGTAGGGTGTCATTTCAGATGTTTCTGACTAAAGGAGGGGGAGTTGTTTGTCGAATGAATTGGGGGAGTTTTTTCATGCATTTCGCTTATGTGTTTCTTCCAAAAACATCAATACACTTTATACATTTTATTGACTATAAGATTGCACCATATTATCCCAAAAAATATTTCTCATTTTCAAGGAGAAACAACCCAATAAGGTGTGTATACATTAAAGATTTACTTTCCTGTTATCTCAAAATCTGCTTTGAACTGTACAAAAAAGTTTCAAATATGTTTATAAAAAATGATTTGCCCCCTCCTTGTCAATGTCAAGATCCACAATGGGGTGATTGGAGAAAGCTATATTACTTGTGAGACAACTCCTTAGAAAAGCATAATGTTTACATGTTGTCTATTCATGTGCCTCAATCATACACATACATGTAGTGTGAAATACATAATTTGATTATTTTGACATTAGGTAAAATTGCATAACACTGTTTCATGTTTTTTCCAGATTTGGTCTATGGAAGTGAAGGAGCAGGGTGCGTGTGCTCTGTGGGCCTTGGCAGGAGATACCCACCCTCAACAGAAAGATATAGCAGAGAGGATAGGCATCACAACTCTTATTGAGATACTAATGCTCAAGTCAGAAAAGCTGCAGTATGTAGGTATGTATTTGACGTATATATACCCTTTTCTACAGTATGATTTGATGTCAGAAGGTTGTAACTAGCCTCTGGTCTGCAGGGTAAAAATGATGGTCATCAGCGTTGGTGTTTGTAACTTAGTGTTACAGTTTTTCAGTTTGTCATATTTCTGGGAAACTGAAAATTATATATGACATCAGAGTATATTCAAGCCATTGCCAAAGACCTCAGTCATTACATGTTCATATATTGTTCATTCATTATTAGGCCTATACCATACAGGCCCATAGTTCAGTTTTGTTCAAAATTCTTACAATGCCCAATATTTCTATATATGCAGGTTGCCAAGCCATTGTTGCATTAGGGAAAGAGAACTTGGAGAACCAGACTAAGATTTGTGACTCTGGGGGTATACAACCTCTAGTGAGACTGCTCAGGGCTCAGAAAACATCAGAAACTGTACTGATGACGGTGGTGCGGACCCTTGGCATCATGTGTGTAGGTGAGTGATCGCAATGATAAAGCCTACCCGGCACTGCTGAGTCTATTTTCTATGGTTTGTAGAAATTTCTATTTGGGTTTGTTTGAGGTTAACAGAACCTTCAAACATTATCTTTCATAGCAGCTAAAAGGGTGTAAAAGTACATTTATAGTGAAATGAAGGAAACTAATGCAATTAAAGGAGATTTGGCTTCAAGAGACAAAAGTCGAGAATGATCTTTTGGAAATGTATACTAGATACTCTAAACAGCAAAGAATGGCATATTTATTGTTTAGTCAACGTTTAATTTAATTGGGATGCTAGAAAATCAATTACTCCATTCCACTTTAGAGCAAAATGACATAGAATAGGCATGACAGATTAAAAAGTACATATGCAGGGACTTGAATTAGACAACTTTTGCAATGTTCCAGGATTGGCCCATGGTAGTAACAAGCACACCCAGAACAAGATAGCGGAGGAAAAGGCAATAAGTACATTTGTTCACCTACTTAACGAACCTCCTTCCCAGGAGATTCAGGTAGAGGTCGCTTGCACTCTTGCCTCTGTTGTGCTCAATAATGCTTCAAACCAATCACGGTTAAGAGAAGAAACTGGGTTTACATACAAAAAGATGCTTCACTTGTTAACCTCAAAGAATGAGGTAAGTTTGAGTCCATTATTCCATTTAATTTAGCTCAAAGGATGAGTTATTTTTTTTCATTATTTCAGTTACCTCAAAAATGAGGTCATTGTTCTAGAGAACCTTAAAGAAACTTGTAAACATATTGATTAATGCTTATTAAGGAAATAAAAGCCCATGATGATGTCTGTCTGTCTTATGGGTTTCCGGACAACTCGGACCCAGGACAACTCGGATCCTGGACAACTTGGACCCAAGACATCTCGGACCCAAGACAACTCGGACCACTTTTTGAAATGATGACTTTTATCATTACATTTGGTTTTAATTATTTTTTATGTTTATTTTGACATATATTATATATTGTGAATTCATATATTATGTTAATTTGATGATATTGTTTTATTTTATTTTAAATTAATGTTTTGATGAGAGTTAAGAAGTAAGAAATTATTGAAGCAAAAGACCCAAGACAACTTGGACCACTTTTTGAAGTGATGGTTTTTATGTCCCCACCACATAGTGTGGGGCCATATTGTTGGCCTAGGCACGTCTGTCTGTCCGTCTGTCTGTCCGTCCGTCTGTCTGTCTGTCTGTCTGTCCGTCCGTACGTCCGGGAGTTTTCTCCAAAACCGCTGCAGATATCACCTTCAAATTTTCAGGGATAATTTATGAGTGCATACAGATGTGGATGAAAAAAAATTAACTCGATACCTACTTCCTGTCGGCCATTTTGAAGTCAAATGCTAAAATCCTTGTCTGCAAACTTTAAGAAAAACGGCTTCACAGTTGCTTTTAAAACTTTAACATCTTGTTCAGCTCACTTCATTCTAGATCTGATTAGGTTTTGGACCTGTTAGCTCAGTCATGTCAGCCATTTTGAATGTTTTAAGAAAAGTTAGCGCACGATAATACTTTGTATCATATTGAATGGTGTTTTTCAGTTTTCATGCTTTAACTTTTTAGTAGCTTTATAAATAATTTCAGGTGTACTTTGTTGTAAAAGCTTATGTTATTGTTAACAGTAGGTATATGTGATAATTTTGTAAAAAGATTTCAGCAAAAACTCATAATCACTTTTTTATTGTCGGCCATTTTGGATTTTTCCGTCCTAAAATCTTGTCTGTAAAGTCTTGTCTACGCGTTTTCAGGTGAACCGTTTGGTAGATCAATTTCAAATTTTCAGGGATGATTCTTAGTATGAGAATCTAGATCTGATTAGTTTTTGGGCATTCTGGGTAAATGTCAAGGCAGCCATTTTGGATTTTCCGTCCTAAAATCTTGTCTGTAAAGTCTTGTCTACACATTTCCAGGTGAACTGTTTGGTACATCAATTTTAAATTTTCAGGGATGATTCTTAGTATGAAAATCTAGAACAGATTAGTTTTTGGCATTCTGGATAAATGTCAAGGTAGCCATTTTGGATTTTCTGTCCTCAAATCTTGTCTGTAAAGTCTTGTCTACGCATTTTCAGGTGAACCTTTTGTTAGATCAATTTCAAATTTTCAGGGATGATTCTCAATATGAAAATCTAGATCTGATAATTTTTACGGCATTCTGGATAAATGTCAAGGCAGCCATTTTGGATTTTCCGTCTTAAAATCTTGCCCGTAAAGTCTTGTCTACGCGTTTTTAGGTGAACCGTTTGGTAGATCAATTTCAAATTTTCAGGGATGATTCTTAGTATGAAAATCTAGAACTGATTAGTTTTTGGGCATTCTGGGTAAATGTCAAGGCAGCCATTTTGGATTTTCTGTCCTAAAATCTTGTCTGTAAAGTCTTGTCTACACATTTCCAGGTGAACTGTTTGGTACATCAATTTTAAATTTTCAGGGATGATTCTTAGTATGAAAATCTAGAACAGATTAGTTTTTGGCATTCTGGATAAATGTCAAGGCAGCCATTTTGGATTTTCTGTCCTCAAATCTTGTCTGTAACGTCTTGTTTACATGTTTTCTGGTTAACTGTGTGAGGGATCAATTTCAAATTTTCAGGGGTGGTTCTTAGTATGAAAATCTAGAACTGACTAATTTTTTGTCATTCTTGGTAAATTTTAAGGTGGCCATTTTGGATTCTCCGTCCTCAAATTGTGTCGGTAAAGTCTTGTCTACTCATTTTTAGGATAATCATTTGACAGGATTACCCATAGGTGGGGACATATTGTACACATTTGTGTTCTTGTTATCATTGTATGGGATTCTAATTTTTTTGTTTTATGTTTTTATGACATATATTATATATTGTGAATTCATATATTGTGTTACTTTGATGAAATTGTTTTAAATTAAACTAACTATAATCTCAAAAAGTTGCCCGAGTTGTCTTGGGTCTTCAGCTTCAATATTCTTCTACTTAATTTTCATCAAATAAGTCAAATTAAAACATTTTCATCAAATTAATACAAATTATGAAGTAATATAATATATGTATTAATTTTCATGAATGAAAAAAATATAACCACACATAATGATAAAAAATCATAATTCTAAAAAGTGGTCCGAGTTGTCTTGGGTCCGAGATGTCTTGGGTCCGAGTTGTCCAGGGTCCGAGTTGTCCTGGGTCCGAGTTGTCCAGTTACCGTCTTATGTTAGCATGTTTGCCTATTTGGTTGTTTTGTTGGCTAATATGGATTACAATAAAATATGTATCCATTGATGTGTATTTTAGGAGATACGGTTGAAGGCAGGAATGGCTTTAGCTGTATTTGCATTCAACAATACCTCCCAGCAGTATGCTATCAGAGAGGCAGGAGGGGTGGAGTATAGGTGCTTTCAACACTTCCTAGAGTCTGAAAATGAGTACTACCAATGCCAGGCTGCTTTTCAGGTTTGTCCTTTCTTGCTGTCATATTGTTAACCTTCAAGTTGTACTAAATATGGGCTTTCACACCCCCTCTGAAAATGAGTGGCTCTAAAATTTCCAAAGTAAAATTATCAAAATTATGTTGAATTATTGTCTTTTTGTCCTCCTTTTGTGGTGTTTCATTCAGTGACATTTATAATTATGAAGGAATGAGAAGGAATTTTTATCTTAATTCAGATACATGTATCTCTATTTCCTTTTCAGTAAATGAAATTATGATTGCTAGGAAAACATTGGCATGGTTTTTGAAAAGACTTCTTCAAATATTTTACACTCTCTTTCCCATTCAACCAGTTGAAGAAAGTAATCATGAATGATTAATTATTATTGAAGTACAATTTTGGGTGGCTAAGCATCTTGCTTCATCAAGCTTCGGACCTATCCTCACCTTGATTCATGACAAACTATTGGTTATACACTAAATAAACAAACCCCAGCTGATGCGCTGTCTTGAATATCATTATTAGAACGTAGTGATTGAGTGTGGGAACCGACGATGGTGGCTAAGTGCATACACCACAATTTGATATTGTTTTATTCCAGATTGTTGTCCTTGCCCGTGTGATTATTGACATGGACCAGGTTAACCTTTCTGCTAAAGGAGTCACTGTCATCGTGAACAACTTATCATCTGAGAAAGAGAAGGTGGTCCTTCTTGCAGGTGAGATTAACTCAGTTCAATGTATTGAGAATCAAATAAAAAAGCTAAAATAAAGAATATTTCCATCAGATTTTGATCTAGATTAAAATGTATTGTTCAACTTCCTTGATAAAAATAATGTAATTAAATGCACTGTTCTTCAAATAGTAAGATTTAAATGTAAATTGTATGTATTTCCAGCATCCTTGATCTCAAGTCTGGCCCATACACGTGCAGGCATTCCAGATGCCATGATAACATGCGGTGCCATAGATGCCCTGGTGGAAAAACTCAAGTCTGAAAACAGCCAAGTTCGGGCTGGTTGTGCCATAGCTTTAGGGTACCTCTCCTACAATAAAACAGCTGCTAGAATGTTGATGGTGTACTGTAGAAATACCCCTGGCATGTATGAAAGACTCATGGACAATGTAACTAAAGACGCTAAAATTGCCCCAGAGTTCATTGATGATTTCAAACGACAGCAAATCATTGGATTGCCATGTTTAAGGTGAGTTTATGCCCATATCTGTCCAAATAATGCATATTAACTTATTACTGTAGTGATTAAATCATTATATGATACTTTACTTTGCTTTATTGTTTCTTTAGTTACATTTTTGTAAATTTTAATTCCAGTCTGGAAAAACATGGAGGTCCTCCTGCAGTTCCCCCAAAGAAAGGTATGATAACATTTAGAGGATAAAATATGTTTTTCAGCTATTAATGGAATTAAGTTATTGGAGGAAATATAATTACTTTGAAATTGGCCCATTGGTAAAATCTTAAAAGTGGGAGAGGTATCGCAGAGATTTTTTCTTTGAGGGGAAGGTGGGACGCATTTTGATGTACTCAACAGGGCCTTGAAGGTCACATATAAAATATATAATTTTTAAAAAAGCATAATAAAGTAAATAAATGATTATTAATTGATTACTTGTTAATTTTAACATGGTTTTAGAGAAAAATTAGAAAAAGGAGGTAAAAGATTATTGAAAAATTACCACCAGCACAAGTTCAATAAATCACATGTTTTACTTTATGGAATTGATCATATATTACCAAATGTCACAAAATGAGCATTTAGCATTGCATGAAATACATATGAGCTTTTGATATAAAGTAGCACAATTTATTTCTGTTTTAATGAATTTGAACATTCATGTTATGATCGCAAAAACACATCATGCATGGTCACAAAAAATGAAGGTAAACATACTAAAGGAATTTTCACTATTTTTGCTTCGCTTCAATCACAAATCTGTATTACAATTAAGTAATATATTGAACAAATGCTATAAAAAACAGAAAAATAAAACAATTGAAAATGTCTTATTTTGTAAATGTATCAAAGACAATTTCTTATTGTACTCCTTTCAATTTCAGATGTTGGTAAGAGGCCGTATACCTCAGTCAGTCTACATAGTCGTAAAAGTCCACATCCCAACTATAAAGCCACTAGTTTAGCTGATCGCGCTAAATCTGCCCCTGCCTTGGCACATCGGGGGAAATCTGCTGCTTCCACCAATTCTGGGCCCAAAATGTTAGAAGTCACAGACTTGATGGGCTTTGGCAAGAAGGAGAAAGGACTTGAGGTTAAGGCATTAGACAATGGGAAAATGCAAGTGAAAAGGAGGAATCAAGTTCAAATGGAGAAAGCGACAGCCTTTAAATCACAGTTGTCTGCTTGGAGCAAGAAATGATGCTCTTTAGTGGATGGATTAGTTCTCCAATTCATTCAATATATTCCTCCCAATATAGGAGAAGGGGCAACAATAAAGAGAGATGTTTGTACAGGGTATGCCAAGATTACAGACTAACTGGTCAAAATTTAAGACTGGTGTACAGGGTGTGTTATTTAGGATATCTTGTTTTCCCATAAGTGGTCCAGATCTACACTTACAACCATGGCTCCAAGCCTGTTGGTTGGTGCTTAGACTGCACTGTCTGTTGGTACATATAGATGACACTGATATTAAAATTTGACTTACCTTGGCCCCATGAAAAAAATCACCATGACAAGGAAATGAAAAGCAAATGGGCATAATGAAAAGAATATGTACAGGTTGCGATTTGTAGGATTCACCCTGTTGTTAATAAATGTGAGTGTATACTTTTGTCTGGCTGTGACGAATGTTCAATTGCATATCCTGCCATACCCAGCCATATGCATAAGGTAATAGTTAAAGGGGCAACAAGGACTGTAGAGAGAAAATTTGAAAAATTCTATTTTTTCAGAGCTATCAGGTCAATATTTAGCTTAACATCTTCTTTGACATATCTATTTTCTTAAAATGTATGGATAAACTATCAATTTCAGCACTAAGAAGTGTAAATTCCGTTCAAAGCTTCTATCATTCTATAAAGGGAGTCCCACTTATTGATTTTTCAGATCCACCGCGTTCCAAGAGGAATATCAGTTGAAATGATGTTCCTCCAGGGGGTTTCTTTGGAGACAATAAAAATACATGTTAGGCTTGATGAAATATCCAAACTTACCGGGTAAATATATTTTGACACTGGTCAATGATCGTCGAATGGCCCCCCTGCACTAATTGTTGCACCTTTAATGATTCTTTATTTTGTATTCAGATATATTAGGCAGGTCCTATTTCATGAGATGTCAGCCGATATTGGCATTTTCTGAGACAAGTTCTCATTATTAAGAGAGCATTAAATGTATTTTTTTTCAAAGTTACACAAATATGTGAGCTACATAACCTATCAAAGATTATTTTTAAAATGTCATGAAATAAAATTTTTTCAATTTTGTTTGATTTATTACAGACAGAGTAAATACATGTATGAATGTAATTTGTACTGTATTGTTATAAATGTAAAAGAGTACTCATTTTAGACAATGGCAGATGTTGAAGCATATTCCCCCCATTAAGATTTATTATACAGTATTATATGTATTTGTCAAGATTATTCAGTATCTGATTTCAGATTAAGATAATTCAGTTCATATTTTAAAGAGTTTATATTATATACACTATTGTGATGGTATATTCAACTATTTTAAAAGGCTTTAAGAATGCATGCATGTAATGTATTAATGATATTTTGAATATGAATTACATGTATTATAATAATATTTATGATTGATAATATCTGTGAATGTTAAATCTTGCCTGTGAATTATCAATCATTTCTGCAGTTCATTAATCATGTCTGGAGTTCATTAATCATGTCTGTGATTTGTTATATATTCCGTCCATTTACAATATTAAATGTAAACCTCTCCAAATAAAAAAAGTGTAAACGTAAAATAAGGGTCTTAATGAAGTCTCAGTGCATGGGTTTATACTGTTGGTTTATGACAGAAAATCAAATGTTTTTGCAAAATATTTTATGGCATAATGTTTAGATAGCATACAAAGCAAAATATGAGGACATTCAATTGTAGTCACATTTTTGTTCTGGTTTCATTATTTTCAGAAATTGTGATGAAACAAAATCTTTTTTACACATGTACATGAGCAAAAAATGTCATCAAAATTGACTTACTGTTTGTGTTTGGGAGTCCCATGAATCTGAAAATGTTGAAGATATTGTGTAGTCTATACTGAAGAAATGTTGTTTATATTTAATTAAATATACAAATCAGTCACATAATAAATTATTTTTGTCACTTACAATTATATTTTTATGTTCATAATCTGGATGATGGAGACCTAAAGTAATCCTTGGTTTTCCTCAAGGAACCTCAGAACTTTTTATTCCAAAGTGGTTGAGTTGGCAAACTGCCTCACAATCTTTCTACTGATTATCATGAAATTTTGATTGAATTATGCCATGGTTTCTTAATCCTATAGTGAACACCTACCTATTGTAAACAGTGAACACTACATTTTGGCAAAATCAATTGAATTATCCTGTCTATAGTAAACATTGAGTAAAAAATGAGCAATGTCACTCTAATAATATAATTTCTATTTTTATTTTTGACTGGAGGATTTTATCACATACCAAAAGTTCACAGATACGGGAACAAGAGTTCATCCCCTTCCCACTCCCATGGTAGAAACATAGAGAGAGTGGGGGATTTAAATCTTCTTCCTGGGCCTGTGGGAGAGTTTAACATACAGTATATATTCTTATTTAATTAATAATACTTGATCATAAATAGTCACTGCGTCTGTGAGGTCACCGGGCTGAGGCCACTACAAGATCTTAGAATGGACTAAGTTATTGTTGACATTGGCCATGTGCATTTGTTTACTTCCGTCCGCGCATGCGCAGTAGTGTTCAGCGCCATTTTCAACTTTCAAATATTTGAAGTGCATATATTCCCAAATGTTTCTCTATTTTCTACACATGATCAAAGATTAATCCGTACAAGGAATAGCAGACAGCTGGGTAAGTACACGATAATTGTACATGTGTGTCTTTTTTGTGTGATTGCTCTAGTTGAAGACAAAATTTGATTATTTGATTTTTGATAATTTTTTTACTGAAATTTTTCTTTTTCAGTTTATTTTTTCTATTTTTCATTTTGTACATACCCAAAAATCAATATTGTTTCTACAGAGTGTAAGAACAATGTTAAGAAAAGACAATCTGCATGAATACGATGTGTAAAATTGTAAGGGGCTAGATTTACCTTCTTCTAAGGCCACTAAGGTGGTAACACACATCCCATACCTAGGTATTGACATCACAAAATAACTTACGCTGGACTACACATATTCAAACTATTGTATCCAAAGCCCATAAGGTGCTTGGATTTCTCAGGCGCAACCTCCATCAATACCCTGAAAAAGTGAAGGCTCGGGCCTAATTTAGAGTATGCCAGTTCGGCATGGGATCCATACCGACAAAAATATATTGATATGTTAGAACAGGTACAGAGAAGAGCAGCCAGATTTGTAACCAAATGTCACTCAAGGGAACCAGGCTGCGTCACCAAAGCTCCTCAAGACCTACAGTGGGAGCCACTGAAGGAGCGTCGAGAGGCTGCTAGAGTTTTCTTTTTCTACAAAGGAAAGCAGAACCTAGCAGCTATCGACGTGCCTCCATACTTCCGCCAACAGATCAATACCAACACTAGGTTGTATCATCCTTCTAAGTTCATACAACCATCAACTAGAACGGATGCATACATATTTAGCTATTTCCCTAGGACAATAGCTAAATGGAACACTCTACCTGGTGACATCTTAGACTGTGACAGTCTAAGTAGTTTTAAATCAACATACTATGCCTATGTCAATAACTGCAATTAAATACATAGGTGTGTTTTTAATATAGATCTACCGTATGTTTTAATGTAAAAGGTCCCCAGTGCACAGCAACAAGCCTGCACTACTGGACTACTGGTAAAGAGGGGAGATGTCAACGCGGTAGCCTGGCAGTTGCCCCAGGGTATTTCAACATAAAGGGACTTCCTAGGGGGGTACAGGGGCCAACCAGGAAGGTTCCTTTCAATTTTAAAATGAGTTGTAAACCATAGATCTATTTTTAAATGTTAAGGTTTTAAATTATATTCTATTCAAATTCTATCACTGTTAAATTATATATCTGCTTTAAGTTTGGAATCAAATGTTCGCCATTTTTCCACATCACAATTTGAATTGCGAGTTTTGGATGTTATTACCTCACCAAAAATTCCAAAACACACATGAAGTGATCAATGTATTAGTTCACATCTTTTGGATCCCCATGGGCTTTCAAGAGATCTCTTGAAAACCCATGGGATCGCTAACTTAGAATTTACAGCCAGTTACTAATGTCAGACAAGAACGACATTTCGTCCAGTTTTCAAATATCACCATTTTTCTTGGAGCTGTTTATTTTAATTTTAGACCAAATCCTCATGCAATATCTCATCAAGGAGCCAAGCCAGTTCCATTTTAATTCTTGATTTATTAAGGATAGATACTTTAACTGTACCATGGCATGTGTAGAGACCCTGTCTATTGCAACCGCACAGCCATGAGAATGTTATTAACTTGCGCAAGGATCCTAGCATGACCTTGACAGTGCTATCATGAAAGCCTGGCACAACCACAGCCTTTGTTTGACCTGGTACAATGTACATACTGTAGTAATTAACTTAATTTGACGCTACTTAATTTGGCGGATTTGCTCAATTTCAAATATTGGCGGCTATTAAATTTGGCAGAGTCAGGACTGAGCTCAAGTTCTATCATAGATCTGGAAATTAACATTTCAGATTCATGTGATCTACTTCCAGTAAGTCTTGGTATAGCACTGACATCCAAATAGGAATACTTACACAAGTGAAACAATTGCAAATTACAAATTCTCTAGGGATTTTCCAAAATATATCTGAAAATTGGTAGATTTTTAAATTGGCAGATTTTTTCAATCCACCAATCCTTCAAATTAAAACGGTAGCCAAATCATCGGCCATGGCCAAATTAAGTGTACCTAAAGTATTTAATCCTGGTAGAACCCCATTACCTGACATTTGGCATTTCAATGTGTCATATGCAATTCAAACAGAAAAAGGAAAAGAAAAAGTTTGATAGATTGCTTGTTTATATTTGACTTATTAATGTTATTCGTCAAATTATTTATTGCAAGGTCCATCCAAATCGTGTCGATTTTAATTTAAATGCATGATGCCTTGAAGATGAACAGTGCTAAATTACAATCGTTATCTAGTTTATTAGAAACCAATTAAATAAAAATGTAAATTGCAGGGGTTGCAAGATTTCATGTCTTTAGGTCAATTAATAAATTGTAAACATGTTATTGTCTCAAGACTGTTTTGTGTTAAAGAGGCACAATCCAAATGCTAACAGGGTTGGGGAATAGCAAAGTTAATTTCATTATCATAGAAAGCAGATTTTTTCAAAATTCCAAGTGAAAGGCAAATCAACATTTTGAAATTTCATGGGAAAACAAAAATGAAGGGTAAATCATAATAAGATTAAGCTTCTTTTTCCACAACTGACAAAATTTGTTCATCCCTAAAAACAGAATTCTCAAATCATGATTCACTCGATTACACATGCGGTGTGATAATATGAGCATGTTACACCCAGTGCCTTTCCCTTATCTTGTATAATATCCACAACTCTTGGTATGTCAGATCTAAACAGATATCTATGCCCCTCAGCCTCAGGATGGCCGAGTCTCCCATCACTCCCACACCCCCATGTGAATACTCTCCCCTCTTTGCTCACTGCTGCACTGTGTATCCCACCAGCAGACACATGCATTATCTCATCCCCAGAAAAATTGTCACGTGGAATTTTCTGTGGTGTGTTATACGAGTCCTGGTTTCCTGTACCAAGCTTCCCTTTGTAACCATCACCCCATGTGTACACATCCCCTTGTAGAGATATGGCAAGTGTATGACCATGGTTCTCGCCCACATTGCAGCTTAACTCCTTTATTCCACCTAAAGATGGCACTTTGGTTGGTACTGCAACATCTTTTAAAAAATTTGACCCTAGACCTAATTCTCCATCAAAGCCTTTTCCAAACATGTATACATCACCACAATCTGTTACAACTCCGCAATGCGCAAATCCAGCATTGCCGGAAACAACCTTAATATCTTTGAGTTCTTCAACTTTTGTAGGGGTTATTTTATCACGAAAATCCCCATGACCTAGTACACCATGACGTCCTGAGCCCCAACTATAGAGTGATCCATTTTCAGTCCACACTAATGTGAAATTGTTTCCGCATGATACACCAATCACTTTACCAGGGATATCTATTGGTATTGGTCCTGAGGTCAAGGTGGAATACTGAGTGGGTGCTCCTAGTATTTGTTTTTTGTTGTTTCCCCATCCCCATAGTTTCCCTTTATCAGTCACAGCACAACCATGCCATATCCCACAGGAAAACTGCAATGATTGAAGTGTATAACATGTACATTTAATAGTATACATTAATCATATATGGACTACTACAATAATTACAACTTGACGTAACATATAGCTGTAGGGGAGGGGCCATTAGTCGTAATATTAAAAGATTCAAGCCAAATCTTCAAACATTTTTATTTTTGTGCCATATACCCTCTCTATGGTCATCTCATACGTGTGACTCTAATAGCTATAAGAAGGATGGCATATTGTCTTGCTTTTAAAATATCAATTGGATATACACATGTAGGTATAAATATTAGATCATACTGTCTGTTATAATACATGTACCAGTATATTTGCCTTCAGTCATGAAATACATTTCTGGATAACATACATACCTTTACAACTATTCCATCTACAGGAACACGAGTCAGAGTTGCAACATCATTCTCTTGCCCTGTGCCCAGCCTCCCATATTTGCCACACCCTGTGCTATAAAGCTCCCCCTTTGATGTCAACACACAGGTGTACAAAGCCCCACATTCTACTTCAACAATTTTGTGTTTTTTATTTCCACATTTCCAAATCATTTCTTGAGGAAGGATGCACTTTTCTTGTTTTCCATTTCCAAGTTGTCCTGATTTGCCTAATCCCCATGCAAATGCTGTCATCTTGTAGAAATCGCTTGATAAAATTACTTCTTTTCTAATGTATAAGAACAGTACATTTTATTTTATTTATAAAGTCTACTAGGTTACACTGTACTGATTGATATGATTGGTTGTACAATGAGTCATTGGTAAATACATGTACTTCACAATTACTGATTATTCATGTTTAAATATAGCAGTGATATCAACCAATCAATAATAAGATTTGAATACTTAAGTTATAGCGCTGTATACTTAACCAAAATAAGATAAATAGCACCCTGGCCAAACAAATAAAACCAACCTAAAATGTTTGGCTCTACTATTCTTTTGAAACATGCTCAATAAATAATGTTTAAACAATGAATTTAAAACTACATTCATCCAACAAACAACCAACCATAAACATTCAACCAAAAGGAATGCTGTATTTCTTCTTAATTTGGCACTACTTATTTTGGCAGATTTGATGTTTTGAAGAGTTTGCAGCTAACTACAGTAAAAGTATAATACATGGTAGTAAAATTACCGAGGAAATTGGCAGCTACATAATTTGGCAGATTTTAACAACTTGTCGAATTTGCCAAATTAAAACAGCCACCAGAATTAAGTAGAAGTACAGTAATTTATTTTTTCTGGAGTTAGCATGCAGAAATGCAAATCTTTTAAATAAAGAATGAATGCTTTGGTTGTTGTTAAAAGTTCATTCTAACTTCTCATGTAATGACAAGGTTGTTACTAATTCAGCAGCCTTGTCATTTATTTTCCTTTAGTGCTTTTTGAAACTTGATGTTTTTCCTTTCGAAAAATTCTGGGAAGAGCATTGGCCAAACCAGGTTATATCTTGAAAAAATGTTGAAATTTAGTTTACATTTAAATTTAAATACAAATGGTAACATTTTATTTCATATTTATTTTCTGCTTTAGTGTGTAGGCTTATGAGAGGGAATTGAAGTGAAGTGAGATTGCTACCATGGCAACAGAGGATGAAAATATCACCATGGCAACAGACTCTGAGATTTGTCAGCTGAAGAAAGACCTTGCTGCAGAAAAGGAAAATGTTAGACTTGCAGCTGAAATAGGTAAATAAAGTATATGCCTCCAACAGTGAACTTTCAAAATCAATATTTTGTTGATTCAGATCAAAGGAGCCTGCAAAAGACAAATATAGTATGAATAAGATCTGCATTTGAAGCTATTTGGGGAATGAGCATTGCATGAACTACCCTGAGCACAGAAGCTGAATCAATCAAATGCAAAATATGCTTGAAATGGCTAAGAGCATCACAATACACAACCATTTAACTACCCACATACGAAGTGAGAGATAAGAATGAGTTCAGAATGGTGTAAGAGTGTTTTCATGAATTCATTCAGATATGTTGTATGTTATGCATGGTCAGCATTTTGCATTTAGGGTTGACTTCTTGTAATGTATAAGGCCTGTACCAAACATATTGACATGGGATAATGGATACATTGGATAGAAATAGGGAGATTTATTGTTAATATTATTTTTGTACATTTAAGGAAACACATTGCTGGCACAGAATGCTGAATTGACCAAACAACTTGAGGAGACACAAGAAAAATACACAGCACAGATTGAGGTAAGGTTAACATAAACAGAGGACCAGAGTTAAAGAGTTGCTCAGGTGAACTTGGCAATAAAGATGTGGCAAAGGCAAGAACAGATTGCACACACTACATGTACGATTTTTCATTTTTGAATAAAATCCTACTTTATTCTATATTTTTGTTTAGTTCTATATTTTACTATTGATTATCAATTGCATATATGCTTGTATGTGTATTTACTATTGATATTCAGGAAATAAATCTCCTGTTATCAATGATGTGGGTTCTAACATATCGTGTAGTTTTAGAAGATATGAGACATTTGACATGAAAAAGTATAGGGCATTCATCTTCATTCATTCATTGGTGAATATGGTATTGGTAACCCAATTTTTTGCGGGCGGAATTTATGAGAAAGGGTTTATTAGATTCTGAAGGCTATTATTTTCACTTGTAGGAGTTAGAACAGCAAAAGTTCTCCCGAGAGAGACAACATGAAGTTCAGGTACAGATGCAAGCATCTATGGTAGAAGAGATTGAACAACTGAGGTCATCATATAAGAAACAGAAGGAAGAGAAAGCTAATATGGAAAATGACCATAGAGCAAATACAGCACAATTGGAGTCAAAGGTGAATTGGGTTTACAGCTTTTGATTACTTTTTTTAAGTTGTAAAAACTATACAATACTGTCCAATGCCCAACTTAAAGTCTTCTCAAGGCTCCTCTCTAATGCTGCCCAAATGTATTGTTTATTGCTTTTTAAGATTTTAGAGTTAGGCAAAGTTTCTTAGCTATTGAAATGAGGGAAAAAGTGGGTGTGAATGAGTGTGGGGTGTTGAGCCTCAGCTAAAAGATGTTGAGCCTCAGCTAAAAGGTGTTGTGAACACCATGCCTTCACAGGGAGCTATTTACATGGGCTCTACAGACTTGCCAACCTAAAATGAAAAAATGGGAGGTTGGCAGGTCTGGTTCTATGTGAGAAAAAAGCACCTAAAACCACATTGAAACTGTACATAGCTCCCTATGTACACATTGAAGTCATATTCTTACAGCTGAACATGCTACAAGGAGAGATAGACAAGCTGCAATACAATGAGAAACAACTAAAGCAAAAGATCCGCCAGCTAGAAGACAACATCAAGGAGCTACTGGAACAGAAGGAACACACTGTCATAGAGGCTCTCAATGAAACATGCTCGGATGAACTCGCTGCCCTCTATTGTGAACTCAGTCAACTTAAATCTGAAAAGGTAGGGTAGAAGAATAGATGTGTCTGATACAAACTTTTATTTTAATTTTTAATCCCAACTATTTTTAGGGGCTGATATAACATTTAACTTGATGGATAAAATATATATTCCAAATTAGATAATCATATATCAAAAGTATCTCTCATGAACTGTAGTTACATGTGTTGCTTATGTACCCCTTAGATGAGTCTAAGTAGTGAAACGAAAGAGCTGATGGGGATGGTGGAACAAATAAAGGCAAGGCTAATGGAGAAGGAGGCAGAGGTGGAAGAACACAAGTGTCAGGTCACATCGTATTATAATAGTCTAGAGGTATGTAGAACGCAAGTGGCTCATAAGTCACAATTTATTAATTTTCTCAGTAACTACTTTTGTTTTCATGGTATTTTTATGTCAAATTATACTAGCCACAATTTTTTTGTGACTAGTGTTGGTGTTCAGCATTAGTAACAATTTGTTATACTTTTGTTATTGCAGCCAGATTGTTACATTTTATCATGTTAATTTTTAATGCCTTTTGCATTTTAAAACATGACCATTTGTGTTCTATTGTAGAAATGTCGTGAAGAGAAGCAAGAACTACAAGTTGAGTTACAACAAGCTCAGATGGATGCAGCCAACCATAAAAGTAAAGGCAATTCACTGTTCTCAGAGGTATGTACAAATATAATGATATTGGTACTGTTGTTGTAATTTTGTAACTTTTCAGAACTTTAATACAGAAAACCCAACTTCAGTTGAAGTCAGATCATGGATTTGTATTATGATAAAAACTCCTATTGTAATATGTCAGTGCCAAGCTTGCCATTGTACCATTGTATGATTGGTCAAGACATGGTCACAAGTCATGAAAGATCAGGTGATATTTACTGGCTATCAAATTCAACAATCTACAGGCTTCCAGGAATATCAATTCTGAAAGATGCACATGTGTCTGTCCACCTTAACAGAATAAAATGTCTTGTATAATAATCCAGATTAAGCCTCATCAGCTTTTAATAATGGATTCCTATTTTTACGTTCAGGTTGAAGACAGGAGAGTTGTTGCAGAGAAGCAGCTGATCTCTATGAGGGTGAAATATGATGCCTTGAAAAATGAACAGAGAATGACTAAGCAACATCTACACCAGGTAACATGACAGTGTAGTCTTGTATTAATCCCTTGTTAGCATGCCTCATATACCTCACCTCATCTAGAGAAGACAAAAAAACTAATGTATTGATAGAGTATATTTTTGTCTCTTGAAAGCCTCGACTTCACATTCCACAGCTACAATGCAGGTGGTATGACCCTGTCAAATGAGCCCTTACTGATACAACTAGGCATTGTGCAATATACTTTTGTTTTGAATATTTTGTATTATTTTTTATTAGAAATTAGGCTTTAAATCTGACATTCGGCCAATGACCCATGAAACTTTTGTTTGTTAATCTATTTATTGACCTGAGCAATATGTGACTTCATAGTGCTGGCTGTAGAAGCGGGCCAAAATTGACATTTCAGCCCGCCAATGTTCCCCGGGAACTGAGATATCATTCAGTGCGTATACTTTTCCTTCAGTGGCAGTCCGTTCTTGCTATTTCCGCCCTGGGCATAAGGTGGTAATAATAGTAACCTCATTTCAGGGGCCACATAGGGAAATATTAATAGGTTATGATATAGGTTATTGGTATATTATTTCACAAAACCTCACGTTTACTTTTCTATTTAACATATTATTTTTCCAAAATGTATCTCCTTCTGAATTCCTTGTTTACATATTGTAATTCATAATTCCTTCTCTGTAATCCTAATATCTTCATTTTTCCTCATATTTCCTTCTGTGTCTAGGTGAAGCTGCAAATGGCAGTATTGTTACGTATGTCCAGCGGGACTGATGCAGACCGTTCTAACAGTGAAAGATTACGCCAGCAGCTATCGCAAGCTAGGGCTGAGGTGGAGGCCTTAACTCACAAGGTCAACTGTCTCGAGAAGAGAGAGGTTAGGGATCATAGTACTTTTATCAGCTTGACTAAACTTTCATTAAATCAGACTGAAAAGTTTTGTATGCTCAATGTCAATATATTGTCTTGAAGAGAAACCAATTCAATTCAATTTTTATTTATTTCATAATTCTTATATAATATACACTATAAAAACAAGCCGCTAGACACCCTAGTGGGTATATGTTGCGGTTTAACAGAAATTATTAAAATGACATCTAGACTACATATAAAAGAAAACACTTATATTATTTTACATGTAGGTATATAAAAATGGTATTACAATTTATCTAAGGATGTACAATGTAAAAATGTTACAAAAAATCAGGTACCAGTATAAAATCAACAATACAGTATGATATTGGTATTATACATTATCGATAGATGAGTAGTTTTTTATATGAAGATTTGAAAATATTTAGAGTGGAGCATTTTTTAATATCATGTGGTAGAGCATTCCAAAGATTAGGACCTAGATAGCGAAGGGAAAGTTTAGAGCATTTAGGGATATGAAAATAATGCAATTGTCTTGTGTAATGATGATGAATATTAATGTTGATATCAAACAAGTCTTGAAATAGATTTTTTGGAAGACTGGGGTGCTTATTAAAGATTTTGCACATGAACTGACCAGTACAATATCTGTTGACATCAAAAATATTTAATATTTTAAGATCTTTAAATAGGGGAGTGGAGTGAGAAAGTCTATCCTTATTTAAAGCTAGCCTTAAGAATTGTTTCTGCAGTTTATGTAGACGATCATAAAATGATATGAATGTGTTACCCCAGATTATGTTGCAATAATTTAATTGAGAGTGTATCAATGAGTAGTAAATTGTTTTGAAACTGTCTATTTGAAGTAGATGTTTAATGCGATAAAGAGAACCAATGACGCGAGAAATCTTTGTTTCAACAGATTTTATGTGCTCTTTAAATTTCAGGTTTTTATCAATAATAATTCCAAGAAAGTCAATTTTTTCCCGAAAATTTATGTTCTCATTGCATATTTTAAGATTCAAATTTGTTTGATTTTTTTGGGGTCCAAATAGAATAGCATTAGTTTTGCCAATATTAAGTGAAAGTTTGTTTGCTTTTATCCAGTCATCTATTGAATTCAAGTTTGCATTTGTTCTAGTCGTAAGTTCATTTAAATCATAATCACTATCAAGAAGATTGGTGTCATCAGCAAACATAATAAATTTTAGATTAGGGGCAACGAAAGGCAGATCATTTATGTAAAGAATAAATAATAGTGGTCCAAGTACCGAGCCCTGCGGAACACCACAATTTAGAGATGATTGTTTAGATTCATAATTGTGAATGGTGACATATTGTTTGCGGTCTTTTAAATAACTTTGAAACCAGGACTTAGCTATTCCTCTGATGCCATAATATTCAAGTTTTTGTACCAAAATGTCATGATTAATTGTGTCAAAGGCCTTGGAAAAATCTAATGTTATGCCAATGCTCGTTTCCCCCAAATCAGTTGATTTTCGAATTTGTTCAATGAAATATAAAATGGCCATGTAGGTAGAATTGAATTTCTGAAATCCAAATTGATAAGTAAAAATAATTTCAAAACGTTCTAAAAAACCAGTGAGTTTGGCGTGCATGAGCTTTTCTAACAATTTAGAAAATACCGATAAAATTAAAATTGTAAGGATTTGTAGTGACACCTTTTTTAAATACAGGTGTTACTTTGGCCAATTTGAGGGCGTCTGGGAAAATACCAGATTTAAAAGATAAGTTAAATATATACAAGAGCGGATCAATTAAAAACTGTCTTGCAGACTTAATAAGTGATGGTAGAATCCCATCAGGTCCAGGCGAGGAAGATTTTAGAAGACACATTTCTAATTCAAGCTCAGTTTTTGAGGTCTTTTTGAGATAAATAGATGATTGAACTTTTTGAGCTCTTGCTAGGTATTCATTAAAGCATTTTTTGGATTTTGGAATCTCCTTGGCTAGATTTTTACCAATATTGGTAAAAAAATTATTAAATCCATTAGAAATGATTTCATGATCTGTTGTTTCCTTTCCATTTATAGTGAATTTAGATGGCAATGCAGCTCTTTTGTTTTTTCCAAGTAGTTCATTAATGATAGACCAAGACTTAATGTTGCCACTTACTTCGGCAAACTTATTTTGATAATATGTACGTTTTGAGTATTTAATTATGTGCTTAAGTTTATGGTTGAAGGACTTGTAAGCTTTACCTGTTTTGCAACAGGGATTTTTCAAATATTTGGTATATAGCTTATTTTTAGTTTTGGCAGAAGTTAAGATGCCAGAGGTCAACCAGGGTCTATTAGGGTCATGATTAACCTTGATAAATTTGGATTTGACTGGAAATGAAGAATCATATTGTTCCATTAACAAGTTAATGAAGATATTAAATGCTATGTTTACATCTTGACTTTTATAGCAAGGGGTCCAGTCGACACCATTAAGTTAAAGTGGTAATAAATTGATATCAAAGTAAAAACAATGAAATACTTTCAAAATCCTCTGGGTTCCAATCAGGCTTTATACATAGAAATCCCCCCTTAAAATTTTTTTAGTCACCCTTTACATGAATTAAAAATTGGTTATTTTATTTCAGAGAACGGAAGCAGATTACATGGCTGATTTTCACAATGCATTTGGTGGCAATAATGAGAAAGACAAGAACCATGTGCAGTATCTCAGGGCTTTGCTGAAGCGAAAAGAGTAAGATGATTTGCTGGTTTGATCAGTTTTTGTGTCACCACCAGAAGTGGTGAAATATTGTTATAGTATTTAACTTTTTTGTGGGGGTTGGTGTTTGATAGTGGGCATTCGGCGGCTGTCACAAATTGCATGTGGTGACATTGTTAATGCCTTCCTTGTGTTTTATTGAGGCTTAAATGTGTTGAGCTAAATGGGATTGGATGTTTCCCCCTAGAGGAGATCAAAATTACCATTCAGTTGGTCTCAGCTATTGGTGCCTCTTATGTCTTCAGGTATGTGTCATCTTTTGGATTTACACATGTGAAACAATTTGTTATTTTCAGTGAAGAAATAGAGAAGATAGAATGCGAGTTGAGAACCAAGCGTATGGTGTGCCTTGCTGAAAGTGACAATGTTTTGATGCTGCAGAGAAAGTTATTTGATGCTGAGAAAAGTGTTGAGAAACTATCAGGTCATAATATGAAACTAGGGTTGAAGTTAGAGGAGTATAAGCTCAAGTATGAGCCAGGTAAGGATCTGCATTAACACATAGGTATTTTTCATTATGCAAAGTTACTTTTTTCAAGGTAGAGAGGGAAGGGAAGGGGTAAATGTAAATTTCAACATTGATATCAATTTGTCATGTTAATGCCTTTTTTCTCCATTTTTCCTTGTCCATTCCCTTTTGTTTTAACAAATTGACTGTTTTTACACTGAACAAAAACATTTTCCCTGGAATACTGGAGCATGAGAATGAGATACACAGCGGGAGATATATGTATGTCCCGCTCCTTCAAGATATTAATTCTATATCCCTCTGTTATGTACCTGAAACCTCACTCGTCATAGGATAATTCAATAAATTAGATGATTTCATTGTGTTCTGGTTCTCAAAATGTGTTTGGATACAGATATTGAATACTTAGCTCAATGTCTAAAAACTATTGTTGTTTGTTGTTCTTTCAGAATCTGTGAAAGAAAGAGAACTGCATGAGAAGGGTAATTTAACAGATAGATGGATTGAGAAGATTCCAGTCTCAAAGAAAATGAATGATGAGAATAATGAAGGAGAAACTATTAACAAAAACAATGATGATAACATCAAAGACCCTAACCAAGTTGATGATAATACTGATAAAAATACTGATGAAAGTGGTGTTGAACAAATTAATACAGAAAATGATCCTAACGGTGGAAGCAGTAATACGAAAACCAGCTCAAAGAGACATATGGGACCAGTGGACCAACCTATGACATTTAAATCAATCAAAACGAAAAAGGTTACAATGAGTGACAATGTCAGCATAATGCCAGGTGATGACACAGGTGCTGACGACTCTTTGGAAATTAGTAAAGACTTACTTGAAAAGGCAGCAAAGTTAGGGGAGAGGAATCGTGAAACTGACGAAGGAAAGAGTACGAGACGAGTGAGGGGTAAACAACAACATCGGAAAGTCATCCGAGAAAAAGACATGGAGACAGACATTGGTGATGGGTGCAAAACACAATAGATTAGTTATAAGAATCAACTGGAAACTGCATCTATGGAACAATTTGAAAGCTCTGTGCATCCATTTCAAGACTTGGAATATGTACTTACTTTCAATATCATGATATAATCTATATAAATATGAATGAATTGGTAAGGTAAAAACTAACATTACAAACAGGCCTATAAGTTTATAACATATATCTTTATATATACTATCGTATTTATATTGTATAAAACATCATTTGAGGTGCTTGTTTTAATGTTACCCCTCCAAAGGTGAACAGGTAAAGTTGTATACTGTACCTCCTTCATGTCCTTTGTCAATATTTAAATCAAGTTGTTTCTACAAAAGTAGGCAGTGTATATTGTCTACCTCAGAATGAGATACAAAATACAATATAATATGTCAGTATTTACATGTACTGCAGCTACAGTAGATTTACTTTACAGTACTTGCCAAAACTGCTGAGTTATAAAATCTATACATTTTCTGCCAAACTGCTCAATGGATTGAATGGAAATTTTCAGGTTTGTTTCTTGGTATGGAAATCTAGAACTGATTATTTTGCCATATAATGCCGAATAAGAATGTTCATTGCTGATCTTTTTTAATGTAGGGAGACATCTATTGAATATAAACCAACATTGGAATACTACATGCTTAAATGTATATTCTCACTCTGTACTATGAAAATGAATAATATAAACATAACTATGAATAAACATTATTAATCTATTTGTTGAATATAATTTGTAGTCTTGTAAGTATGTGAGCATTAGCATGAGTCTGTGACAGATTTTTTCATGTTGGATCTCTTGTAAATACAATAGCAATATTTACATCTACATGTCTACCAAGAGAAAAATCTGGCTACTGATCTGCAAGCTCAATTGCTGAAAGGAAAACATCAAAATACATTAATAAACAAAGCCACCAAAAAAATATCAAAGAGTATTGTAAAACATAGCAAGATCCATCAGTACAACCAGTCATAAGGAAAACAAATCCACAATATCCCAAACTATGATCTAATGAACAAAAGTAGAACATGTAGGTGGCCATTTTAATTAGGGGGATCCGCCAAATTGTTAAAGTAGCCGCTAAACGTTCAGAACAGCAAATCTGCCAAAATAAGAAGCGCCTAATTAATTAGAATACAGAATTTACAAGTACAATGCTCAGTATGCTATCATGATTATTTGTGGGGGTATATTGACATGGGGTATAAAAGACCTGGAATACACGACATATGTACATTCATTTGACATTTGATTTGCAAACTATGATCTAATGAACAAAAGTAGAACATGTAGGTGGCCATTTTAATTAGGGGGATCCGCCAAATTGTTAAAGTAGCCGCTAAACGTTCAGAACAGCAAATCTGCCAAAATAAGAAGCGCCTAATTAATTAGAATACAGAATTTACAAGTACAATGCTCAGTATGCTATCATGATTATTTGTGGGGGTATATTGACATGGGGTATAAAAGACCTGGAATACACGACATATGTACATTCATTTGACATTTGATTTGCAACCTAAACAAAATATCCACCCAAAAAATCCTAAATGATACAGGAATCATAGAGAAGAATACCTTCAGAACTGGTATGGTGTTGTTATGGTGTAGTCAAATATGAGATTATTCCCTCACCAAAAGTTTTTGGAATTCTTTTTTCGGACTCTAATTTGAAAGCATGAAAATGAAGTTTGTAAAAGATCATGTTTGCCAAGATTTAAAATAGCCGGGGAATAACAAATTACAATGAACGATATGAATATTTACCTAGACGAGATCACGCGAGAGTACACATCAACGTGGCAGCCATATTTGTTTTTCGGAATCCGGACCTTTCCAGTTTTCTGGTTCGTACGCAGTAAATAACCAATAAAAGCGCATCAGAGTTTAGCGGATAAATGGTTACGATGAATTACAGCATATCTGTGATTTTGGTGGTAAGTGCTTAAATTGATCATAAGTTATTTGTAAAGACGTGTTTGATTTGTGATTTTTGAAAAATAAAATAAAAAAACATGATGATGATCTATTTAGACTAGATCTACTCTAGCCTATTTTAATTAAGCTTGCTATGCATTGCATTTCAATTGTATTGCAAGGCCAATACTAGTGAATTTGTGATAAGAACTATGTTAATACTTCATAGATTACTACTCCAGCTCCATTCTTTCATTCTCCATTCAACTTCAAGACTTCCCCTCATAAATTTGGGTTACCCTTCCAATCCATTTATTGCATCAGTAGAACCCCAAAAAATAAGAAATTGGGAGACCATTGTGCAATAATATATGGAAAAGACAGTATATTCATATTGTACATGAATGACATTTGTATATTTCAGGTAATTGATCGGTAAACTAAACAGGCAAAACTAAAATCTTATAAGCCTATGCCCTCTTCTAATTTAAAGAAGTTCAGCCATGTAAATCTTTTTGAAAATACTATGGCAGAGAAGCATCAAAATATAAAAGGCCACACCCTTTATTAGTACTGGAAGCAATCCAAGATAAACAAATGTCATTTATCTACAATAGGAATATATTTTTCCATATATTATTGCATAATGATCTTTTGATTTCTTATTTTTTTAGGTTTTACTTACACAATAAAACTGTGAAATGGGCTGTACATTACTCCATTACTAGATCCTGCTTTTCAGTGCTATTATCTTATGTCACCTAGATTTCTAGATGTATCTACAGTCAAAAAACAAAATACTTAACTTTGATCTTAAATAAAACAGTTAACGAATGAGACTACAATTACCTTGCAGAAGCTAGTAAACCTTCATAAATATCAGCACATACTTCATAAACGTTGTTGCGTCAACCATTGAGCATAAGCACAATATCCAAGAAATATAAAATGAAATGTTAAGACTGACTTGCAGGCCAATAAACACATTGCAATCTGAACAAAATGCGTTTTTTCCGATTTTTGCTTTTCGCGCATTTAAAAAAGGCTTCATTCCCATCATTCTGATGGTTTTTTGTAACAGATTCGGTTGTGGAACCATTCTAAACAATGTTTCTGAACGATTATATAATGAATTTAGTATTGCTAATCTCTTTTTACTTAGGGGCGGGGTCAAAATATCGATGTTCATATGGAGACGAAAGTACTTTCGCAAGGGGGGAGGGGGTTTTTAGGCACTTTCGTTGACCAAAAAAACATCGATAATTCGGATCTGATATACAAAAAATAATTGGACTTACCCACTTTTTCTGGCGCTATGTTCTGATAAAAAGGCTTGTTTTCAATAGTTCGTGAGCTTTTTTGTGTGATAGGTCCAAAATATCGGTAGATAAAGACGATAATTCGATCATTTTTCAAATAAATTCCGTACTTTTCCCTCCTCCTTTTGAAGAGTTCAATGCAGTTAAATTGCGAACGTGTGTTAATTCACCGTAATAATAACCCGGCAAATAGGATACGATTATGCCTCTCATAAATCAATGTTTTTTTGAAGTGACCTAAGCTTTCGTCTAGAGGGGGGTGGGGTGGTTGTTGTCCAAACGAAATTACTTTCGTCTCCATATGAACATCGATATTTTGACCCCGCCCCTTACTGTGCATTATTCATACACAAACATTGACAATTCATATCTGAATGCCCAAATGAATGATAGGTATGATTTTACTCTGGCATAATCAAAGACTACACTGTCATCTAAGTGATTACTGTATATTCAAACATGACCGTGCTCTATTCGAATTTCTCAACCAATCAGAATGCAGCATAGCCAATATAGAACGTTCTCTAATTCTCCATAGATGCACGACCATGCTCTATTCAATCTGCAATTTGCATTGTTTTGAGTGACGTCACATCTCAGCTGCACATCTGGGGCTCTGTCCGGGGATAGCTGTTCCTTCATGCCCGTTCCACAGACACGGCTTTTACTAATTTTTATGTTTGAATCGGAATAAATAATGATAGGCCATTCAATATGGTGAAATTCAGCACTCGTTAGACAGAATGTTAGTACAAATGCACTCACCTTCGGTTCGTGCTTTGTACAACATTCTGTCCAACTCGTGCTGAATTTCACCATATTGAATGGCCTATCATTATTTATTCCTTAACTCTTGTATGCTCAAAATTAAGCATTTTTTCAAAAATAGGAAAAATAACCATAAGATTTATATGGCAGAGTACACACATGTATATTTAGATTTTGTTCTGTTATTTTCAGTGTCAGTGTGTGTGTGTGCATTATTGAAAGTCAAGCAAACATTTAACAAGCAAGATAAAAAAAGTTTTGTTCTATGCCACATCTCTCAATATTCTGGAGGAAGGATTTAGATAATGCATATAGTCACTGTCCGTTGCCATTTCCTGTGTTGTCTTGATTTTCGGGGAGGGGGATTGGACATTTTATTGTTAAAAGGTCACATTTTTTATGTCAATATACATTGCCCTAGAGAGAAAAGGCTATAGTTTTTACTGTGTGACACATGGACAGGGGCCGACTCATTTATTTCAGAAATCAGATGAGTTATGAATACATACATGTGTCCATTCTTATCTTGCAGGCCCTGATGGTGTGTCAGGTATATGGTGGTGCAACAGAACTCACTAGAGACAATATTGATGGGATATTAGGTAAGTTGAAGAAACAGGATTAACATTTCATTGTTTTTTATCTGCAAATCACATTTTACAAAGGCTAGGACCACTCCCACTCATTATTATATTTAAATATAATACATGTACTGGATTATTACCGACTTTATGTTGATGTAATAGGAGACTAGATTTCCAGGCTGGATCTGTAAAGTGACAAGGAAAGGCCCAAAAACACTGCATTGAAAATCCTTTAAAATTTTGGTAATTTTTGGGAATATTAATTCAAATGAAGCCTATACAAAAATAAGTTTTTAGGACACAAATAAAATAATCCTTCAACTGAGCACACCCTGGATATGCCAGATAGTCACTTTGATTTGTTTGTTAACCTATTGTAGGATAAAACAGTTATTTCAATTTAATGCACCGTTTGCTCCTACTCCATACAACAGTGATTGCAACATAGCAAAGTCTCTTGGGGTGGAATAAAGTAAATATAATACAGTAGTAGTTAAAACTTTTCACGCTTCATTGGGGTACATAGTTGTGTGATTCTGATATATTATTGGGTCGTGCAGGTTTACAAAATTATAAGTGGACTCATTTTCAAAAAACTGAGATCCATTTCTTCAAAACTGAAGGTTGGTTTTGAGGCTAAAATGGGGAAATTCCCTGCTATTTTGGGCATGCAAAGGGCATTGAAAAACCAGAAATGTTAAATGGCTATTAATCGCAACACTTTGGCAGGTTCGAGTTGGGTTGGAAAACATCATACTGACTTTAATGTACCATGTGTAAAGTCACAATTCCATTAAAGAGAAAATTTATTGTGTATTTTCAGAACATAATGAAGTTGTGTTTTTGAACTTCTATGCTGATTGGTAAGTATTCACTTCAGAAATGGAGTAGCAATTGTAGGGTTTTGTCGTTTAGATACCCCCATATTCTCAAAGTTCATAACAGACCACAATAGGCTAGATGCGAGAAGTAATAATCTTGATTTACATCATTAAATATTCAAAATTTTGTCAAAGTGGTGTCATATTTGAAATCTACATCTAAAAGTACATCTAGATATATGGTTCTCGAAAATTGTTTATCAACTTTGAATTTTTTTTTGGAAATGTGACTTCAAGTTCGGGTTGATTCCCCATAGACCCCATGTTACTAAATCACAAAAAGTGAAATATCTTTTATTGTATTGGACAGATAACATTTTCTTTTACTGGACATACTTTAATTTGCGTAACTATTGGATGCATTAGGGTTACAGTATATGAAAACTGAACCACTAAAAATGATGTAATTTAAGTTAAAGGGAACTTTCTACTATCCCGGTCATGCTATCTGACCCAAATGAGTCACCTGGTGGTAAATCTGGTAACTACCTACTTGCATCTGGGTTATTGGCACCATGAGTAGACTATAATACTTTGACCTAATTCCCTAAGAAATAATGAGGCTTGAAAAAATTCTCATGTTCATCTAATCACTTATATTTGCTAGATATAACTTGCTCGTCTAATCACTTATACTTTTGCACTGTACTTTCAATTTTCTCATCATTTTTTGATATCATTTTTGATGATGGATGAAAATTACCCTTTGCATTCGTTCGACTTCACTTCTTAAAAGAGAGCTTCGTCTTCACTCTTTCAGTTTACAATAAATCTCTGATCCCATCGAGCCAATCAGAGTTTGTCGTCGAAAAACGGACGACTTTCTGTATGGGGATTTCCTCTAACATCCCTGCATTGTTAATGAGCATGAATTTAGCACATGTTCCTTCCACTTGGCTGATTGGTTGAAAAACGTTCAGTGTGATAGATTTGAAATGATTTATTACACGGGCTGTCACAGGCACCAATCTTTGAGGCGGAGCTGCTAAACTTTAATATTGTCTATACTAGGCAGAGGGTAGTTTATAACTAAACTCTGCGCGCAGGTTAGATGGAAATCATATGCGGTCTACAATATATACACACTCGTGCATTAAGACAATGTCATTTCTTTTAAAATCCAGATATATTATGTATGTATGTTCTCGAAATAATGTTGCTGATACCTTGTGAAACCTTGAATATAATATTGTCTGTTTCATGATCAGACATATTATTAGAACACTGGAATTGCTTTTACGATATTGCCAATATACAATATGTATGCAGTACTGTACCATAAAATGTGATTAGTTGCATACTTAACATGCGATGTATGGATTAGATGTTTTTGTTAACTCAATTAAATAGGCTTCCTGTGTAATTAATTTCATCTGTCATTCAATTATGTTAAAGTAATAAGGTTATTCTACTGGGAAGTTTTAATTCCCAAGTTGAATGCTGCAAAAATGCATAATGTTTGATTAGAATTATTTAGTATTTGGAAGAATATTTTATTTACAAGTACTTATATTCAATGTCCCACAGTCAAGGTTCTGATTCAAGCATATTTTCATTCATTTTTTCCCCAAACAATTTTTTTATTAGATGTACATTGTACATTGTTTGATAATTTCACAAGTATTTAGAGAATAGAAGTGGAAATGTAATGAAATTGTATTTCCATTTATAAACACATGTATCAGTAAGTTATCCTTTTCTTGTGTCAGGATGGGATATCACATGTCATTCCTAATATTTCAGGTGCCGATTCAGTCAGATGTTGAAGCCCACATTTGAAGAAGCTGCAAATAAAATAGGTGAAGAATTCCCTCCAGTAAGTATAATTGCAGAATTTAATGCAAATATAGCTATGTAATATTAACTATAGCTGCAAGAAACTATAACAGTAACTATTATTAGAAGGCAAACCCGCATTTTTACTATGACTAAAAGTGAGTTAATTACATATGTCATTTTATTCCTGTTTGTTTGATATACAGTAGTATTTATATGTAGTTATTAATAGTAGAATGCAGTTTAATGGCTATTGTTTTGATTGTCATATGTCATTCATTTAATAAAACAGCTGTAGTACTAATTTCCAAATTAAATTGAAAGAACAGTACTACATCTTCCAATCATAAATATTATTAATGTTTTTATTGTTTTAAGTTTTATTGTTAATTAAAGTACTGCTGATAATTATGTTGTTCTGATTGTAATAACATTAATTGAAGATCAAACCAAAGGACATTACATAAATTGGCAATTCCAGAATTTTTTGAATAAATCTCTATAGATGTCAGTTCAGTTATTTCGCCATCATTTAATTATGATGAGGTATGAGAAAGTTGCCCCCAACCATCTTAAATTCAGCACCTTCGAGTTATAATCTTATGATTTGTTTTACTGTACATGCATCATGTGTGCCCCTTATGGTTTCAGTTAACCTTTTACTTTCAAAAGGCACCATATTGTAGGTTATAAGGTATAGATTATTATAACGAAACAAGTCTCCCGAACCCCTTTAGCATTCACTTTGATCATCTCTGGATTGCTCATGTCTGCCGTGCTAACCCCTTTTTGAAAATTCAGTCAGGTCTGTACAGAATGAACATATCAATGCTCACTTATTGATATCAGAAATCTTTGTACATGCACTAATATCTCTTAATGGGACTTTATAGTCTGTATTTTCATGTGTTTCAGGAACAAGGAAAGGTTCTGTTTGTCAAGGTGAACTGTGATGTGCAACGTGAGTAGAAAAATTTGAAATTAATATACAGCTATAGATTTTAAAAATAATGAAAAATTTGAAATTAATTTACAGCTGTAGATTTAGAAACTCATCAAGTCCCATGATGTGCGACGTGAGAAGAAAAATTTGAATTTAATTTACAGCTATAGATTTATAAATTATAAATTTCCCAAAAGTCCCAAACTAAGACACTTACAAGAGTCCATAACATATTTCACAGATGAAAAAATGCATAATTTTAATGTTTAAGTGTTATTCAAAAAATTTATAAGATACGTTTTATTTTCAGCTGAGATAGCTCAAAAATATTTTGTGAATAAGTACCCCACATTGAAGCTAGTCCGTAATGGTGAACTTGTAAAGAAAGAATACAGAGGTCAAAGGTCAGTGGAGGCTCTAGTTCAGTTCATCAAAGACCAGATCAAGTCAACCGTAGCTGAAGTAGCATCATCAGATGATCTTGACAATTTGGACGTAAGTGTCTTTTAGATATCTGGTTTCAGCAGTTTGTATATACATGTAATATGAAGAGGGTGACAACATCTGCCAAATGTGAAATCATCACAAAAGTGTATAGAAAGATGTCTAAAATGTATTTTTATTTGGAAACTAAGCAAAAGTAATTGCAGTCTAAACAATAAAACCTTTGTAAAGAGGCCACCCTTTGGACATTCGAAAAATTGTTAAAATTGGTCATTTTGAAACCAAGCAAAAATATTTATTGTGCAAATATAGATGTAGGTGTTGCATGTTATTATAATTATCTGCATTTTGTATTTATGCACAAATTCATTTAAATATTTTGTTAGGAAAATAAACGTCACATTATTGGCTACTTCAATGAGGCAAGTGGACCTGCATATGAGAATTTCAAGAAAATCTCAAGTCTTTTGAAAGATGACTGTCAGTTTACTGGATTGTTTGGGTGAGTAAATCTTAAGTGAGTCCAGTTTGGTAAAATAGATTCAAATAAAAAAATCATTTGTTTTGGTCTGTTTAATAGATGTACATTTGGAAATATAGTCATCGATCCTTTTATGACTTGGAATAAAATTCATAGATTATGTTTCAAAAAGGACGGGTGTCATTAAGGGCCCTTTTCACACTTTTGAAAAAATGACTAAGTCAGAGAATGGCCTCTTAATGGCATGTCCCCTTTCATTTTGGAGCTTCCAAGAGGTTTTAAGTAATAAAAATGGTATTTCTAAATGAAATAAGGCCCTATGCCATTGTGTTATTCCAGTGAGGCAAGCATCAAGGAGAGAGCAAATGGTGACAATATTGTATACAGAGCTCCAAGAGTAAGTTACATTGTATTTTAGTTTGTCCATTCATCCATCCGTTCGTGTGTCCAATTGATAACTCAATTATGGTTCAAATGTTAAAGACATATACTGTGTTCTGCTGTAGGACCTCTGCCCAAGAAGGAATTTTTAATATGGCTGCTCAATTGACCATCACATTAAAATTTCATCAAGGGTATAATTATCAATTCAAAAATATGATCCTGATGTCAATTGTCATAAATCAATGCTCAATGCTCATAATGAAAAGATTCTCAATAAAAATCCATTGAATAAGTAATTTATAACCTGGGTGACTGGTGACAATGACATGCTATTGTCAAAGAAACTACATTCTTTCTTGTAACTCCACCATTCATTCCCCTAACCCAGGAATGCATCCGAATTGCTCATGATAATACCCTATCTGTATTTCAGACCCACAATGAGGATTTACAATACTTGGCCAACCTGGGTGATTATGATATGCTGTTGAGATGGACTACAGACAAGTGTGTTCCTGTTGTGAGAGAAATCACTTTTGAAAATGCAGAGGTAACAAGAAAATTATGTTAATTCACTCCTTTAACTCTATGGTATATCGTTTTGCAAATCTGTACAGTATAAAGTAACAAAATTCCAAAATATGAACAATTTAAAAATTAATATGCATAAGCATTTTGATATAAGTATTACACATAGAGACAATAGTCTTAGTCATCAGATATATACCAAATATTCCATTCTATTTTCGGTGAATACACGTTCATCTTTCCCTCAGTATATTTCCTGCAGCCAGAAGGAAACTATAGGGTCCATTCATAATTATTAATCTTCTTGTTCACTCAAATTATGTCCCTCAGAACTACAGAGAATGTCTCATTTATATTTTTAGGAGCTAACAGAAGAAGGGCTACCATTCCTGATTCTATTCCATAAACCCGATGACACAGAGATTGTTGATTTATTCTCTAAAACAGTTGCCTCTCATCTTATGGCACATAAATGTAAGTGTACTTGTACCAAAAGAAGTGTTATATATGTATGTAGTCTGAGTTTAATGTAAATCTCCACTTAATGATGTGATAGATTATTTCATTCTGTCGATAAATAACACCATTCAAAGATTTGAGTGAGACCCCACACAAGGGAAGGTATGGGGATTTTGACAATAAAAATTGGCTGTCATCATATTCACTACCCTGTAAGCAATAATATCTATGAAGTACATATAATTAACATTCAGATTGTGTCAACCTTTGAATGGTACATTAGTTGCTTTAGCCAAACACAATAAGAAGTTTCAGAATGGAAAACTCGATTGTTTACAAGCATTACAGTTGTTCTGTTATAAATCTGAAAATCTAAAATTCTGTCTATTTTTTTTTCTATTTGCAGCCAGTATAAACTTTTTAACAGCTGATGGGCTGAAATTCTCACATCCTCTCCATCACCTGGGTAAATCAACAAATGACCTACCAGTCATAGCTATTGACAGTTTTAGACATATGTATGTCTTTCCAAAAGATATAAAAGAAAGTTTAGCGTAAGTATTGATGCTACATTTAACCTGTGTATGTCAAAACTCATCGGGAATTGTTCTTAAACAAAAGGGGAACACAAACGTTATTAATCGTTATCTCTGGCTGAACATGTCTTAGCCTCAACAAAAAAACTTTAGTGGTACTCACTCTGATTTGTGTAACAGTTTTATATATATAATTTTTAACCTTTAGCATGCTGACTTATTTACAGCAAATATATCCCACACGACTGACTTATTTTTCAAAGAGTGCAAAAAATGATATGCCTGGACTAAATAATAATTAATATCTCAATAACTACTGAATGAATCTGGATAAAATTTTCACAAAGGGAAGATACACTGGCTCATGAAAAATGTTCTCATGAATTTTTTTCGTACATAAACACGACTGGGCATAAATATACCATGAATTCTCCTCCGGAATCCACCGCTTCGCCCCTGGGGAGATTTAACGTCTGGTCAGAATCCAAAACTGAATTTGCAGCGATCGAATTTTCATCTTTTCAGTTGAGAAAATATTCTAGATTCTATTTTCGATGACCATTATTGGCTTCCAAGAGCCTAAAGAGCTCGAAAAAATCGCAATCCATTTCCTCCACATTTTCGTTGTGATCGTATTTGGCCGCCATTTTGTACGATTTGTTTACTAAAAACGGCTTTAACACTGTTTAAATTGTTGAATTGAGAAATATTTTTCGAAAGATCGCCATTTCTAGGTCAACAGGAAGTCATGTAAGGACTAAATAAATCGGGCAATCTAATTGGATCATAAGAACGGCGGGAAAAAGTAAAGTTTTTGAGAGTTTAAAATGAGTTTAAACTCAGTCGACCGGAGTCGCTGGCAGTTGCTGGGGATTGTTAAGCACAGGCGACTCCGCACGCTGCTAGCATGCTAAAGGTTAATGGAATACATTTTTTTATAGATTTTTGTGACATGAATTTGTATTCTTGTGACATGTACCTCTTATCTTGCACATTTTTATTTATTTTTGAAACCAATTTATAATTTATGAAATATTTTTCACCTCTTGGATATCAGAAAAATAAAAACTCATGAAACATCTTTTGATTATCTTCTTTAACATTTTCAAATCTAGGAATATTATTTTGAAATTTTATTTTAGATTTTCTCATAGAACTCCATTATAAATTCAAAGTTGAAAAGTTACAGATAAGTTGGAGATATAGAAGAACTAAAACTTGCATCTTTTTAAAAGCAATTACTATTTCACACATTTCCATCCTCGCTTTCACACTTAATGCAACATTTCTGTCCACAAGAGAAATCAAAAACTCAACACAGATTTTTTAAAAATCAAATTTGTTTTATTTCTTTTAGGAATCCAGCTGTTATATCTCAATTCATAGCAGATCTCCACTCAGGAAAGTTACATAGGGAGTTCCATCATGGTCCAGACCCAACAACCTCTCCTGCTCAACAGGTATGTAGGCTTCATCTCCCTTTGTGTTATCTCTGTTCCAGAATTGATGATTTAAGGTGAAAGCATGATTGCCACAATTAAGCATATTGGCATTCAATTGCCCAATAGGCAACCAGGCAATGTTTTCCAATTTTATTGCCAAGATTGAAAGGCAGTTGGTATTGAAATTCAGGCAGCTGTGAATTTTATGCATTCTCCATGCAGTTTTTTATTTATGTTTTGACATATTGTTACGGTTTCCTGGTTGTGACGATTTGTCATGTATATGTCTTGTTTCTCTAAATATGAATCAACTGCGTGCACTCATTTCAAATTTTGGCATTTTTGTATGATTTATTGGCAGATCCAGACTAGAAGAACACATGTAATTTCTAAAATACTAATAAGGAATTTGTTCAAACTGTATTTAAATGGAAATGGTGTTGACTGTTGTATGTCATGGCCAGAAAGAAATCTGATCTATTTTTAGTATCAAGTAAACGATATGATTGTATCAAGTACAGATTAATGCGACAAAATGCATCTCGCTCAGTGCAATATTTCACTCTTTGTGTTCTTGGTATTCCCAATCATTGTATATAAAGTTTGTTAAACTAATGTGATAATTGACACGAATAGGTCAAAGCTGATGAGAAAAATGATGATGAAGATGATTATGATGATAACAGTGATGATCAGGTATTTTGTTAGTAAAGCACAGGGTACTGTAATGCATGAGGTTGAGAAGAAAATGTGAAACTTAGTTCTTTATTGGGAAGGTGAGGTGAAATAGAGGGACTGGCTAGAACTCTACTACATGGATTTATTATGTCACCACCAAAAAGTGGTGACATTTTGTTATGGTCTCCGTTTTTTGTGACGGCTGTTGGCGATCGGCGATTGGTGTCTATAACAAATGGTGGTGACATTTTGCATGTTAATGCCTTGTACTATGATTGTATTGTTGTATTAACAGAGTGACATTGAAAAATACAAGTACATGTACTTCAAAGTCTTAATTTTTCCATTGTGTGATTGTGGGACTGGATATGTAGAGCGGGGGAGTCTATTAGGATATTAAATAAGTTATGTTGTGTCCCATAACCAAAATAGGTTCTAATTAATAAGTAAGCTTGATGTGTTTCTGCCTTGGTACTCAGATTCCATAATGTTGTAAGACATAAGTGGCACAGGTTATATCATACAGATAAGTTGTTACCAATAAAATGGCTGTTGTCCAATAAATGTTGTGTGCATCAAACACTCAGGTTTAGATGTACTTTCTATCAATCTGTACTTGTACAAATGTTCAAGTAAGATCCTTTATAGCGGTTTTGAGAGACATCTATATATTCTCTACAGTTCTTGTATATCATTTAATCATATTTCTTGCTCTGTTTAATCATTTCTATGGCAAATTGTATTTACAGTGCATATTTAAATTTTTACCTTCAGTTTTATTCTGATAAAGCATTGTCTGTTATTTTGTGTGGTGATTACGCATAACTGTAGGTGTTTTGAATTGAATAAGTGGATATATGCAAAGGCAATATTAAGATTATTTAAGTATGTGTTTTAATTCTTATCTCATAAAAATTGATTTTAAGTAACTCATAATTAAGAGCCTTATTTCTAATTTATTGTAGATCAGCATGATTTACTTTATTTATGTTTTATGCACGTCCAGTTGTTATATATATAATTATATGTTATAGCAGTAGAGTAGTTACCACATTTTTGAAGGGGCTGTATTTCATTATTATTATTTGGCACATGTTTCAGCTTTGTCACGTTGAAAAGTTCCTAGGGCAATTTCGGATTGACCTCATCTGTCCTCCAAAAATTAATTCAAATTTTTTAAAATTCCAAATCAAAAGCTGTCTCCTAATAAAAATCAATGAACCTTTAATTGTTTGGCTTTTCCTTCAAAAGTGATGCATGCTGTTGGTAGACATACATTTATATACTGTCTTTGTCCTTTAGGCATTTAAAAATTGTTGAGTGTTTAAAAAGTTGACTTAGTTAAGTTTCTTGTTTTACAGATTGGAGAGGAGAAAAAGGAGGGAGACTCAACACCTCATGTACCTAATGATCAAGACAAAACCGAGGAAGAAGAAGAAGTTAAAAAACCAACCTCACCCCCTGAATCACTATTTAAAAAGCTACAACCATCAAATAGTCGTTATACAATCCTCAAGGATGAGTTATGAAACTGGCAAGAAGTTAGATCTGGGGTTTTAGTCGCTATTCTATATTTGACAGTAATTCAGAGTCGGATGACTTTACATGTGAAAACTACCGTGGCTTTAATGTTGGTCCTTTATAAATACTTTTAGCATTGTCAATATGAGAATGCCTTTATCACCTAATACCATTCTCTGAGAAACTCACAAGGAACAAAAGACCAGAAGCTGCACAGTGCATCTTAATTGATGATCTATCAGAAGATATCCAGATATAACTATGACATACAAAACCCTTGCATTCCTCAAATAATATGACTCTCAGCATATTTGATAAAAATGTGAAACTTTTAACTTCTACCATCTTCGGTGTCATTTACTAACTCCAATTTGTGTTATAAATGTCATATGATATGATATTGTGACCTACTTGAACTAACAAATGGATACATTTCAATAGCTACAGGTTGTAGCTACATATTTCTTGTATTGAATATTGATTTTTGGGCCAGCCTGCATCTTTCAATAGTCTGAAGTTCAATTCTTGAATAAAGTAAGTGTATCAATGTGTCAGGATATTTACATCCAATAGAAATACATATATAAAGTTCCATTCAGTACTGTTTTGAAAGATTGTATTTAAAAAAAGACAAATGGAAAAGCAATATAAAACAATTGCATTTTTTATTTTCCCCAGATTTTGGAGACAGATTGATGACTCATTTCGAGGAAAAAGGTGGGAGTTCACTTATATTGTAATACGTTTTTGATGTAATTATGTTTTAGACCGAGATTGATGTGTTAAACATAACCCTAATCAATCATTTATCTGTGATAATCAAAATGAAAAATATCAACATCACCCCAAGTAGTATATGAGCTGTTGCAATGATATTGACAATTATAGTACAAGGAAGACCTGATTGTTCAAAATAATCTTTACTGAGGATGAATATCTCTTTATTATTTTTGAAGTGATCTTCAGAATTGAATTTCAGTATTTTCCAATATAGAAAAAACACAAATGAACAGAAAGTTTACTTTATGTGAGTGTACATTTATTTGTGTACTTAAAGCATAAAGTTCATCAACTGACATGAAAAAGCTTTATGAATAATTAACAGCATAATTTAAAGTTGAAATTTTTCAATTATTAATGAATGTATTTTTTAATTAATTCGCTGATATATTTGAGTGTGTTAAGTTGTAATGTGTTCGTCTCACATAATTTTGAAGGCAGGTTAGAATCAGATGAATTATATTTTTGAACATTGTCATTTGACATGTTTGGGAACCTCATTGTAACTTCATTAGAATAAGTTATTATATAGAAATTTATAACCATTGGTTTTTGCTATTAGCTACTCCAAATTGTATTATTATTAAAGTAGCATCATTGTTGGCTAGTTACAAAAAAACTAGCACTGTTATTTGCTACATTAGAGTAGCATCATTGAAAGCTACATGCAGTAAAAGTATTGAAATCAACAATATGGCTATGATACAATGGCTGCATTGATGATATTCACATGTTTTTGTTTGTTTAAAACGAGGTGTGAAATCTCTTGACCATTGTTGACTTGTTATGTTTTGCATTAAATCAATGCACAGTTTAGTTGACTTTTCATCTTTTTTCATGTTTTACCTCATGCATTTTAGCCTTGCATCCATTGACTCACAGCCATCTTGTAAATAAAAGTATAATGTATATAAATTATTTTGTATATAAATATTGTACAAAATTCCAAATATTTGTAAAGCTATGGGCTTTTAGAAATAGGTTTCTTGAGTAAATTGGGTCAGTTTGCAATATACAGTAACTGCTAGACAATGTTTCTCACTGTGTCATCTTAGAAATCTCTAGAAATATTATTAAAATCAGCACTTTTGGAGAAGGTTACACTTGATTATAAAACAGTTTCAAATCAGTGGAGTTGTCACTTTTGGCCTAGTTTTCATTTTCAAAGTGAGTGGGACAAATTGAATATTTACTCAGATTCATTTACATATGGACATATGGATTGATTGTATTTTTGTTCAGCTTAAATTTTTAGCGGACTCACTATTTTTTCTTCTATTTAGTTTGAGCTTCCGTTATTTCCAGTTTACATATCAATGCCTTGCCACCATATGATTATGCACAATAGGAATTTGAAGCAGGAATTGCATTGATACGTGGTATGGAGAGACAATCAAAAAGATCATATGTCCGATTCCACTTTGCAATAATATCTTACAATAAGTATTCTATGATGGCACGTATGAAGAATTTGAAAAATTTGTATGAACAAAATTAATTTCATTTTATGGCATATGATCAATCTGTGATCTTATACTACTTATTCAAATTATCATTTTAAGAAATAGAGGTCTGGACTAAAGTTACCTGATACCCAGGAATATTGAAAATGGTGTAACAACCCAAGCTTGACCTATATGGCCTTATCTCTCTTTATTTTAAGACACTTTTGGGGTGGTGGGGTGTTGTGTTACTATCAAGCTGTTAATATGGATTGCCAATCCAGAAATTATTTAGTTAAGCATCCAATCCCTGTGCTTTTGGCCACCATAGATATAGTGCAAGGCGGATTCACCTTTTGTATATCTGCTGCAATTATATATATGTAAATGTGTACATTATTCTATTTAGGGATGTAAAGATAAGGGTATTTCGACTATGATTATACAAGAAAAGATAATCTTTTAAAGACTCATTTTTTGTATTTTACATGTTCATTGGTAATTAAGATCGATCATGAAATGTTTACTAATGGGGTACTCAAGAGTCTGTTCAGAATCATACTGAAAGCTAAATGTTCAAACAATATTAAACCAAGAAAAGGTTAATATTGCAGTTAATTTCTAGTGGGTGGGTCATAAGAACTTGGAGCAGCCGAAAAGTTTTCTCCAAGTGTTGAATAACAGAACAGTAATTTACTTCCCCATCCACAGTCCAATGTTCCATCCCATTTCTTGTCCTGACACCTCTAATATTAAGATGAAAGCTTGTATAATTTGAGTCTCACATTTTACATTGTAAACATTTCAGTATCTTCAGTTCAGATTACATGTATATGTTTTCATTCCAAAAATTGTCCATTTTTAAGAGACTAATACGTTATAGGCTGAATCATTCTGACTAAACCTACTTTCCATTATTGCAGGGTTTGAGACTGATAATGTAAAGCGTAACTCCTTGGCTTAAATTGTATTTTCAAACTTTGCGTGGGGCCTTTAAGTGATTAAAGGTTTCCATTGAAATTAAGATATTGATGGTACTTCAATGTACTAGGGAAAGATGTATTATTTTACCAAAAATAAAAAAAGATGAAAAATAAGATTATCTGAGTTTTGTCCAGTGTTTGTATGTGGATGTCAATTCAAGAAATCCAAGTAATTTTTTCAAAAATTCCAATAGATGTGAACAACCTTAGATTTGACACTTTATATTCCCTTATACTACAGAGTCAACATTATGCATATCATGCTCTATATTCTCAATATTTTTTTCACTGATGTCCTATTAAGTCATTGATGGCACTATGGAAGTAAAGCAAGAAAGAAGAAAGAGAGTGTGCTAAATTCAATGCCCCGTATGGGAATCGAACCCAGGACCTTCCGCTCTCAAGTCAGACGGGAAAGTAGCTATTTTTCTACTGGCTGATATATTATGCCATGACATCTGAAGATTCAATAAAAGACAAGTGTATAGTCTGTTTATAAAGTATTCCCTTTGTCCAGATAAACTCATATCCAAGTTTAGTAATGCTTATAATGTGATATCATAATATGATGTCATTATTTAATGCACAATGCATTGTTTTGAAAATGAATAGTGCATTTTTACTGGTGAGTCACATCTACTGTCATCAGTCCTTATGTCTGATACAAAGTTTTGTTGTATGGTCATTGTCATGTAACCATTTAAATGTCAAAAGTTTTCCATGAAGATATGCAGGAAATTGAAGGTGGTTTGATTTACATTCATGGCACATATCATTAAACGATTTTCCGATTACCAAAGTTTCAGATTTACTTTCCGTATCTTCACTTGTGTAATAGAGATCCTGGAAAAGCATATTGTAAGGAAAATTCTCATCCAGCAGCTGGCACCACCACTGAGTATCTATTGTATACTTAACATGCTGTAAGAGCCAGACAAACAAAACAATACTAAAAGGGCTCATTCCTGGGTGATATATCTCCCTACCAGGGTAGTTCTCATCAAATACACTATCACAATTCGACATTGTAATGTTGAATGTATCATGATCGTACCCTGGTTGATCTTCCTTCTGTCCACACATATCCCTGATAACAGCCTCAAAACATTCACCCACATTGGAGCTCTTACACCTCACTTGGTGTTTAAGTATTAATGTCTTCAGTGAGTATGGTGATACATATACTCTTATTCTGACATTTCCAATATGATTGGAGCTCTTACACCTCACTTGATGTTTAAGTACTAATGTCTTCAGTGAGTAAGGTGATACACATATTCTTATCCTGACTTTACCAGTATGATTGATTAATTTCATACAAATATACAATAGTTTGTGTTCCCTTGTTAGTATATTGTCAGTTGGTGGTTTCACAATGGATTCCATCCAGTGACAAAATTCAACAGAACATCTGCATCCATCCTGGTACCTATCCTCTACATCCCCACCTGCTGCTACCATAACAGTTCTTGGTGAGCTATCAGATCTCTCTATGCAGAAACACATGTCAATATCAGTTGTTGTGATTGGTGTTCCCAAACGTAGCCATATACTTGGCCCATGACAGTCTTCACTCATACTACACTCACCTACTAGGTATTCTTCTGGCGGCAAGGAGCTTATAAAGTCAGCATATCCTTTAAATTTAGATCCAAGCCTAGATTCCAGTGAGTGTTTGATTGCGTGTTGTATTTTCTTGATAAGTTTACATGATAATATATGTCTACCTTTGGTATATTTCTTCACCATATCATCAGCAAGTCCCTGTTTTAAGGGGCCAGATCTGACCGTTATTATACCATAGCCCTTATCTTTAGCCCCATACTTCTCACAATCTTCCCTCATATTCTCCACCTGAACATCTTCATCATCTGATAGAGCTAAGGGGATCAAGAAATCACTCTCATCTGCTGCTACAACTTTGGTTTTCTCATAGTAGTCCCCGATCTGATTTCCAAAAGGGCTCTAGAAAAGGGGTTTTGTTGTCCGGTACTTTCCCACATAAAATGATTGTACCGTTTGAAAGAACAGACTTCCCTCTTAAAGAAAACACCTCTTCTATTGATGTAAACAGGGGCAAAAGGCACCAAAACGGGGTTAGACAAGGTGGCATTCTGAAGTCTCACTTTCTTGTCATCACGATTCCAGGTAAACCATTAGATGGATTTACTTCAAATTTTCACACATGTTACATGGTAAGAAGTTCTAGAGCTGATTAACTTTGCGGTGGCCATCTTGCATTCTGGCGGCCATCTTGGAATTTTTTTCAGATAAATATTGTCATCGCGATTCCACAAAAACCACTTAACAG